CAGGCGTACATGAATAGGACGTTTCAACAGGAGATCAATGAAGGATGGCTCGTCATATACATGGATGACATCCTTATATTCTCAAACAATCTTACCTCCCACCACGAACGCACACAACGCATCCTTGAGAAGATTCGACAAGAAAAACTCTTCCTCAAACCAGAAAAGTGCACATTCGACACTCAGGAAGTAGAGTATCTTGGGATAATTATCCGTCCTGGATGTGTAGCCATGGATGACGCCAAAACCAGTGGTATCCGGGATTGGCCCGCTCCTACAACGGTGAAAGAAGTTCAGTCATTTCTGGGGTTCTGCAATTTCTACTGAAACTTCATTTCCCATTACTCCGACATCGCACGACCTCTGATCGACCTTACCAAGAAAACCGTCAAGTTCCTGTGGACAGAACAATGCTCATCCGCCTTCACGACTCTGAAAGAATGTTTCATGAAACAACCAGTCCTTTGGAATCCAGACCCTAGTAAACAGTTTGCGGTCGTGACCGATGCTTTGCTCGTCACTACGGGCACAGTATTGCTCCAGACTGATGAAAACGGTGTTTATCACCCATGCGGATATCTGTCACAAACCCTGAACCCAGCAGAGCGAAATTATCAGATCTTTGATCGTGAACTCCTCGCAGTCATTCGCGCTCTCACGGAGTGGCGCCACTATCTTGAAGGAAACACCCACCTGGTCATCGTATTCACGGACCACAAGAATCTCCTATATTTCAGGACAGCCCAGAAGTTAACTCGCCGCCAAGCTCGATGGCAGTTAATTCTATCCTGTTATGATATCGAACTTCATCATGTCGCGGGAACTAAACTTGTCGCTCCCGATGTGCTTTCTCACCGTCCTGACCATGGATCAGACTCAATGGAGGACAACACCAATGAAACCCTTCTCCCTGACTCCATGTTCATACGACTTCTAGACATTGAACTCATGACTATGCTTGCGAACCCCGACCCCACTGACCCTGACCCCATCTTCACTGCCGCCTCCGACACACTGGATGGCCTTTCCCTACCCCCAATGAAGTCCACACTTATGGATTGGACCATAAAGGATGACATTCTTTACTATAAAGACCGTGCCTATGTCCGCCCCGCTGGACGGCATCTCATTCTGGAGCGATGCCATGATCACCCTACCGCTGGTCACCCCGGACGTTTTAAAACCGAAGAATTGGTCAAACGGGACTTTTGGTGGCCTTCTATGGGCACCTATATCCGTAAATACGTAGAGGGTTGTGCCCTTTGTCAGCAAATGAAATCCGACACCCATCCATCTGCTCCTCCTCTGGTCCCTATCCCCTCCACCGCAACGACCCCCTTTGCACAGGTTTCCATTGATCTCATCACCGATCTTCCACCCTGCACTGGCTTTGATTCTGTGATGGTTGTGGTCGACCATGGCCTTACAAAGGGGGTGATTCTTATCCCTTGCACCAAAGCCATCTCTTCAGAAGGAGTTGCCAGTAAATTCTTCAAATACATCTACCGACGATTTGGTCTGCACAAGAAGGTCATCTCCGACTGCGGACCACAATTCGTATCAAAATTCTCATGAGCCCTCGCCAAGCTTTTGAAATATGACATAGTGGCATCTACCGCTTATCACCCCCAGACCGATGGCCAGACCAAACAACTCAATCAGGAACTTTAAACGTACCTTCGGATCTACTGCCACAGTCACCCAGAAGATTGGGTTGAGCACCTCCCTATGGCGGAATTTGTGCATAACCACCGAAAACATGATTCCCGCAATGCATCACCCTTCTTCCTAATGATGGGCTATGAACCACGAGCCCTTCCCCACGTTTTATCCGACTCCACTGTCCCTGCAGCAGAAGACAGACTACGTTCCCTCCAGAAATCTAGAGAGGAAGCCTTGTCATGTCACAATCTCGCGATGCAGCAAATGACCGAACGAACTCATGGACAGAAGTACCAACCCTGGAAAGTAGGAGATAAGGTTTGGTTATCTGGAAAAAACCTAATCACCCAACTACCATCAAAAAAGCTTGCGCCCAAACGATATGGTCCCTTCCCGATCACCGCCATTCTCTCCCCTATCACATTCACACTCCAGTTACCTCCGCAATGGAAAGTTCACCCCACATTCCACGCTTCTGAACTATCGTCCTATCGCGAAACAGAAATCCATGGACCGAACTTCCACAACCCACCTCCTGACATCATCGATAACGAAGAAGAATATGAAATTGATGCAATCTTATCGCATAAGGGAACGGGTAAACGAAGACGCTATCTAGTATCCTGGAAAGGATATTCCTCCGCTAGCAACGAGTGGGTTCCAGAAGGAAATCTCACTAATGCCTCCGATATCCTCACCGCTTATAAAAGAACACATGGGCTGTAAATTCCTAACAATGTCCCACATCGAACGACTACGCCTTTGTATCCTCCGCATCGAAGAGCTCACTGCAGCTATGAACACTGTCGCTGAAGGAAACGCCCACCCCCTGACACTTCTTGACTACCAAAACATCACCGCCGCCAATCTTGCTCAGCACGCATCATCCCCTGTACCATCACCGCCAACCTCCGACTCTACCCTCACCCTCACCGACGACTCTGTCCTCACTGACTATTTCTCGGTCATTGATCAAGTAGAAACCAGTGCCCTTTTTGAATCCGCTATCACCTCTCAGCAGTATGCTATTGAAATAGACCGTCTCCTTGGAGAACAGGGAGCGATATCCAGCGGCCTCATTATTAGGATTATCAGAGATGCCAGCCTTATTGACCGTACCGCCGCTCTCCTTGACGATGAGCGTCACCAAACTATCTTTCGACACCTTCACATACGTATTCGAAACACTGCAATCTGTCTTCTACCTGAGGAGACAAGAGACGCCATTAGGGAGGCTATTCACACCGTTACTGAGCGCATCGCTCTCAACCCCATCGCCCGACCACCATCCCCTCACATTGCTGTTCCTGTACCACCGCCAGCTCCTGTTACAACTACCGTGGAGCATCAGGATGATAATATCCCTCCTATTGCTACGCTTGATGTACCTACTTCTCCTTCTCCTGACCCCATCGTACACACCACCCGACGACTCCCACTTAAGCGGAGATCCTCATGCCTCACCGCCAAGCGAGCCACATCCATCTCCCCCACTAAAGCACCTCTCAAACGGTCTAGATCACCGTCCCCCCCAAACCAGTCTTCATCTGTCACAACCGTAAAAACATCGCCGGTCGACAATGTCATATGCCGCAACTGCCATATCGCCGGACATCGTCATAAGAACTGCCCTGCCTATTATTGCAGAGTTTGCAAGGAATATGCACCCAGCCATCTGTCGGTCTTTTGCAAAGAGCTGAAGGAAGAAGCAGTCATTCCTTTGGTATGGACTGACGTCGGTTTCTACGATGCACTCGCTCGCTGGGAGATCGAGCAAGACGCTATCACTCACGCTGAGCATCTAGCGCCAACCACTATCACTGAAGAGCAGGACAATCTGCTCTATTCCAATTACGATGCGGACCCCGTCTACTGGGCCAACCAAGATAGGTGAAGTCGGTGACTTCATCCGTAAACGAGGGGTAATGTTACAGTCGTGACTACCCCTATCTCTTTTCTCTCTCTCTTCCTGTGTATTACGTCATGACCGTGCCTCGTTGCGCCATCATTAGGCTAAACCTTTCACCATATCTGTTGTATTACATCACGACCGCAGCAGCCGTCGCTAGATGACTCATTCCTATGATGTAGGCCTTATCTCTGACTCATCTTGATGACAAATACGTACCGGCCCTAAAGTACCTACGTCCATATATAAACTTGGTCATGTACTTAGTTAGACTTCACTTTAATCTACTAGGTTTTACCTGCACTATCCTTCGCTTAGGACCCCCAATCCTAAGTTGTCCGATAAACCGATATTTGAGCCGGAGACACTCTCTCCGACTTGTCTTAAAGAACCTTACATTTGTGAGGCATGATTCGGCTTCAGGTGTTACTCTTATCGAGTACCTGTCGTCGCGCCCATCCTAGTCGAATTACGGTTCGCCGTAACAGCCCACAGTTTGAAATGGCCATGATTCGCTTGAGAAGCATGACACTTAGCAGCTTCATGTGATGCATTGACCATGGAACTGTGGGGCTTGAATCTTAGAGTCCTGGAAGTCACAGGCATAGCATCATACTTCCTTACTATTGTCATGACTATTGAAGATGATGTAGCCATGGTCATATTCGCAGTAAGCATAATCGACTATGTGAGCCTATTTTGTTGGAACAGTTTAGGATGGGGTGGACAGGCATATCAGACAACTTACTGTTGCAAAATGTGGCTACATATGTCCTCACCATCCCAATCCCACCCTCACAACCTTTACCTCACCGTCCTGTAGGCTTTAGGTCCCATCGTGGGGCAGCCTTATCACTTGGTCTACCAGCCATTCCCTTGCCATTTAGAAAATAGGAAAGGAAATGGATGGACTCCTGATTTCTAAACACAGATAGAACAATGACTGGTTCGTGACCCTCCAAGGTCATGATCATGACCAGTGTCGAAATCGATGTGTTTGCTGCTGCATCGCACTGGGTCGAATCGAAGCCATGTCGGTTGTACCCACCAGATACTGGCAGTTTCAAGTTGGTATGCATGTCAGTTGGTTATGGGAATGATATCATAGGATATGTTCAGGTGACTAGATATACAAGTCGAACCCATTCGACGAGAGATGATGTGCTCTGCCAACCTGAGTGCTTGCAAGATCAGCCAATGATATCAGTTCGTTAGTGCAGAATGCTCATATGTATTATTCATATCACAGCTTGTTCTTGTCCCTTTCTGGCCCGTCGATGAAATTCGTTTATTGAAGTGCCAGCCTTGTGTGCTTGCAACCTACAAGCGAGTCGACCAAGCAAGTACTGATGCCGACCGATGGGTTAAACACCGAGGTTTCAGGCTCCGCGACCTGACCACTTTGAAGTTGAAGTGCGTACAAGCAAGTGTCCTCGTCGTTCGCACTCTAAGGAGTGATAGCCGTTTGCAAACTAAATCACCAGCAGACAGAAATACACTGCGATATGCCTTACATTCTGTAAACATACACTATGCATACAAGCAAATTCTAGTTAGAAAGGGTACCGCGCCATGCTCTAGTAATACTCATTGCAAAGTCAATCTAAAAGCAGAAACACAACCGGCTGCTTCCGTGCTCTCCGGTATTGGCATTGGTCTGCCCTGCAGTGGTCAGCTGTCGCGAATCTGGGTTGGGCGAAGGAGGAAGAGAAACACGATCTTCATCAGGTATGCACTGATCGTCTTTGCGTGGAGCATCTGCTGCAGCGTTCCGCTGTAAATTAACGTGTGAGTACTGGAAAGTGGGAAAAATAGGCTGCACGTACCTCTTTACCCTGCGCAAGTGGAACGTCGCTGATAGCTCGCGATGCATGATCTGTCTGAAGGGGCCACCAGGTTGACAGACTGTGTAGGCGGGATTTGAAGGATGTAGAAGCAGGGGCAGAGGATTGGGTAGTCGGTGATCGAAACTAACAAAATGTCAGCGGAATGTGTGATGATGGCAGTCTCTACTCACGTTCTCGTGGGGATTTATGAGTGGACGAGGCAAAGGCGCAGTAGCAGGAAACTGCAAGGGGACCGTTGAGCTAACTGTGAAGACAACAGACGGAAGAGACATACGTCCAAGGGATTACGAGACTCATTGGTGCAGGTGGGACGAACTGGATCCGTACGAGAAGAAGAGAGAAGTTTGCGTAGAAAGCCGAGAAAAACGGGTTGTGGGTGGTCAATTGTATCTGTTAGCAGGCGGGGAGCAGGAGGTATGACCGATATTGGTGGTTTACGACGCACAGTATGGCGTGTTGCGTCAGACTGTGATAGAGAATGGAGTGGTGTGGATGAGTAAAAGAGCGGGACCACATACGTTGAGCAGTTTAGCGAGGTGTGAGGATTCAGGACCGCTTGTCTGCAAGAGATTCTAGCGCCTGAATGATGTCGATGAATGGGTGAATACATACCTCTTTTGCAAGTCCGATGCTAGCGAGGATGTTGACTGGAATGTCGCATATGTAGATATTAGGCTCATCACGTGTCGTGTAAGCCAGTTGGCATGAGTCGGGTGAGAGTGCAAGGGAATAAGGAGCTTGGACGTCGAATGAGGCGAGGAGCTGACGGGACTCGAAGGACCAGAGCTTGATGGTATCGTAGGAAGCACTGGCGAGAAGAACACAATCGGAGGAGAGTGTTAGACCACAGATGCTCCCGGTGTGCCCTTCGAAGGGATCTCTGACAGTCTCGAGCGTGGACGCGTCGAACTCATAGATTGTCTTGGGTCCCTCGATGGTGGAGTCATCCATGAAGCAGGGTGCAGCTATGATGGATTTGTCTTTGGTTGTCCAAAATAACGGCGGAGTTGGCCAATAATAATCAGGAGCTCTAGAAATTTTTCTAGTGGCACCCAATTTCTGTGCTTGGACATCCCACACCTGAAGGCACTCGCCCCAATTTGACATCACTGCCAGTTTCCTCGAGTCTTCCGAGAATCGAAGTGTGTCTATATAATCACCACATTTGAATGGACCAGCCACAAGTTTGCCTGTGTCCAAGCTCCATATCCGCGCTGTCCCATCGGATGATCCACCCGCTAGCAGCGTGCTGTCCGCGGAGATATCAATGCACCTGATCCAAGGGGTATCCTGAAATATTCTCACGATCCCCGTCTCAACCTCACAGACTTTGAGCACCCAATCAACTGCAGTGACAACCCATCGACCATCCCTTGATACCCCCACTACATCTACACGTTTCTCGCAAACCTCCCGAACATCCTTGATCTCCTTACCCTCCCGCAGGTCCCATCGCCGAACGGTCTTATCGCGCGATCCGCTGATCATTTGCTTGCCATCGGGAAAATAGGAAATGCATGAAATGTCTTTGAACTCGCGACGATCACTATCCCCCATGGTTAAAATGTATGGTTTATGTCCCTCCAGAGTCATCACTGGTGTCAGAACCGATTTGTTTGCTGCCACACTGGGCCGTTTCGAGCTAGAAGCCATGGTAGTTGTATCTGCCAGACACGTTGGCAAGTATGTCGATTGCGTGGATATGTTCGGTGAGTCCGCCGTCCTTGTATGCTCTAGGACTGCCGTTACCAAGTCTCGAGAGCCGCTGCACTTTCCCTGGTTAGACCAATCGTCAGTTCATCAGCGCAGGATCCTCAGGCAGGGTGTTCGCGTTACTAGAATGCTAGCAGGCAGAGGAACGATATCCTGATTGATGAGCGCGCCCACCAGTAACTTCTTTTATATCTCCCACTCTTCATGGCTGTGTTGTACAGCATGTTCTTTTTATATCCTTCCTATCAAACCTACTATAGCAACATGTAAGAATTCAGCTAGATGACATTGATAGCGCGGTAGAAATCTGATTATTCTATTTTGTTGCCATCTTCAGACACTTGGTTCGAATCGCCTCAATTCGCGTATTCCTGGTTAATTGCAGGTTGAGCACGTCGAGGGTAGATCATGAGTTCATCAAATCTATCACAGATGATATCATTCATGAAATTAAATGTACTACCTTACATTCTGTAAAAACACATTGATAGACAAGTTCAAACATGTATGTAATGCACCGTGCTCGAGTTAATAGGAAGGAACCAATCATTCACGATAACCTGCATAATACCTGCATCGAAAGAGCAAAGCATCAGATCAAGAACTCGTATCGACACGACAAGCGCCTACCATCACCACCGAACTGAAAGTCATCATCCATCTCATCCTCCACGTCCTCTATCTCAGAATCATCTGCGTCTTCCTCCACCATAATATTCCCTCCGTCGATCTCGCACTCCTCGTCCTCTTCGTGCATTTCGGCCAGTGGAGGAGGACCAGCTTCCTCGACGTTAATGGGGGAAGGAGGATCAGGAACTGCGTCTTCCCCAACCTCATCATCACTAGATTCGATAGGTTCAAGGCCAGGAAGATAACCACCCTGCCCCTCCGCGCCAAAAGTCGGCACAGCCTGAACAGGTGCCTCATCTTGATTCGTATGCTGAGGTTGAGGTTGAGGCGACGGCACAAGCTGAATAGGCACCTGAAGATCCCCGTGCTGAGGCGGAGGCGGGATCACCATCATGCGCCGTGCAGGCTGAGAGGCCTTGTTTTGCTCTGAAGACGGGTACCAGTTGAAAAATATCCCGGTATCTGTCATCTGCAGACATGAGATGAAGGATAGGTATCGGCTGTGGTCGTATTTTGCTACTTGACATACGGATAGGCCAGGGCGAGGAGGCGCCTCCGCAGTTAACTTGCTGATTTCAGGGTCTAGGGATACGATAAACAGACCCTTGCGCTGTCATAGTTTTAGTGCTGGGAAACCCGTGTGTGGAAGGGGAGACTCACGGTTGCGATCGCAGCTTTTTCATTTGATTCTCCGAGGGCTAGATAGACGGATATGTCTCGGACGTTGTCTCGGGAGGCGTTGAAATTGAGCAGGGTTGCTATGTCGTCAAGCATGACCTCGCGATGGAAGAGTCGTTCAAAGCCCGGGATCCAAATGAAGATCCCTGATGCGGTCAGGACTGCGAGGTCCTTACCCGAGGAGGATACATGGGCTGTACACATAGTGAGCAGGTGATGTAGATCGACGAGTAGAACTTACCCGCAACAAAGTTGCTCCGAGATGTGGAAGAGACGTGATATGCTTCGTGAAGTCGTTGGGCCTGGAAGAATGATGAAGGGCACGGGTCAACGCTGTGATCTGGAAGCACATCCCAGCTGATGCGCTGCAAATCTTTCATGCACAGGTGATAGACCAAAGCACCACCACCTCTTGCAAAAATGCGTAGTTGATTGGACCCGCAGAAGAAAGCGTATTGGTCATTGACTTCAACGTAGGTGATGGACCCTAGTATCCCATCTGGATTGGGCGCCTGAATATTGGTGATCGTCTCAACAAGACAAGAAGTCGGCACGTCCCACAAATAGGCGTTATTCGCGCCAGCCGAAAGCAGCGTCGGGTACGAGAAGCGGAATGCACGTGTGGACTCCGGCATGTGGAGGAGAGCCCACGGTCTGAAATGGCCACGACTTGTTGGGGAGGCATGACGCTGAGCGGCGTGGCGCGATGCTTCGACCATGGAATCGTCAGGCTTGAAGTCGTCTGGGATCTCAGAATCTTGGAAGTCACGGGCGTAGCGCCATACTTCCTTGCTATTGTCTTGACTGTTGAAGATGATGTAGCCATGATCATATTCGCAGTGAGCGTAATCAACTACGTGAGGCTGTTTTGTCGGAACGATTTAGGATGGGGTGGAGGGGCGTATCAGATGACTTACTGTTGCCCAAAGTACGCGATCAGTATTATAATCAGTCACAGAGAGGCCTCCAGTGTGGCGGGTGGTCATCACGATTTTCTCCTTCTGGTCGACCTTTATTCGGTGCACGAATTTGCCAGTAGAATTTAGTTCTCTCGCGATGAACGGAGCCTTGCCTCGCCAACCCCTCTCGATCTGCGATCGTCTTTGACCTAGTAAAGATGGTCAAAAGGTACCAGCTGCACTTGGAGAAGCACAGACAGAGTTGCCACCAGTCTATTTTCTTTGTATCTGATGTTTGACCAGAAGAATCAGCCTGAAGATCGGCATAGAGGACGAAGCGATGTAAGATGGCTGCGTTACGGTAAACTGCCTGGATATTGTCTGTGATTATACAGTGCCATTTTCTGGACACGAGCGAGACGTTGCGGAGAGATTGTAATGTGAGATAGGATGCTATGTAGAGAGCGATCTCCGTAGGCAGTTCGTGCAGCATCGTTGATGAATCGATGAGGTCCAAGTCCAATATACTCGCGGAGTTGAAATATCCTTTTTATGTTTCCGACAATCCAATCAGCGATCCCACTTTTCACTTTGGACAATGGACATGCTCAGCCGATCACCTTAAGCAACGCACCGCTTGAGAATTGCAGCATCGCAAATACCTTGGTCCTTGGTCTTGCCTCCCAGTGTTGTGTATCAGAGCGCTGACCATGCGCTCCTCTCACATCGGGTCGAGAAGAGTATGCCAGAACCTACTTCGATGCTCTTTGTTTCGTTGGTCAATATAATGAACGTCCTGCAGCTCGAGGCATCCCTTCTGAGCCTTCAGTTTATCCAAACAGTGCGGATTCACACATTGGGTTTGAACATAACGATGACCGTTGTTAATCATTTTTATATGTTGAATTCGTCAAAGTCGCAGTCACTAACATAAATATTTTCCGGTGTGCATGTGGGACTTGATGGAAATTCCTATGGTGAAACCACTCGAGCTAGAACTGTCTGGACTGAAGTCTCGACGTCCGCGTCCTGCTTGGTGTGTCCTGAGAGATTCGGTGGCTGTGCAGGTCGACTTGGCAAATGACGAATAACGAATCAAAAATTTGGAGCATCATCGTATACGTAACATAGCTGCTTCGTTCATGTCTGCTCTGTGCATTTGAAGTTGAAGCTGAAGAACGTTTCCGACGTCCATCTCGCAAAGTTACGACTTTTCTATATGGGTTACCTCTCACAACCAGCGCTCAAAAATCTCAAAAAATATTCCTATAAAGGTGTAGATGAGTGGGTACTATTCAAAGTGTTCCTTTAATGTGATACTGAGCTTTGAAAATAAGATCTTTGGTTTCACATTACCTCCTTACGCCATACTGGAATTGGTTTATCAAGCTCTTCCCACTAACCATTGCTCCAAATACCGTATGTTGTCACTATTTAGCTCTTGGCACCAGTCTAATAAAACTCGCTCAGATAACCTTGCTTGGCCTATGCATCGTCGTTTTTAATGTCGTCACGCTACTATATTATGACCCCCTTTACTTGACAGAGAAGGATGGAGCAACCGGGCCTCCTCAGTGGATATACTTTACGTGCGCGTTCTGTTCTTTGCGTCAAGCTCGCATCATGCTGACCCTCCATTCTTAGATGGGCGGTTGGGTTGTTCATGTACCAAAGTTTGGATGCAGTAGATGGGTGGGTGGATACCTTCACACAAGTCTACATAAATGCTTATCCATGCGCAGGAAGCAGGCACGGAGAACGGGAATGGCCGGTCCTTTGGGAGAAATGTTTGATCATGGTCTGCGTGCGCGTTTCTTGACGTGCTTCGATATTTAACTTTTTTCTTGTAGGTTGCGACGCGCTCAACACTACAGTACGTTGCCTGGACTTCAAGCCATTTCTGGTTTAATCGTTTGTTCTTCTTAGCTTGAGGTCGTTCTTGCGTCGCGTGCACTCAATCTCGGCCGCTCGTGGTGGACTGTTGCATCGCAAATAGCAACCCTTGCCAACTTCTACTTGACCACATGGGAAGAATATCATACTGGTGTGTCTATTGCCATGTACTAGTCATGTTCATCTATTAACTTGAAACCCAGGAATATTGTACCTCGGTCCTTTTTCAGGTCCAGTAGAAGGTATCTTAATGATCGTGACCATCTATGTTATAACGGGAATTTTTGGTAAGAGAAAATTCTTTGACAGAACCTTTGATCTCACTCGCATCGCAGGCCCTACGTTCTGGGACAAGAAACTCTTGACTTTCACCCGTCTAGATAGAATACCCCAAGTTGTTCAGCACGTTCCTAACATTGGCCTTAATGAGTCTTTCATGGTCTTTGGTGCTTTTGGTCTGGCTTTCAATATCTTCTCAAGGTGAATGCACCAGTAATCATCGCGCATATATATTAACGCCTCCTCAGCTACCGCAACGTCATCAAAGCCACCAAATCTGACGGGGAGTCGAGTCTCAAACCTCTCATCTACCTCTTGCCCTTCGTTGTTTCAGCGACCCTCCAGATCTTTTGGTTGCTGAGCCCCTCCTACCATGATTCCGCCATCATTCACTCACCACTCTTCCTACCGTTTCTTTGTGCATGGGGCTTACAGTTTGCTCATCAAGTGGGAAGGATGATCTTGAGCCATATTACACGTTCACCGTTTCCCCTGTGGCACAGCATGTGGTTATGGAGTATTGTCGGGGTGGTCGATGCTCAGCTCCCGTTCCTATTTGACAGGTGAGCATTGAATGTCAATGCACTGATGTTGAGGAAGCTTATTCGAGAATAGACCCTCACTAATACAGTCAACACCAAAGCGAACGGCGGTGTTCATCTACCTGACACTCGCAGTTTCCCTCATCACCTATGCGCGCTTCTGTGCGCTAGTTATTAGGGATATCACGGAGTTTCTCGGTATCGCTTGTTTTACTGTGCGCAAGAAGGATGGGGAGGGCGTGTGGAGGGAGACGCGTGATATCCAGCAGGATGGGTACGTGAAACGGCTTTGATGCGGGTGGTTCAAAATTGGGACAGTACATCCCGGGTTTCTCGTCTAGACTCTGGTGCGGACTGTGCGTAGTATCAATCTAGATTCATGACTTCGTCTACCAAATACCGTTGCTCGAATATGACTGAGTGTGAAATTAACAGTTCAGACACTGTCAACCGGAGGAGTATTCAGTGTGATATACATCAAGCAATGTACTTGGATTCGCTCCTGACCGCCATCTCTACATACATACATATTTCCAGCGGCTACACAACGCAGCGGGGATGCAAAGAAAAATGCAGGCAGGATACAAGGAAAGTACTTAGGTCCATTCCTAACCGCCATCTCTACATGTATATGCGGGACTGCAAAAAAATGTAGTAACAGAAGCGAGCACGAAGGTGTGCGTAACAATCCAATAAACAAGACATACAATCCACACGCTATGATATATGTAGGGGAGCCTTTTAATACAGGACAACGTCCCAAGTATAACATGTTTGATTACCAACAACGATCCAAATTATCTCATATTTCCCAATGCTCACTATTTTTCCCCACTTTCGGGGTGACCCATATCATCTCGACATGGAGAGTCCGCTGCAGCGAATGCTTCGAGCTGCCGGTCCACCTCACGACTGAGATCCCGAGTCGAATAGGTACGCCCTTCTGAACCTCTTAGGTTCAAGACCAGACGCTGACCGGCTACTGAAACTATCGGAGTCGAAAACCTACATGCCAAAAAAATTATCGAATGCCGAGGGTATTTACGAGTAACATGATAACTGACGCACGCTTTAGCGATGAAACATTTTGGATTCTGTGGTTGTTTTGTGTTAGTGAGGGAGAGCGATGGTCCGGTATAGATGAGAAAGACTGACGTCCGCGTATGCAGTCCTAAACATTGTAAGTAAATGGAACGAGTTGAGAGTTGTGCGAGTCTTACCAGCAAGCTGTATTGATTGCATTACATAACATGCTTACCTTTTCTTTTTCTTCAGTAATGTGATGAGTTGTGCAGGTTTTCCTTACTCACAATGAAAAATACGATTGCTATGTAATTGTAAGTTGCAGATGAAAGTCTCCAGAGGGAATGCTCACCGTCTCGAAAGAGTATATGGAGGAGGTCAGAAGGGTAGAGAGACTGGAATTCCCTAGAGTATATCCGGAGACATCGCATTGTCGAGACAAAGAGTACTGTATCAAGAATGAAGCTTGATGGTCTTCAGCATGCATGAACACAGAAACAGAGTATCCTCACCCTCCACAACAGATCAACCACTAGCGTTGTAATACCGTCAATGAGATGTCCATCAAATATATGGCTGTCAACTAACTATATAACCTTTGAAGCAACGGACTATTAGGAGGCAGGAGGGACGGGATGACAATTACATACTTGGCGCTGTCCCGATGCAAATATGGGTCACGTCGAGCTGCGCAAATTGAACTACCAGAGAGCAATCATTTTGCGAAAAACAGAATGAAAAGGCGGCGAGGCGGCCTACTGGGAATGGTTGCACCATACATTGCTGTGCCCGTCAGTACAAGGATGTAGAAGGCGTAACTCCAGATGAGGATTTTTGCCACGCGTTTCTGGGTCCCCAGATGGCCCACGTACGCATGAGAACAATTACTGAGTAAAAACTTTCAACAACGGAGCTGTTGTCAACAAGACAACGCACTATGAATCGACTCTGTAGATAGAGCCATGAAACAAGAGGTGAACAATGCGAAGCACTGGCAGAACTAGCATGTTCGAACACGTCACTCAACGGATGTCTAATCGTGAAACTGCAGCATACCACTTGAGAACCATGCGAGAGGAGACCGGCCTCTTCTAGCCGGATGAATGTCTGCCCAATAAGGTTTCCATACCGGTTGATGAGGAACATGACTTTCACGATGGTCCAGGGACGGTTCCAGATGTAACAAACCTGTAACTAAGGGTGCGTTTCCAACATCACGCATACCAACGAACGAACTCACTTCATCTTTGAGAGTTAGAAAATAGTCGTAGACAAGCAACGTGTGGCCAGTTGTACAGAACATTCTAGGCCACGGGGTAAGAAGATAAGGATGTTGCATGTTAGGTAGACTTACTTCCGCACCCAGACGTCTTGCATAAATTCAGGGGAAGGAGCCATAGGTGGATGAGCACCGAACAGTATCCCAGCAGGACAAATCTAACGACAACGGACTGGTGATGTCAACAACTCGGTTCCAAGACAGAAGAGCTGTGCTTTTATAGGGTAACATAGACACCAGCATTCTGCCTTGACTGACAGTGACAATAACGTAATAGATATGAAGGTGGCGAGAGTGGGCGCTGAGACTCCAGTCACCGCAATTGTCATCGTCGCCAGGGATGCATGAGGGTCGCCCTGAAGACGTTAAGACAAGCCAGCTTGAGCCGGGGTCCGGTATTGGGTATCTTGCTTACGGTAATGCTCAAATTGGCGTACACTTCAACTGTGAGGTTGCATTCGGAGTGCATCATGCCCATTAAACGACTAAATGTTAGCACTGGGTATACTCAGGATATACAAGACAAACTACGCAAGGGAATTCAACGAGTAACAGCTGAACATAATGATGGCGAGCTTGACTGCAATATTGAATGCCCGAGCGCTAGCGAATCTTCTTTATATCCATGCGGTATGTCAGCAGACACTGCGCTTGTAAGAGATCATTCCTCTGATGTGACTTGCGTATTATAATGCAGCAGCTCACCTAAGGGGTCTCTGTTCGCAAACGACTGTAATTCCAGACTCGTATTAATGAATAGGTGTGGCTCGGATAGCCAACTAGATAGACCGTATTGCAGAAAAGAACTTCCTGCACTATTAAGTTGGTGTTAGTATTTCACTGACAGGGCATTACGCAGCAGCATGCAATCCTTGCCATGAGTGTGGGTTTGTCTAGTGCTAGCGGGCAAGCACAAGGGAAGCTCGCCATCTCCTGAGCCAGGTTGTAGTGAACTTCCCTTGTGCCCTCATGCTGCACTAGTGCTGGTAGGGAACAAGTTCAAGTTGAAGCCAAGTGATAACGTACCCCGAAAGTAACCCTGGCTTAGCAGCTGAACGGAGTTTCCGGGTCTTGTTCGAGTCACGTCTAATCTTATTTTTATCTTTTCTATGTTCTCTAGTCGAGCTTTCTGTAGATCATATCGATTGACCGCCAACTTTCGCACTCTGATACCAAAATCCATTGGGACGCGTACAATGACCACTGAAGCTTCAGATTCGCTCACTGCTGAAATTGCACAGGCAACAAGTGCACTGAACGATCTCCGACTACAAAATGCCGATGCGTCCAGTATAGACGCTGCCAAGAAGAGACTTGGTGAATTGAAGAAAACAATGGCTGCGATGAACAGCGCAGGCGGGAGCAAGGACGCAGGGAAGAAGAAGGAGCGACTACTCCTCAAAACCGCAAAGGTATGTTTGAGTGTGCACCGCGATCATACACCTCTGAAAGGTACTCAAGTAGGCTGCATAGGGCACGCGTGATTACGGCGCAGCGGAGATGTTTTGCCGGGAACATGTTGAGCGTATCGTTAAGGATGTGTTCACATCCTACGGTGGGAGCGCCCTCGACACACCTGTGTTTGAGCGCAAGGACGTGCTTGCCGGAAAGTACGGCGAGGACCAGAAGCTCATTTTTGACTTGATGGACCAGGGGGGTGAACAGCTTGCGCTTCGGTACGATCACACTGTTCCTTTGGCACGGTATCTAGCTATGGCTGGCGCTACGGTCCAAGCGAAGATTTGGCAAGTCGGCAAGGTCTATCGGAGAGACAACCCTGTGATGTCGAAAGGCCGGATGCGTGAGTTCTCACAAGCAGTACGCGTTTTATCACTTTTGCCTGTGGTATTTTGCATAACTTGTTGCAGGATTTGGATATTACAGGTGCATGGGACCCAATGATCCCAGATGCTGAGATCATCAGCCTGCTATGCACTATCTTGACGAGATTGGATGTTGGAGAATTTACAGTCAAGGTAAAGTTGTTTAAACAAGGGCTGGATTTTTCCTGATGCCTTCCAACCTAGCTGAATCACCGCAAAATCCTTGATGGGATCTTCGAGGTCTGTGGTGTGCCACAGGACAAGATTCGATCGATATCATCGGCTGTAGACAAGTTGGACAAGGTTGGTTGATAGAGATGCATTCCCGATGCTGGTTCTAATTGCGTACAGCTCCCCTGGCTAGAAGTGAAGAAAGAAATGACAGAAGAGAAGGGACTTTCTTCAGATGTCGCTGATAAGATCGGAGAGTATGTCAAGCACAAAGGTAGGCAGCCTTGATTTTATGCAGAGCTAACTATCTCATCTCTTTCGCCATACAGGTGGCCCGTCGCTGCTCGATCTTTTGAAAGCAGATGCTACTCTCATGGCAAACCCGAGCGCCAAGCAGGGCATTTCAGACATGGATATTCTTTTTACTCTCCTGCGAGCTTACAAAGTACTCGACAAAGTGAGCTCGCTTCTTGTGAATCAGAACATGATATTCACGTATGGATAGATCTCATTCGACATGTCTCTCGCCCGTGGTCTAGACTATTACACAGGCATCATCTATGAAGCCATTGTCGAAGCATCAGCACCACCAGCTTTTACCGCAGACGTAACAGAATCCCCAGCCCCCTCAAAACTAAAGCCTTCGAAAAAAGCCAAAACTGATGATGGCGAAGAGGATGAACTGGACGAATCGCAGGTTGGCGTCGGGTCCATCGCTGCCGGTGGCCGGTACGACAACCTGGTCGGTATGTTCACTGCCGCTGCCGCTGCTGAAGGGAAGAAGGCACCAGGGCTACCGTGTATTGGGGTCAGCATCGGTCTTGACCGGATCTTTGCGATCGTGTGGCCGAAGTGGGTGGAGAAGGGGATGCGGAGTAAGGAAACGATGGTGTATGTGTTGGCTGCTGGTGATGGCTTGTTGGAAGAGCGGATTGCACTTGTGCAGGAACTCAGGGAAGCAGGCATAAAGGTTAGTCGGGTTATCGTTCTCCAGTTCATGTGTTGACTCGTCTTTTCAGACCGACTTCCTCGCAAAGAAGAAGCCGAAGCTCACTGCGCAGTTCATGGCTGGTGAAAGGGACGAAGTTCCTTTTGCTGTGATTTTAGGCGGTGATGAACTCAAGGAAGGTTTGGTGACTATCAAAGAGCAAAAGTGGGAATTCGTGGATGGGAAGAAGACAAAGGTCCAATCGGCAGATCAAGGCATGAAGGTGCGGCGGGACGAACTGATCAGTTGGATCAAGCAAACACCTACATATCAAGGCTGGTCAAGCGGTCGACTTATCTAGGAGGAATATTTCACAATACCTTGTAATGCATAGATTAGAAGCCTGGTGGCGCAACATTGTGTGCCCATGTTTGTCCTGTCAATTCTTTGTCACGTATGAAGTTTCCACTTTTTCCTCTCTCTTTTCTCAACCATCACTCCGACAATATCGACAAGGACAGCAACAATGGATGACGGTACGTTTTCAGCATCAGCCCCGACGACGACAGCCAGTTCTGCATTCAATATTTTCTTCTGTTCCGGCACAACCGCCTCGTACATACCAGCACTATTTTTCTCATCCCGTTCTCCACCAAATATCGGCTCAAGGCCGATAACGACCTATCTAAAAAAACTGATGCGCAACTCGAGTAAACCGAGCTCTCTCGACTTCTCATACGTAGTGCGCCCTCAGTAGTTCATTCGCGTGCACTATGACGCGTGCGCGCGACACAGTATAATCGCCCATTCCTCCTGCCCCATTCTACCCACCGCCATGAATCGACATTGATCTTGTTTTCACCCTTTCCGCCCATTCAGCCTGGCAATCACAAGATATTGCACCTTCTGGGATCAGCATTCCCACGCACGAGGCCAATATGAATGGCGGACCTGCTGGTAGGGAGGAGCAGAACTGGAATGGCAATGCTCGCTCACCTGGTAGAGACCGTGGGGGCGAACCTCCCAGGCGCTCTAGCCGCAGCCGGAGTCCCGTACGGGACAATAGAGGGTGAGTGGCGTTAGAGTTTTGTTACATCTGATACTGACACTATTCGTAGCCGGGGGGGTGACAGCGGTGGTCACAACCCTGGAAACAATCTTCACGTCTCAAACTTGAGTCACCGTGTTGATACGCGTGACCTTGAAGCGGCGTTTGCTAAAATTGGCCGTGTACGTGTCTTCCTGTGATTTTATTTCCTGCTGCTGATCCAATAGAAATAGGTCAAAAAGGCTTCGGTCATGTATGACCCGCATACCCGCGAGTCTCGTGGGTTCGGGTTTGTTACCATGGAGACTTCTGAGGAGGCAGACGCTGCTATCACCGCGCTCAATGCGACTGAAATCATGGGCAAGGTTTGCACCGTGGAAAGAGTATACTCGCATGTTTTTGGATTTTGCCAACGTTTGTTAATTTTGCATTTAGGCCCGCCGTGGACGTGCGCGTACACCCACCCCTGGAAGGTACTACGGTCCTCCCAAGCGTCATGACAGTAAGTATTGTCGGAGTATTATTTGGTTCTTGCTGAGCTCTCGAATAGATGAGCGCCCGTATGACCCGCGCCCGTACGACAGTCGTTATTCCCGTGACTATGATGATCGTCGCCGTGGAGGTCGTCCTGATGATTACCGAGGAGGAGGTGGTGGTGGTGGCGGCGGCGGCGGCAGGGACTACGACCGCAGTGGCTATCGCGACTATGACCGAGGATACGGTGGTAGCCGCGGCGGTCGCGACTATGATCCTCGTGGCCACGACTACGATAGGAGATACTAAATGTGCCCGCCCTCGACAGGGATCATCTCGCGTTATGTTTTGCTTTCGTTAATATGTATTCCATAAGTAACTCTGGTGAATACAGCCTGTTGCATCATGGACCATGAATGCAATGTTTGGATTCAATCGTTCGCCTTGGTCTCGAGCTTTCTCACTCTACATATATTGACATCGTTGGACTGCTTTTGTATATTGGACTAAGTAATGCAGGATGCTGCAATGCAAGGCTTGCATAAGTTGAATGAGCACTGGGGCTTGTCTCCTTAGTCTCCTCAGATAACGTCCCATAATTGAGATATCATCACAGTCAGCAGCGAAATGATTACTTTCAAACTTGAAGTCTTCATGACAGTCACAGTTTTTCATTCGAAGTGTATGTGATTTAGCGGCTACTACCTCGCGCGTACGGATATGTGAGTACGCGCTGATCGACTCGTTCCCACTTCTGATGAGTCTGATGGGACTGTGGCAGTGAGAGAACTTGGATTCGGCGTGCTGCATAGGTTGCACGCTGGTATCATGACAGACTGGGAATGCCTCCGCGATGATGCTTTACCTATTCCACCAGGCTGGCATGAGAAGTAAAAGTGGGATGCCATTAGCTAGAAGTTCTGGTCGGTCCTATGGGTCACTGTTGACAGGGGGGTCTGGAATGACGTTGAGGACAAATTTGTCTCCCTGGAATGTGCCACGATTACTTCTCGTTTGTCACTATGCTACTTGCCACCGATGGGGAATCGAACTTGAAATTTGACGTCGCCTTCCCAGGTTATTCAAGAATGTAGGGTGAATTGTCCACCAGAAGCTGGTATCCGGTATCATAGTATAATCATGAATGGTGTCGTAGGCTTGTCAACGCGTCTTTCGTTTGAATAGGATGCTGGAGAGGAGTCGGTGAATGTTACGAGATCCACGGAAATGAACAATGTGAAGAGGAGAAGCTGGGCAATATGTTCAACAAGGGCTTTGATTGGTGGCTGCGGCAGAGACGAAGGTAGGGATTTATTGTGGTCTTTGATCGAGCAGGTGAAGTAAACATTGTCAACAGTGCGCTATACTAATCAACGGCTCGCCTCATTAGACAGACCGGTCATGAGTCTGTTGATTGCAGTGAACGAAGGGTGAGGCTATCCTAACATCTACCAGGTTCAGGGGGAGTGAGTTGGCCGGGGGGCTCCATGTCCGTCCGTTGGTGGGTGTAGAAACCCAGATTTGTAACGAAGAGCGAATGTCTGCTGGTGAAAAACGTTGCCGGCGACACTCCAGCTGTCAACCTCACAGAACCCCTTCCTTGACGTGATCCGTAAAACAGGTCAACTTGTACAGTCCTTTTTATCAGTTCCGTGCCTTCTTGCGCAACACGTTGTCTGACAGCAGCGCCAAGGGCCGTAGGGTTCAGGCAGTGCTTCGTCATATGCGAATTCTTGCGAAAGTGTGGAATGCCCGAGCCTTCACTTCAGTTGTTCGATCAATATATTGTCACAAGGAAGGTCAGTTTAAGCAACATAGCCTTAGACGATTATGTGCTGAAGTTGATCGTCAGGACGGCCCACTTGATGCAACATTATGAAAGAATAATCATTTGGATGCCGCCAGTAGTATTGCAGGTATCGGTCTGGTTCTGACATGGTGTTTCAAGAATCGGCAACGTATGTGATCGACACGCAGCCTGTTTGTACATGTATTTATCTATGTTTGTATGCGACTGACCCTTGTGCGTAGCTCTATCCCTATGAGAATGGCATATACATTGAGCTTTCAAAGTTCTGGGTTCAAACGTTCAAGGTGCGTCCAGCTTCCACATTCTCAGCTACTACTTCCAGATCAACCAATTCTCTCCGCCCCGCTCCTTAGCACCTCTCTCCCCGCCTCTTCTGCCAGCTATCGAAGGTCCAGCACGGCACTCCTCAGTGTTTCCATTGTGACCATGAGGCTAGTAGGCCCTGCAGTTTAGTTGCAAGATCGAGTGGAAGGCTCCTTATGTGAAGGCGCAGGTGGTATACAGGCGTTTGGATTGCTCCCTACGCGTTTTCGTGTATGTGCTCCTTCAACCATGATGCCGAGTCCCATAAAGCTAATTTCGTGGTACTCTTTCTACCGTACAAGTGCTAGTGGCTATAATGCTCTCAACGTATCCCACCCATTCGTCATCCAAATCACAATGAAGATCCAATCGCGTCACCTCCCTCGGAGGGAAGGGTCGACTAGCAGGGAACCTTGAAGCAATTTAGAATCTCATAGGTGTGTTGTAGGTCTCATTATTTCATTTGTGCTTCGTTTATCTCCCATTGCCCCACTCTGGCGCTTAATTACGACCTGCCCTCACCCCACCTCATCCACCAATCAACTCATACTTCATTTGTACCAACGCTCACCATCTTTCCTTTTGGCTGCAGGTCCTGCGTCTAATATTTCTGTCTGCCATTATTTGCTCTGGGCGTTGGTTCCATGATGGGATAATCCTTATCCGAAAAGGCGATAGCGGAGAGGTGGAGGTGGACCCAATTAACACAAACTAGGACATGATGTATGCCCTTACATGGTGACAGAATTGTATTAGCTTTGTTCAGAGCCGCCTTCGTTAATTACAATCTCACTTATCTATTCATACAAGATCACTCTCGTCTACTGTAACTCACGCGTCGCAAATACGTGCTTGAACGTCAGACGTTTGCCAGGACCATGTCTAGTGCAATCAGGCACACCATAAGGAAAATTTGAGGGAACCCAAGGCCTCGCCAAGAGACAGACAGATAATACTACATGCATGACAACCCATTAAGCTGTCGATCAAAAACTGCCCCCGTCATAACAAACTAGGCCGCAAACCGATCAAACCACTGTATGACCCCTCTAGCGCTTTCTTCCTTTGCCCAGCCTGTATTCAGTACTTGGTCAATATCGATATTCAAGAAATTAGACCGGGTTACTCACGCTCCATCTCAATGTCAGGATCACCTCGTACAGCAAACCCATGCTTGACGCCTGAAAAAACCTGTAAATAATACGTGGATTTACGGCCGACCATGATGTCTTCTGCTCGTCTACGAGAGGCGAGAGGGAATAAGTCGTCATCCTCTAGTATGGGAATAGGGTTACGAATCAAAGTGTTACTTAGTAGCACGAACATGAGGGAAGAAAAGGAGATTTACCTGCGCAGGAGAGAAGGAGAGGTCCTGCAGTGATACAATGATTGGTGGTTAGTTTTAGCAGCGTAATAATGACTCGAGCACGAGAAACATACCGTCAAGTCTCTCAAAATGGCCTTCATCGATGAATGTGGGGTGAACCAGAGCTCCTAGAGTCTTCTTATGGGTATCCCTCTTTGGGAACGGTCGAATGACGTACCGGCAACTGCAGATCCATCAGAACACAGGTCCATGACGAACGGTGCTCCGAAGCAGTAACCTGATCACCAGCCCGAAATTTAGTTTTTTTTTGGCGTTGCTTGTATATTGACGTACCAACAGCACAGTACTTGGTGTTCTCAGTCCCTACGTAAAGCATGAATATATTGTGCGAGGTTGGAACAAGACATGCACCATATTTTGCTTTCACACTCTCTAGCCAAGCGGGGAACGCGTCAACAGCAGGTTTCAATGCATTCGCAAGCCACATCTGCAAATCGCGTCCAGGCGGGTGGTTTGGCACCGCATCGCCGAAGAAGTAATCTGGTCCAAGGACAAGATAGCCTAGTCCGGTCTATATTAGTTTCGATAATGTATAAGTAGACAAAACGAGACGCACCGCAAGACGCGAAATGATCTTGAATCAACTGATTGTTAATGAACAGGGATCCCCAGATGTCTGACAGGTACAGGATCACTTTCTGTGTTGTAGCAGAAGCAGGAGGATCGGATATATATGTTTGGATCCCACCAAGGTCCTCGATGCGGCCGACAGGCGTGCCCTGTGTGCTTTATACCGGAGAAGCAGCAACTACCAGGAGCGGAGGCGAGTGTGGGGGACATTGTTGTGATTGTGCGTGAGGGTGATAAGTTGCATCCACCTATTACTATGCAGCAAGCGTGCGAGCTTTGTTACATGTTCGGGACTATGACCTATCAATGACATATGATAGTGACTTGGCATTGACCATCGACCGCATCTACGCCGAAAACTTGGTTACCGGACGATCGAGTATGGGGACAAGCTATATCATTGTAGATAACCCACAGCACGCCACTTCTACAGGAACAAGCAGCCATTTCACCTGATAACGGGATTTATAACGGAGCTTCAAGTGAACCATTCCACGTTGGCACTTCACCCTATCAGGAGAGAGGTTCTGTAAAGATTCAGAAAATGCGGCGAATACTGACTTTGATGTGCTCGACTTCTAGATCTCTACTGGTCCCAAAGATAGCCTTGTAAAACACTGTAGATTATTTGTACGTCGCCGTATTTTCCACGAGGACTCGAACAAGTATCTTTTCCAAGGACTGGTATGGGCGAAGAGCACTTGAAAAGAGTATTATCGTGAATCAGTGAGTGGCCTGGTTTGATTTCTTAGATATCAATGTTGACTCGGATGCAGGCTAGGGAAACGAGGAGAGAGGGAAGTCGTGAGCTGGTTTGATCGGTTTATCGTCTAGGTTCGTTATAATGATTAAGAGAAGCAGGATTGATGAGTTCTCATGCACATGTCTTGGTTGCATCTTTTGGTTATCCAGTGAAATTGCGAATTGGAGAAATCTTCCCGTGCGGCCCGTGGGATTAAGGCTGAGTACTTGAGTTATCAAATCAAAGCAAAACAATTCGTAGTCCACGGTCGGTCGTGATCTCGGTGATTGACTCTTGATCATGGGTCATTATCTGCAGATTGCATTTTTTGTTGCGCCGCATTGTTGGCTTCTGGGAGCTAAAAAGGTGACAATGAGCACCTGGTTACGTTTGTGGTTGTGTTTGTTCGCAGCAGAAAATCCATTCTTCCAGATCAGTATCATCCATCATGTTTCAAGAACTACCCTTAACAGTGCCCAAAACCTTGTATAGCAGATACGTGCTTGGGCTGCGGGGAAGCAGTACTGAAAGATGTTTATTCGCTTGACGACTGGTTTAGCTGATCCAGGGTCTCGTCACGTTCTGTTAGAATTCAAGAACTTCATTTCGAAAGGCGCCCACCACAGCAATCTCGGTAAACTCGTCGAGTTTGCTAACGTTTATCAGGGTGCACACTGCATTTCTGATTCCTTCTGTGATGATATCAAACGTTGAGCCATTTTTACTATTTATTAAAGATAACAAATACAAGTTGAGCTGGCGAAGCTACTCACGCTGTAGATCCCCTGGATATCACCGCCATGTCTTCCGCAGGTCTCCCGTTGGATTCTGCCAATATAATGTCGACAGTTCTAGAAGGCATTTTATACGGCGAGTATAATGGGTTCTTACGTTCCATGCACACCAACCTAGCGTTCTTTTCCAGGCTTTTCAGTCCTCATGTTCATAGGTACCATCTGGACATTCACTTACAAACAACGCATCCGGGACATTAATCGGCCAATCGCTGTGATTGCGGTCTTGCTATTTGTACTCAGTACCGCGGTTAGCTTTTTACCACTTTTAACTGATTTCATTTACTGAAGTCTCCTAAGCACATGATCGTAGGTATTATTCGTCTCGAAGATGGAATGGTGAAGTATGGCAGCACCTTCCGTGGCGGGCCAGTAGGGTTCTTCACAGACGTTACCCAACAATCATTCTTGACCAAGAATACGATAATCACCTTACAAACTCTGCTTGGTGACGGAGTGGTGGTGCGTTCAAGTATTTTTTAATCTGCAAGCTTGAAATTCTCGTGACTTATAATTTTCCTTTCTGACACAAGATCTATCGATGCTATTTCGTCTGGCAATCTGTCTGGATCATCATCCTACCATGCATGATGTGGTGTGGCGTCGCAGGTCATTTGCAACCATACACTAAAAGTTCGATGCTCTGACGTATGTTGTTTCGAAGCGTTCGGGATTTGTATGGTTTACGCGCAAGCACCAACTACCGATGCTAAAAATGTCTTCGGGAACAAGACTGGACATTGGATCATGGTGTTCCTTTCCTTAACGCTTGCAACTAATTTACTCAGTTCAGGTAAGTTCACTTCTGCGTAAGCGCTGTGTCGAGGCCCATAATATTCATGACCCGAATATATGCAGCGTTATTGGCATACCGCATCTGGACGATCGAACGCAATGTCTCTGGAGCTTACGCCACGAAGAATAAAATGCCTATATTACGGGTGCTCGTAGATGCCGCGCTTATATATTCTGCAGCGCTCTGCGCCTCACAGGTATGTTTCGCTCTCTCGAACAACGGGTTTTATGTTATAGGAGACCTGGTATGTTATTCCGCTCTCATCAAAATGACTGATCAGAGCTTTGATCAACAATGTAGATCGTCCCTATCATCTCGATTGTCTTCTATATGGTGTTTATCCGCATCGCAATCAGCAAGAACGTTCAGGAATGTCTCTCGACTACTGTTTGCGGAGGGAGAAACGACTCAGACCGAAGAATGTCGTCGAGATATCCTGCGCAGCCTTCGATGGAGATTGGGTACGAGAGGGATGATATCATTTTGACCGGCAGAGACAGCCTGAAGATAGATACAGCCTCATCTACCCAAGTGTAGTTCACCGAATTCCTTCAAACTGTATTACTCTATCCTTCCGCATGAAGGACCCTGGTCTTAACTACTTTGCTTTACCAACTCATGTATCAGGGATGTTGCGAATTCAAACTACCACTTGCTAAAGTGAACGGCTGATCGATCCGTCCTGTGCACCCGAAAACGCTTCAGTCCACACCTGTGACTCCCACGTATTGCCTCTAATTAGACGTGATTATAGATAGGGCTAGCACGTCTAAAACGACAGAGTTCTAGCGTTTCCAAGCCTCCTTCAATAACTCTTGGATAAAGAGTGACTTATAATAACAGCAAGCAACTGTAGCCTAGCTAGGTAAGCCAGCGTGGGACGTCGGCGTTAATGTTCCTGGCTTCGGCTATCTTGCGCCTGCCGTGTGAACCTTCGTGCTCGCTGTCGTACACGACGAGCTCGATAAATCAAACATATCGGAGGCGCGTTTTGATACTTAACAGTAAGCATAATAAAAGAAGTGCATTGCAACAGTATGATGGATAAACTAGACTACTCCTCTACTTCACCATTGTCAACAACCTGGAGCTGTGAGAAGTCATCAGTGATGGTGATAATGTCCTGCAAACTCCTTGAGGCTTCTTCTGCAACCTCCTCTGTGACCTCCTCCTCATCTAAATCCTCTTGAGTATCTGCACCTATAGGGGATGAAGGGTTGTGTGCAGGTATATGGGCAGCAAACATGTTGGCAGGAATTAGAGGATCTGGCATGCTGGCACTCTCCCTGATACCAGTGCAAGCACTTAGACCAGGGACAAGTGTACCAGTGAAGCTGGGAAGCTTTGAGATATCATCAAGCCACTTGATATGGCAGGAGTTGAACTGGCCATGAGTGTTCTGATGTATAGCGATTTGATGGGCAAGGGCAGGGTTAGCAACTGTGAGTTGATCTTTGCACACCCACAGATACTTGTCTTCATCTCATATATATGTCACCAGATGGTGAACCTTGATATTCAGACAACAAATCTCCTTGCATGCTCGACACATTTTGAAATAAAGATCCATCCCACTCCAAGCTGCTGGTGATGACCAAGGTAATTGAGAGACATTGGAGTGTGTTGTCCTACTACTTAAGGGTCTTATGTACAACGCATATATAGTGACAACACAACTATACAGGATAAGACTTCTTGCCAGTCCTTAAGTACATGGTCTATGACTTTTCTAGTTTTCATGGTAGATAATGTGTGAGTTCTTGGGAGGGATATGTTTCAATTATCCTCTTCTTGTTTCCTTGGTCTAAAAGCAACTAGTAGTCTGGAGTGCTGCATGTGAACTCTGAATGTGTAGCACTTTGTGTGCTTGTGAATCATGTCTCCCTTCCTGAAAAAGAGAGAAGAAAGTAGTGTAGATGAAGCTTTAGCTTAGTCAGCTGTACTGTTAGTTATATAGTCAACCCCTGTAAGGTAGTATATAACCTGAATAGATGTTTCTTAGTCTTACTTCAAGGCTACTGAATGGCCTGCACTTAAATCTTAAATGTTCTCACATGGTTTGAGATAAAGAGTGAAAGTGGGAAGTCTATTTTCATAGGTGTAAAATGAGCTCCTTATATACCTTTTTGGAGACCATCTTACTAAGCATGATTCTTCACAATAATTGGTAAGAATGTGCTTACAAACTTGTGTTGAGTCAGCTTGTTTACCAAGTAGATACTAAATAAAGTGAAATCTTACAAAGCATAAAGAAAAGTGGCATGAGTCATCACATGGATTGGTAAGATTGTGCTTACAAACCAAGCCTATGGGTGTGCTGAATCAGCCTTATTACTAAGTGGATTATAAATACAGTTGCAAGTCTTACAAAGCATGATGAATCATGACCAAACATGATGAGTCAAGTTGAATCCTTACAAATCAGAGTGTTTACCAGTCACATGACATGCTTACAAACATGCCTGGTGGCTCATGAGAAAATGTGGCAGCTGAATATGCCTAAGTAAAAGTAGAAAGAATAAAATAAATAAAAAATAGAAATACATGGAAAGAAAGAAAAAAAATAGAAGTGAAATCTGAAAGTGAAAAACTAGCTAAACAATAAGGAAAAATGATAGGATAACTTGGTGATAGGGATCAGTCTGGTGTGTTATACCTTCCTTATCACTCCTGTTATGTATATGTCATGGTATGAATCACATACCATGCATGACAGCATCTTTCATAGCAGCTTGAAGTCAGCAAGAAAGGTGTACTCAACAACATGCTCCCACTTGAGTATTGGCCAGGGAGGGTACACTGCACTGGCAAGGTTGTTGTATGTGTTGAGGGTGGACCTGATGGCAGCAGAATGCATCTGCAAGGCCCTTGCAATATGTTTTCGCAGTTTGTAACCTTGAACATAGATAGAGTTAGCTGAAACAAGTCAAACTAGACTTGAACTCACCTGTCCCTGCCCTATTCATCTTCGCAAGTTCGAAAATGTGAGCCACAACCAAACCTTCCAAACGGTCCAAGGCATGTTGATACTTTCTATTAGCTACAAGTCTCCCTGCCCTCTGCCATTCTCCATCTTCTGGAACCCAGTGAGTGATGATACCGAGTTTGCATTCTAATAACTTGTCATATCCTGTATGCCAGACATAGATCCCATCATATTCCCACGCTTTCTGGACTTATTTCCGGACCCCATATCCGACTCATTCCTGGATCCCCTATCCTGTCCACCCTATGCACATTCTGTCCAGCAAGACATCTGGACTCTACCTCCTCTCGGATTCCAGACTACATCCACCACCTCACATATCTCAGTCCTGTTTCCATCCTGCCTTCCAGATCCCCAGATCTCCGGACCTATTCCCACCCTCCATCTGAGATCCTGTGCCTATCCCCATTTAGGCATCTCTGCCTTTCCGGTTCTCAGTTATCTCTGTTTCTGTCTTGCTGATTGATCCTTGTACTAGTTTCATCTCCGAGTTCATTTACTTATGTTCCGTCTTACTTACCAATGTGTTTCCACATGCTCATACATAGCCTTACTCCTTTGCTTACTGATCCTCTTGGATAGTCTCTAGTATATAACCCCTGTACAACTACAGTAGAGTCCTCAGTCTGAATATCATCTTAGTTCTTGCTCTCTCATCTTAGATCCTGTTCTACTTGCCAATCATCTTCTGGACTTCAGTCCATCTGAGTCTTGTCCTTTTCCATAAGGCCTAGGGATGGACTCCCTAGGCCGGAATTCCGGACCTCCGGACTTGACCCCTATGTCTCTGTCCCAAGTCTAGGGATTGCTTCCCTAGGCTAGAGTCTTGCCTTTCTGGCACTTACCCTCTTTCCGGACTTAGGTCCACTTCCTGTCCCTCCGACTCTACCTTAGGGTAGTCTACCTCTGTTTGCTTCTACATCGGACTTCGTCTGATGTAGCCCCTATTCCTTCTGGACCTCCGGACCTCCTGTCCTCTGTACCTCTGGACATCCTGTCCTTCAGACATTCCACCCTCCATACCTCCATGTCCATCCTCCATACCTCTGGACCTCCGGACATCCTGTCCTTCCATCCTGTTTTCCTGTAGAAGTATTACCTTGCAGTGGGAACTCTCCTGAGCATTTCCTGCATTCCTCTGGAACTCTCCCATGCTCCTCCGGATGTTTCCCGCACTCCTCTGGAAGTCCTCCCGCACTCTCCACCAGAGTAGCCAGCCTCCGGAAGTCCACTGGACTTCGTCGGACCATCATCAGACTTCCTCTGAAATGAAGGGCACATACTTGGGTAAGGAGCACAGCATACGAGCTGAGGCCAAGCCCCTCTGAGTCAGTCTCTCTCTCCTTTGAGCATGGTTCTTAACATAACTGAACCAATTTCAGGTTTCTCTCATAGTCCTTGAGAGCATGGCGCTGCATGTTTTCAACCTTGCATGTGTTTCCAATGTCTGTGCCATATGATGGAGTATTGTGCATTCTGAACATGTCCATTCCTGCATCAAGAGCAACCCTGTTTTTTGGGGGCTTCAGTAACTATGAGATACATACACCAAAAGTAAAACTTACTTGCTTGCACTAAGGTTCACTAATCTCTGCCAGTACTCCATCTGAAGCGTCTCTTCTTCAGGCTCTTGTGTTAGACCCTTAAGGTAGATTTTCTCGTCTTCAAGCCAACATTCAAAGACACTCTCATCTTCAACTTTGAGCTCTTGCATAACCTTTGGTAGGACAGCTTCACCATTGGCGATGATCTCAAGAGCTTGTTTGTAGTTACCATGCAAGATATTTGCTAGCCAACCAATAGTTATGTCAGCGAGTGCTTATGTCTGATAAACAGACTGACATACAAAGATTGCCATATACCTTGAGCTCATCATTATGCTCGAAATATGAATCAATAGCCTGTTGATGATGGAAAACACTAGTATACTGTAGAGCTGATGCAAGGGAGTTTGACTTGGAGAATGTCCACTCACAAGTCTCCAGATCTTTGATACCAATGCCTTTGATGTAAGTTGTTAATTAAAAAAGCTGACATAACCATCTGTGTGCATGTCTGTGAAATGCACCAACCAGGCAACTATGATGTAATGAGTGCGCCAGGGGACTGCTCTGCACCATGTCTGCAATAAGTAAACAAAAGCTGTGGCAGCATACAGCGATGAAGACACCAGTTTTGTCATAAATACCCCAAGATTTTTTTTGTCTTCGCATCGTCCATATTTTTCCACTGGCCTTCACATGAGTTCTCTGCTGGATGCTGACTGTGTTAGTTGTCTCTACAAAAGGTACACATCAATTACTCACATTGGCTCCCATATCACATGGCATATCCTGTGCAAACTGCTCTATGAAGTTACAAGATAGGTAACGGTCACTAACGAGTACCTGGTTAGTGGGAAGTTCGGATGATAGACCAAGAGAGTCATTGCTGTCATCAAGTGAGCATTGCAGAATTCATTTCAATGAGTTGTTCCCATCCATAGCATAGAGAATCTTGAAGTGTAGCTTCTCTTTGTCAGTTAGCGTGTAAGTGCATGTTGGGCATGTGTGTTTTAGGCACCAGTCAGGCAAGTTGCATTGGAGGGATTCTGTGATGAGCAAGGCCACAACCTGTCTGATTTGAAGATATATGTCAAGTGCAATTGAAAATTGATGTGAGATGTGCTAGTGGAATTCCACCTGTAGTATGTGTATGTGTTTAGCATGGAGCACCATAGAACTTAAAATTGTACCCCATGTAAGTTGCATATTGTTTTGATGAAGGCTTGGATTGACAAGTGAGGGTTCCTGAGGTGCACCACCCAATATAATTCAAGGGCTTCTAATGTAATGCCTGCCACTTGTGATATTGGGGAGCAGGGCATGACACCTTGACAAACCAGGGCAGAAGCAATTGTACAGTCTGTTGATGATATTTTCAGTATGAATTTCTCAGCAACTTTAACAAATGATGTGATAAACATAAACACTGAAACTAGCAAGTAACTCACAGAATGTGTCTACTACTGTCACTGGCCATTGGCCACCATTCAAATCAGTCATGCCATCATCAGTCCTCTTCACTGTGTAGGTGATCATAAAAACTCTTGAAGCCCTTTTGTGATTTCTCCAGGCTTCATATAAGGTATGATTTGCTCATTGAAAGCAAGATTTCTTTGCAGAACACAATCATGCCATGTGCAATTGTTGACACATTGAACTCTGTGAGCACCATCTTGATCCTTTCTGATGTGCACATCAGTTGCTGACTGTCTGCTAACATGCACTCACAATTTCCAGACCTCACCCAGAACACCTCACCAGGTCTCTGAACTCTCTGCCAGCATGGCTAATGGGGAGTGTGTCAGTACCATCCCAGATGTCACTGAGATTGAAATCATCAGAGTCCTCAGCAATGTTAGGTGGGTTAGTTGGGGGATCTCTGAGAGCTTCCAGAGCTTGGTGCTCCTTGGTTGTCATTGCTATAAACCAGGTTAGTGTTCTGATTATTTTTTGAGCACTTGGACCAGGCTTACCTTGTAGGTAAGTCTCCCACCACTGTTTATAGCTGGCTGCTTGCAGAACCAACACTCTATGTTTGACCACCTTCAATACACAGTTAGTGGGAAGCCCATCCTTATCTTGCAAGGAGCCTATGTGGCAGATAGACCACAAAGACAGGTTAGTGTGAACTCATTGTGTCTGACATCCTCCTGGATTCCACATTTTTTTTCTTTCATACAAGCCAGCTATGGGTACATTTTTTTGCACATTGAGCTGTGTGTGACTAATCATAAACATTATTAGTGCACATTTCCATCAATTCCCCCTCATTTGATTGACCATTTCCTTAAGTGTCTCATATCCACCATGTCATGCACTCCCTCACCATCCATCATTTCTTGCCATGATGATCATGTCTGGGACTTATGTCAGTTGGTTGAAAGCTTAACTGTATCAGGTGGGTCGCAGGTCTATATCATCTGATAATCACCTGCATGCTCACACTCTTAAACAGGTTCATTGTTGGATATGATTAGCTGGAAGCGCAAGACTGTTGAAGAGAGTATTACCCTTTCAAAAACATCACACACAAACTCCTTGCATGTCAATCAAACCATCCCAAACTCCAATCTATCTACTAGCTCCTGCACACAAGACCATCTAGTGCCTTTGAGCTCATCATCACATGCACAACATTCTATGAATGTCACACTTCTTCTAATGCAGGTACCAAAGCCTAGTGATATCACACCCCCACATGCTAGTTTGGAACCTGAAGGGTTTTGGGTAATTACTGTCAGCCAAGAAGTGGGCATCTTCTATTACTGGTCAGCATTGTTGACCTCTCACTTATAATAATATTGACACTCATATCAGGGCTGATGTGGCTGAATGCACCAACTTTGTGAGCGGTAACATTCAGAAGTGGTACCCTTTGTTCCAAAAGGCACTTGAGGTATATATGATACAATATAACAAAGGTAGAGTATGAGCAGTACTAACCCTGGGTGGCCCTTTCTGGCTGCCTGCATCCCCACCTTCCCCCTCTTGGTCTGCTGACTCAGATGACTTGTGGTCACAGGTAGATGACTTGTCAGAGACAATGTCACACTATGAACTTTAGATACCTTCATAGTAGTTCACTATCTCAGCTGTGTACATATACATGACTTGCTTGTAATTCCTTAGCAATGGAATCTTTATGCTCAGATCACAAAATGTGCTAGCTATTATGCATGATTACAAAATTGATGCAGATGTGCAACTGTGATTGAATGACATTGGACTGCACAGTTGCATTACCTTAATAGTCTGCATGTATCCTGCAAGTGTAATTAGCAATTAGCCAGTGATATACAAGAGTCATAGTCCTAAATTGAGGTCCACTGCACTCACCACACATTTAGTATAACAGATGACCTAACCTTGGATGCAGTTGGTGGTTTAGAATTCTATGGTAGTGCAACATGCTAGAGATACAATAACATTTGCTATGTGTTCACCATCAATTCACCATGTGTTCAATATCAATTTGCTATATGTTCACTATAATGTAAGGATTCTGGTATGTGTTCACCATCAATTTGCTATGTGTTCAATGTCAATTCACTATGGATTCACTATAATTGCTTGACATATCATATAGTCAGACTACTTATTTTTACTGTTAGCTACCTTAACTTCGAAGAATTTGACCTCCAAAACAATACAAATAAGCAAATCATGCAGTAGAATTATATCATGTTTGAGGCACTCCCTGCAATACAGGCAGCTGGTATGTACAATGTTTTGCACACATTTGAGAAGTCCCCTCCCCTCACAAGCATGCACACCATATTTGTCAAGAAAAATGATAGTCTCTAGTCCTCCCTTCTTTTGCACACCTTTGAGTAGGTTTTCATATGCATCATCCCATGTGTGTTCAGATGTCTGGGCCCATCCCTTTTGCCACTGGTTGGCCATGTTCTCAATGTCTTGCAGGGTTGGCATGTCACAGGAACAGGGAAAGTCATTTCCCATAGTCAGTAGAGATCCATTGTCGACCTCAGGAGTGATATCGCGAGAATTGAGACCATTGAGCATGGGTGAACTGACCAAAGGGATGTGTATAGTTGGCTCTGCAGGGGCATGTATTTTTTTAAGGTTATGAGTGCAGTCAGCAAGAGTAAGACAGAATAAACAAAAGTGATTTGACCTGGCCTGCTTGCATAAAAAATGTATTTAAGCATGAAATTTCGACTTGAGAATGAGAGTGGGACTGACCTCACCATCTGAACATGTGCCTTTGCATTTTGCATGTCTTGAACTCTGAAATAGCAGGGAAGTACAATCTCAGTGTCAGTCAAAGGCAAAAGCTTACCCTGGCTTCTCAAGCCAATGCTTGGTAGCCATGTGCTGCCTGCTCAGAGTAACAGCAGGATTAGCCTTAGAATGTATGTGAATATCATACAACTGTGAGCAGACTGTGAGTCCCAAAATTGAGACTTACCATAGATTTGAGGGGAAAAAAATGGATCATGAGATTTTCCTTGATCTAATATTAATACCCTTACCTTGGGATTCCCCCTTGTATATTGTGTAGAATGTTAATTCTCAGCAGAGATGATGATCACCCCCATTGAATCAATGTTATATGCAGAACTATCCAGAACTGAACACCATCAGGATTCAAGTTGGATAAGACTCAGGATTGTAACAAGGTCATCCCAGCAGAAATGTGCATTATCACCTTCAATCAATGTTATACACCATTGGTATCCAAGTTGGATCAAGGGATTGCAACAAGGTCATCCCAGCAGAGATGTGCATTATCACCCCCAATCAATGTTATACACCTTTGGCATTCAAGTTGGATCAAGGGATTGTGACAAGGTCATCTCAGCAGAGATGTCCCCCATCAGAAAACTTCCTCTCAAAATTACAAAGTTGCTGCTGTGTAACCAAGGAAGCTGACAACAACCCCATCTGGATGTTCCAGACCTTGGATTCACCCATTGTCCCTCTAATTGGCAACCCAAGAAATATTGTAAGTTTTTTGATTGTTGATATGACTAGCAATTTGTATTAATGCTGTTTTTTGTAGGGCTTCGATGATGACTGCATCATCCTACTCCATTGGCATGATTCTCAGGTTCTCAAGGCAAGCATCTTTTTCCTATTCAAGTTGTTCTATTATTGACTTTGATATGCTTTTTTGTAGGGTCTCAATGATCTGACTGCCTGTTAAGAACCATGCTCAAAGGAGAGAGAGACTGACTCAGAGGGGCTTGGCCTCAGCTTGTACGCTGTGCCCCTTACCCAAGTATGTGCCCTTCATTTCAGAGGAAGTCCAATGATGGTCTGATGAAGTCTGGAGGACTTCTGGAGGAGCACGGGAGAGTTTCAGAGGAATGCAGGAAGTGCTCAGGAGAGTTCCCACTGCAAGGTAGTACTTTTACAGGAAATGGGATGGAAGGGTAGGATGTCCGGAGGTCTGGAAGTATGGAGGACAGGAGGACAGGAGGATTGAAGGTCCGGAGGACAGGATGTCTGAGGGTTAGGAGGATGGGACATCCAAAGGTATGGAGGGTGGAATGTCCAAAGGTATGGAGGGCGGAATGTCTGAAGGACAGGACACCCAGAGGTGCACAGGACAGGATGTCCAGAGGTCCAGAAGGAATAGGGGCTACATTGGACTTTGTCCAATGTAGAAGCAAACAGAGGTAGACTACTCTTAGGTAGAGTTGGAGAGACAGGAAGTGGACCAAAGTCTGGAGAGAGGGTAGGTGCTGGAAAGGCAAGACTCCAGTCTAGGGAAGCAATCCCTAGACTTGGGACAGAGACATAGGGGACAAACCCAAAGGTCCGGAATTCTGGCCTAGGGAATCCTTCCCTAGGCCTTACGGAAAAGGACAAGACTCAGACAGACTGAAGTCTGGAAGATGATTGGGCAGATCTAAGGTGATGAACAGGATCTAAGATGATATTCAGACTAAGGAAACTACAGGAGTATCTACAGATGTTATATACTGGAAAGTATCTGAGGGGATCAGTAAGCAACAGAGTAAGGCTATGTATGAGCATGTGGAAACACATTAGTAAGTAAGATGGAACATAAGTAAATGAACTCGGAGATAAAGACTTGTACAAGGATCAATCAGCAAGATGGAAACAGAGATAACCGAGAACTGGAAAGGCAGAGATGCCTAAATGGGGATAGACACAGGATCTCAGATAGAGGGTGGGAATGGTCCGGAGATAGTACAGTTAATATCCGGAGGTCCGGAGATCTGGGGATCCAGAAGGCAGGGTGGAAACAGGACTGAGATATGTGAGGTGGTGGATGTAGTCCAGAATCCGAGAGGGGGTAAAGTCCAGATGTCTTGCTGGACAGAATGTGCATAGGGTGGACAGGATAGGGGATCCAGGAATGAGTTGGATATGGGGTCCGGAAATAGGTCTGGAAAGCGTGGGAATATGATGGGATCTATGTCTGGCATATGGGATGACACTGCCATGGTGTCATCATAATCCCATAGGTATAGTTTTCAGGTTCCTGAAGCAAGCACATTGTTTTTTTAATCGCATCCCCACAACAACACTCCCTCCTACCCACACAGACAACTATGAGCTACATTTTCTCTGAAGATGACTTTAATACCAATGGAAATTTCATTGACAGCGGAGGACCTGAATATCTCGCAGGGTTGCACAATGAAAATGAAGGTGCAGTGTTATTTATGTGCATCTCCCACTCTTTGTATTGACCTTTGAAAAAAACAGGATCAAGCCACACACCCCAACTTTGGCACAGTATCAATTGGCAGGACCCATCATTATACTTGATGCTGCTGATGAGTGATGAGTTAGCATTCCTCAATGATGGCCCAGCCCTTCCACAGCCCCCTACTCCTGTCATTGCTCAATTTTCACCTGATGCACATGAACTCACACCTTCCTCTCACACATCATCAGCTGATGGTGAAGAGTCACTGTCAGAGCCCCTCCATGATGCAAATTCATCCACCTGGGCAGTGTGAAACCCAACACATCCCATGATCCATCACCAGAACCCACTGCCTCAGCTATCAGATGCCCAGAAGGCCTCTCAGAAAATCAAGAAAGACCAGAGGACAGAGATTACAAAGTGTTTACACAATGCCATTGCCAAACATCTGCAAGAACAGAAAAATGGAGTTGAATTGCTCTCACTCACTCACAATGTTACTCCCAAACAGATCAATGACATAATCAGTAATCAGACTAAGTATTGCATGGCGTGCAAGGTTCACCTCAATAATGCCCTAATTCATGCCAAAGCTAAGGAAATGAACAGTGGTATGCAAAATTCCTTTGCTTGCTCTTGTTGTCATACTTATACAGTTGATATGCTCATATTGCATATCATAACTATGCATATATGTCATAATGCACAGACTTTTGATGATTCTAGCATGGGCAGGCTGAAAATGCAGACATAATGCATAAGGCATAATGCATAGCTATTGTGTGGATGATATGCATCAGAGGGTCGTAACTAGGGCAACGAGACATACAGTGGCTCAAAAAACTGTCCACATGTTTTGACATTTTTCACTATCTATGATATTGTGTGAGAATGAACAAATGCGTCAAGGACATGCTTATACCACATTGTAGTATGGCTTCAGGGCTTTCATTTGAGTCCTACACCATGGGAATCGGTGGAGATATGGTGGAGACATAAGGCTTACAAAATCATGACTCATGCGGACAGTTTTTTGAGCACATATTAAAACTATATAAATCATCATTTATGACACCATAACAATCATGCCACCATTAAATAAATTATAAAGTGGTGTCATTATGTCATTTTAAAACCATATCTAACTATACAAACCAAAAATTTCCATATGTCATGGTTATATTCACCATGAAAGCCACCCCCCCTGCTCAAAGGGATAATATCCTCTCTGTTAAGGTTGTACTCAAAAGGTAACTGGATCTGAAGGGCTTCAGCCTCAGCTCGTACGCTGTGCCCCTTACCCAAGTATTGCCCCTTATTTCAGGAAGGCAAGCCTAGCGCGTCCAGAAGGTTGGACAAGTAGCATAACGGATCTGGGTGACTTCCAGATGAGGGATAAGTATCGTATGGCTAATCCAGATGAGTCCAGACTAGAAACTAATGGTAGTGGACTGTCAGGGACAGAGGCGGATACGGATAGACTATAGGAATCAATCCTAAGTCTCAGAGGGTGACGAGAGTAGAGATACTCAAGTCCAGAGGACAGGAATGAGCAGAACTAAGATGATATTTGAACTGAGGTACTACAGAAAGTTACAGGAGGTTATATACTATAGGTATCTAATGGAATGATCAATCAGCAGAGTCTGAGGCTATGTACGAAGCATGTGGATAGTCTATTGGTAAGTAGAAACGGATCACAAATCATGAAATGGAAATGAAACATAGGTAGTGGATAAGGGAGCAGGACAGATATACAGATAACCAAAATACCGGAGTTAGGGGGTTACCGAAAAGAGATGAGCGCTGGTTGTGGATTTGGATGAGTTGTGGACCAGACCGGACGAGTGGACAGATTGAATGACGAGATGTTGGAGGGGGATAAGATGTGGATAGCATCGGAGATAAGATGTGGATCTGAGATAAGGATTGGATCTGAGATCCAGATATGCAGATATGACACTCTCTCTTTCCTATTCTGGCCTCTCTGCTTGTCAAATTTCCTCTAGAACTGGAGTATCCAAGTCCACTGTGGCCAAGTTCATCAAAGAAAGTCACACAGACCAGGAAAACTTCTGTGAAGGGCGTCCATCCAAGCTCACCTCTACTGATAGGAGGGCTATTATTCAACATATCACTACAGGAAAGGCTGATAATGCTGTCCAGGTCACCTATTACATCAATTCCACCATCACATTCCCTGTCTCTTCACACACTGTGAGAAACATTCTCAAGACAGCTCATCTCAGGTCAGTAACAAGGAAGAAAAGGCTCTCCTCTCTATCACACATATGCAGAGAGGACTAGCACCCTTCTTTTTTCACATATATACCTTGCCATCTGACCCAATCCTATTTATTGTGGTCTTATATGATCATATAACATGCTTCCAGTCCATGCAATCCAATTCTGATGGGCTAAGGCAAAGGTTAGTCATCTCTGTTTATGTGTGATAGAGAGGAAAGCTGTCATATCCGCATATCTGGATCTCAGATCCAACCCTTATCTCCGATGCTATCCACATCTTATCCCCCTCCAACATCTCATCATTCAATCTGTCCACTCGTCCGGTCTGGTCCACAACTCATCCGAATCCACAACCAGTGCTCATCTCTTTTCAGTAACCCCCTAACTCCAGTATTTCGGTTATCTGTATATCCATCCTGCTCCCTTATCCACTACCTATGTTTCATTTCCATTTCATGATTTGTGATCCGTTTCTACTTACCAATAGACTATCCACATGCTTCGTACATAGCCTCAGACTCTGCTGATTGATCATTCCATTAGATACCTATAGTATATAACCTCCTGTAACTTTCTGTAGTACCTCAGTTCAAATATCATCTTAGTTCTGCTCATTCCTGTCCTCCAGACTTGAGTACCTCTACTCTCATCACCCTCTGAGACTTAGGATTGATTCCTATAGTCTATCCGTATCCGCCTCTGTCCCCGACAGTCCACTACCATTAGTTTCTAGTCTGGACTCATCTGGATTAGCCATACGATACTTATCCCTCATCCGGAAGTCATCCAGATCCATTACACTACTTGTCCAACCTTCTGGACGCGCTAGGCTTGCCTTCCTGAAATAAGGGGCAATACTTGGGTAAGGGGCACAGCGTACGAGCTGAGGCTGAAGCCCTTCAGATCCAGTTACCTTTTGAGTACAACCTTAACAGAGAGGATATTATCCCTTTGAGCAGGGGGGGTGGCTTTCATGGTGAATATAACCATGACATATGGAAATTTTTGGTTTGTATAGTTAGATATGGTTTTAAAATGACATAATGACACCACTTTATAATTTATTTAATGGTGGCATGATTGTTATGGTGTCATAAATGATGATTTATATAGTTTTAATATGTGCTCAAAAAACTGTCCGCATGAGTCATGATTTTGTAAGCCTTATGTCTCCACCATATCTCCACCGATTCCCATGGTGTAGGGCTCAAATGAAAGCCCTGAAGCCATACTACAATGTGGTATAAGCATGTCCTTGACGCATTTGTTCATTCTCACACAATATCATAGATAGTGAAAAATGTCAAAACATGCGGACAGTTTTTTGAGCCACTGTAAGTAGCACCCAAACTATTGTTCTCCAGCATTGTCCTGCTCAGCTATGTAAGTGTGGAATGGATTAATGTCCTGATTTGTAAAAATGTCCCTAACACTGAAATGCAAGCCATGCAATAAGCCTGCCGCATACACTCAACCTGCAAAGAAGCAGAAGATTACAAATAACACTCCTTGTACATCTGCTCAACCTCTCAATAAATGCTCAAATTCACATCAAAATCTCACTCTCACTGATTGGTTGTCTGTCTATACCTTCATTGATGCTCACCCTCATGCCACCCAGGCTGACATTGTCCAACACTTCAAATCACTCCCAACTGGTGCACTCAACTTTGATAAATCAACACTGTCTCACAAATTACAAACCCGCCCAAATATGGAAGCTTGCATCAATGACAACCCAAATGTGCTGTCAGCAAAACAGCTGAGAGTTGTCACTTGACCAGATGTTGAGTGAGCCTTAGTTCTTTGGGTGCAGCACATGGAACATAAAGGTGAAACAGTAACATCACATATGTTACATGAGAAACAGAAGAGATTTGAAAATGAATTTGATGTGCCAGAAAAGGAGAGATTGCTTGGTGAGGCATGGGTACAGTCATTCTGTAAAGCCTATAAGCTCTGTGAACACTGCCAACATGGAGAGGCTGGTTGTTATGGTTCTCCCTAGCACCTTCACCTTTTCACACTTTCACCCTTTCACAATGTCACCTTTCACAACTTCACAACTTCACCTTATCACAGATGACATCATACATTCTTTAGTGTTCCATCACATTCTATGGTACAATCTTACATAACATTATATCATTGGCTAGCTACTTTAGAGCTCTGCCTGAATACTTGTATATATACACATAGTTACACTCATGTATTCCCTATCTTGACCTTAGCAATACTAAGCTTGTATCTTGGTATACTTGAGTGAGGTATTCATTGTTAAGCATAACACTGGTCCTGTTGATCCCAAGGCTGTTGAACTAGAGAGGGAGTGTTGTCACAGAATTTTAGCAAAGTTTGCCCCATGAGATTGGTGGAACTTTGATGAGACATCATTCTTTCCTTAGTAAGTGAATTAGTTCCTGAATAATGATGGCTAACTTAATTAATTATAGTGCACCTCCTGACTGTGGTCTCACATCACAGCAGATGAGTGGCAAGAAGAAAGAAAAGTTCCACATTTCTGTTGGGCTAGCATGTAATGCTGATGGCAGTGAATGGCTTGAACCCATCTTCATTGGAAGAGCAGCAAAACCACGCTGCTTTAAAAAGCAAACACCAGAACAGCATGGGTTTTATTACCACAACAACAAAAAAGCTTGGATGACATCAGTTATTTTTGAAGAGTAAGTTGATCACTGATTCATTGTATCATGTCCAAGTCTGATCAGTCTTAATTTAGGTGGCTTAAGAAGCTTGATCTTCAAATGAAGCAGCAACATCGCTACATTTGCTTGTTTGTTGACAATTTTTCAGCCCATTATGTCTCATATCAACCTTCAAACATTGATGTTGAGTTTTTCAAGCCCAATATGACACCATATATACAGCCATGTGATGCTGAGATAATCCAGTGCTTCAAGGCTTTATATTGTCACTATTTTTGTGCCTGTGCCATTGATCTCAACAAGGCTAGTGAGCAGAGCATTTATAAGCTCAACCTTCTAGAAGGCATGACACTGGTGAAACAAGCCTGGAACACTGTGTCATCAGAAACGATTGAACACTGCTGGGATCATGCCCAAATTCAACCATTAGTTAAAATTTTCATTGTTATTCTGATTTCATCAATGCTAATTTACATTATCATGTAGTGATTTATTTGTGGACCCATGACCACATGTTGATCTGGCTGCTTGGACCATTGTCCACAAGTTTGCAGGGACTGAAATGTCATTTCCTGAAGCAGAAAGTGAACTGCAAGCCCATCTTGGTGACTGTTTTGCAGATTCTGACTGTTACAATCATGTACACCCCTATTCATTTTCTCTCTCTTACCTTGTATTATGTCACGAACTGCATGATGCCACTGCTAGGCTTACCTCTGACTCATATCTTGTATTACATCATGATTGCTGTTGCCATCACTAGATGATCTATTCTTGTTATTGCTGATGTGTCCTTTCTTATCTCTGACTCATCATTGATCCCACACCTGCCCTAGACCACCTATGATCACTATATATAGTTGACAATGTATCTTGTAGTTCTTCACTTTAATCTTACTAGGTTTTACCTGAAACATCCTTCACTTGAGACCTCCAATCTCTTGTCGTCTGAACCATACTTTAAGTTAGAAGCACTCCTTCTAACTTAGCTTACACTGAATGCTTGACTCATCTCACATAGAATCTCAGCAGAGGTCTTGACTCTTATCAAGTCATCTGTCATTAAGAACTATCCTAGTTTGTAACACTGACTGGAGGCCAGCACTTAAAGCTGTCATGGATGCTGAGGGAGATACAGATCTTGCCTTGAGGGCAGTCAATACACTTGAGAAGGCTGCATTTGGACATACTGGTCTCAAACTTCAAATTCCCATGTGTCAATAAAAACCAGTCCAACTCACTGCTGCAGAACAGGAACTTATGGAATCAGTTAATGATCTCAAGGAATGGAAACACATTTTCAGCACTTTACTAACCATTGATGAGATTCTGGACCCTGCTGAGGAGAGAGATAATGGAGATCTCCCGAACTTCAAAGGTGGTGACCAGGCTATTGCTGATGAAGTCTGTCATGAGATTGCAGTCGCAAATGGCGAAATCATCGAGATTGATTCAGATGATAAGTCAGAAGAAGATGGGCCATCATTCATGCACACAGAAATCCTCAAATTGTGTCAGCAACTCAAGACTGGATGCATGCAACATGGTGATCCTCAATTTTCCCTTAATTTGTCATCACAGCTCCACATTTTTTGTGCTCAATTATGGTGAGAGGAGCTACTGAATGCCAAGCAGACTTCTATAGATTGTTATTTCAAAGCATAATACATGTATGTGCTGTGAATACTGTACTTTGTCAATTGGTCATGTCACATCTGTGTGACAAATGTCATTATGCATATGTGTTATAATGCATCAAGTTTTTGCTGCCCCAATGGTATGCATTATGAGCATATCAACTGTATTCTGTTGCAACAAGGCCAGCCTAATGGTCTTCAGTACACATTGGTCAAGCTGCATGAAATGGTTGCTCAGGACCTCCAGATGCAAGATTTGATGAAGGATGAGAAGGCCACTTATATGACTGCTCTCAGTCAACACCATGAACAAAAGGTAAGTAGTGTGTGAGCAAATAACATGGCTACTGCATGAGACATTTTAGTCATGACAGAAAGGGTGGTCAAGGAGGTGAGTTCTCCACCTGTCACATGTATTCTACTGAACTTATTTTCACTTTGAAGCTCGATGATTTGCATATTTGCACAGGCACCTATGGAACTCTATTTGTCATTCAGGGTCACATTAATGACACCATTCAAAACACAATGCACAGTACTGACAATTCTGAAGACTTCTGGGAGGACATTTATGACTCTCCAATGGCTGATTTTCTCCAACAATATGAACAATGGGCCTGCACACAGAATCAAAGTCATCTGGCTCCTCACAGTGATATCTTATTCTTATTCAGTCTTTTTGAGATCTCAATGAACATGACTCTTTGGAAACAGTCCACAAGCAAGCTCGAAAATTGATTGTCTAAGGACTGGGTATGTGACAGTAGTGTGCATGTGTGCTGTCTGACATCTTTACAGTTGCAATGACTGGCAAAAGAGACATCACAATGAACTACAACAACTACAAGACAGCAATTATCAAAATGTATGCAGTCAAGCTAGCATCAGCAAATCACTTTGCCTCTGTGGGCTCTGTACAGCTCTGTACAGAAGGGACCAAGCTGTGGCCAGCCATTTTTTGGTGGTGGGAAAAACAGTGTTTTACTGATGAGTAGGATGGCCCCAGGGTGTCAAATTTACTGGTCCCTCAAACATCAGGACAGTCAGTGAAATTCACAAGCTCTGCAACACACTCAAGGACTGAACATGTTACTGGGCTGCTCTCACTCCAGCAGAAGTCAAGGTTCACAGTGCTGAACTTGATGCACGCCGTTCAGCAGGGCAAGTTGTTCAGCAGCCATGCAAGAAGCACTCCAATGCTGGAATCACTCACAAGCACAAGGCTCCACCTACCACAGGACAGGCAAACAAAGAGAACAGAAGGCCATCAAAGAAGGTGAAAAAGAATACTAGTGCCCAGCATCATGAGGCCCCTAAAAGTGCGGAGTTCATTGAGTCATCTGATGAGGAAGAGGACAAGGGCAAGTAGTACACCCTGCTGCTCTTTTATGTATATTCTGAGGATCTGTACATATCTGAATGATTAGTAGCTGTCACTGTAAAAATGCACTACCAATGTGTAAAACACGCGTGTTAATATGCATGGTTTAAGGAGCTCATCATGTATGACAGTGGGCATGATAGCTGAAGCCAGGAACATTAATGCCAATGTCCCATGCTGGCTTACCTAGCTAGGCTACAGTTGCTTGCTGTTATTATAAGTCACTCTTTATCCAAGAGTTATTGAAGGAGGCTTGGAAATGCTGGAACTCTGTCATTTTAGATGTGCTAGCCCTATCTATAATCATGTCTAATTAGAGGCAATACATGGGAGTCACAGGTGTCAGTCCAGTGGTATATTTATTTATCGTAAGTAATGAATGGAAGCAGCCATTGAAGCTGCATGTATGTGAGTGCACCAGAATGATCATATATGAAGTATAGCAGAAATAAATGAGACTAGTAAGTAAAGTACGTGCAGTTGGCAGCACCAGGCAGCTGCACAATTAAAGCCATCAGGGTAAACAGAAAAGCAAGAGCTTAAAATGGTATATCAGAGCATGTGTGCCAATGAAAGGAATTTTGAAAGAAAAGTAGTCCATCCATTGCCACTCACTCACTCAAATTCACTCGCTGTAAGGCAACCTCATCACCACTGAATCGTACCTACCATGAGAAGGCGCATGTGTTGTGCCTGTCCCGTTCACAACACCAGAGGTGTATGTCATAAGGCGTGCTCAATTCTTAACTCAGGCAGGATAGACAGACCACTATTAGACAAATGAAAATCAGTAGTCGTTCATTCTCTTTTCAGAATAGATACTAAAAGTGTTGGGTGTGAAGCAGACAAGATCGCAAAATGTTGAGTCAAGGCTTACAGCAGTTCACGAAACTAATGGCACTGCACTGCGTGTTGTCCAAAAATTCCGACGTCTGAGACTTGGCGGAGATTCTGGGGGGTCACCAAGGTTTCAACCATGTAACTGCCACCACATATCAGCCAGCCAGTACTAAGTTGTAAACCTGATACTCTAAGTCAACTACTCCATGCAACGATGGCAGGATACTGTCAAGCCTTCTCACCTTGATTTCCGCTTAGTATATACAGCATTAACTCAACCCTTCAACACGCCTCAATACATACCCAGCTGCAGACCTACCACATTAGTACGTATAATGTTAACCCACAGCTAGGGTTTATCTGATGAAAAAGGCAACTCGAACTTGGTCTTTGTTTGCACTGCAGCGTCACTGCTGCTTGTCTCCAACCAACACAACCGACACCAGATCACTGCACTCAAGCTCTCTTATGTAAGTACTTACCTTTAATACTGCAGGATACTTCTCACTGACACCACCTGATCAATCTTTTGATCTATTCCACCTGGGCCAGGACCATAGCACAGGCAAATTGTGCAAGTTTTACCTGTGATTTGAACATCTATTGCAGCTGTCGACTCAAGGATAATTACATGTATGAAGACTAATGTATGGCTTGTAATATACGATCTTTTGAAGACCGTTCTTTGATAATCTGTTGTATCTAATTCATAGCCACCACGGCACTTGTGTCCTTGCACTGTGTGTACACCAGTGGGTCTGTTCCAGACGATTCAAATAATCAAACTCCATGTCGGGAGAAATGGATATGCTCGTCGTCAACCAGGTCCAAACAAGCTTGTGTTCGAAGACAAGTTAGATCAGGGATTTGAAAACTCGCAACCTGCTGCTGAGTTTGAATGTCCACCCTCACCTACCCTGGAGGAAAATGAGTACTTTGATCGCGAAGCAGACACTGATATTAACATGGGCATGGATGTGGATCCTATTGACAGGGACTTTTATGTTGACGACAATGTTCACGATTCTGCTCCTCTATACTTTCCACCATCTGACGACGAGTCTCTTGACAACCAAAGTGTACTTTCTCTCGATCTCAGGACTCCTGCTATCACACATGACGAGCATCACGAACAGGTCAGTACCAGTGAATATATTGAGGGAGGTGATGAGCAAGATGATGAGCGAGTTTGGCAACCTACTCATACAATGATAGCACTCAGCTGATGCACACTGCAGTGCAACAAATGTATGCGCTTGCAGACCATATGTTATTGAGAACCCCACACTCGCGGAGTTTGAAATTACCTTTGCTCTTGACTTCCACGATGACATCCATGTTTTGGCAGTGTCCGATGATCCCGCACGTACTCTGCATTTCTTTTGTCTTGGAAGCGCCATGAGTAAGTCCCATGCACTTGATTATTGGAGTAAACCTTAAACCATCTGCTTGCAAGGCCCTCTACTTGGGAGATGGAATTTGTTCCTAGAATGATGATTCCCTCTTCAAACATGGAGAAGTCAACCCCACATCAGCTTCAGAGCTCTTTCAAAACATGTGGCTGCTGACCAGCTAATAATGTAAGACCTTCCTTCAAATATTTGATACGTTTGCAGACTGACACCTTGGTCACTATCCCACTCTTCTCACCAACTGGAAGGTTTGGCCTGTAGCACAAGTAAGTCCAAGGACGCTTAACTGTTCATCGATGGTGAACTTAGTCTGTCTTAGATGATTAATTTCCGATATATGCCACTGCAAAAAGCGCATATTCCTCAAATACAGCTAAGAAATTCATCTCATTTCCCTGTAAGAAACACTCCTACTTCTTACAACGATGCTAATTAGCGGTACAGGCAACATGAAGCACTGCAGTACAAGCTAGCCTTAGCACGAATCAACGATATGTGTAAGCTGGTGTCCACCCTCTCGCTCTGTTGATTTTGAAACCTTTGTTCAGCCATGGCGCTGTTGTTTTTCCTACTTGGCACCACACATAGTATGTCATGCTTATTGAGGTATGCTCAACAGATGATGATCATGACTCGCATGTCACTCAATTTCTTTTGTAGCAATCCATCGGAACTGAAACTATTTGGAATGCAGAGGCTCTATACGGGCACCCTCAACTGACCACTACATTCATTTTCACATCAGATGGAACTCCAGGATGTACGTATCCCCATAATCACACTCACAGTTATGATTTACTCTATCTACTCCACAGTTGTTTCCTCTGCTTAGACAGACCCACGCAATACAGAGCATACCTCGTCGATCCTAGGTTCCCAAAACATGCAGATGCACAAGCAGCTGTATGCCTCCAAGCATTGTCTCACGGTGCTGGAGAATACATGTGCGCGAGAGGAAAGGCTGTCGAGGCAAGAGTCATGATTCGGAGCTGGGGGTACAGGGGTATGGGTTGATGTTTGCGCACCGCGGGTTTACCCCCGCTATATAGTCATGCATCCTGTATCTAGCACTGAGCAAAGGGCATGAGTATAAATACCATTGATTCATCCAGCATTTTAATGCCCTAGCTGGCTGGCTGAAGCTGAATCCGAGTGGCCGTGCGTGCACGATTGAGGTATATATATATATTAATATTATATATATTGATTTAAAGGTATATACAAACATTAAACCTCGCGAGGTCACCCTATCGAGGACAGGCCATGGTTTCAGCTGGTGTTGACGTGAGGGCGAAACCTTGACTGCTACATGGAGGGAATGCGACAAAACCGCCATGTCGACGCTGGTGTCCAACGAAGGCGCTGACGTGGCTGAGACCTAACCCTAGGGTCAGGTTCTGCCCTTATTTCATACAGCTGAAAATTTTGATAACGCGCAGTGCTGGCGTGTTGTGGGAAAATCACAATTGAGATTTGGGACTTAGTTTTTTTTTACCATTCTGTGTTACATAATGCCGCGTCATGTCCCAATAATTGATTTTATATCTGTACTGTGCTATACCGTGTTCCTCATAAATCATACAATGGCCAAGGCATTCAAGAGCGCCGAATTTGTAGACGACACTGATACAGATGTCATGGAACTGTCCTCGAGCCTCGCCGCACTGAGGAAACTAGATCGAGACAATGAGTATAACCACCTTAGCATGAATGTCGGAGCTCACAACTGAATGTTCTAGAAAGTGTAAGTAACCCTTCCAACGTAACGAACCTTCTACAACGTGGCCAGCAATGACTCCATCAACAGACATAGCTGCAACAGCTGTCAGCTGCCTTCCTTGCACAAAAACGCCTCTCATGCTGGCATGTTTGCACTTCTTTGCCCGGCCATATCTCCAGAATGAGGTATGTTCATCTACTGAAGTCTCGTCAATGAAGCAAAGTTCATCGGGCATGTATCGGGCCATCCGTTGCATGTAGTCAGCACGGAGATCTTCATTTCGTTCTTTGGCGATTTTACAGAGCTTTTTGAGGGAAACACCTGCACGATGGAGCTCACAGTGGATGGTGGTGTAGTGGAGTGCAATGAAGCGGTTGCATAACATGAGTCGAGTGATCTCGTCAAGAAACCAATCTGGCCAGTGGTGGACCAGTTCCACGAGGTACTGAACATCCTCAAGATTCAGCTTTCTCGGACGACCTGTGAATTCACTCCGTGGTTTGACTACATCGCCAGTGTGCTGATAGAGCTTTCGGATGCGGAAGAATGTGCGTCTCGAGAAGCCGACGCAATCAAGGATTTCACGAAGACTAAGGATATCTTGCTCATACAGGCGAATGGCAGCGAGTTTGACGTCGGATGAGATCTTTCAGTTGACCATACTAGGTGTATTGTTGTCCGACATGGTGCAATTGTTTGAATTTTTCTCTAAGTCTCAACACGGTGAAAATTTTCAAAGTCCCAAATCCTCAATTATGATTTTCCCACAACATGCCAGTGCCATTATTATATACGCACACAGCTGTAAAATCACAGAGAATAACGGTCTCGTAAAATGTGCGCACTGTGTCAGAAGAACGAGACACATGAATCGCCTATCCATTGTAACGACAGCCCAAATCGCCTTCCTGCAATAGGTGAATGATCTATCCATCGTATGCACAAGCGCTGTCCGACGATATGAGTCTACTTGTACTAGGAGGCTGAAATAGCCTGAGGACCCGGTCTGGTCTGACTATTTTCCTTCTGTCTGCTATCGGAGACTGATTATTAGTCTATCATAGGCCCTCTATGACTAACCGTTTAAGTCGGTGAAGGCTTGGTATGTGGGCTCATAGTGGTACCATTTGTAATCAGCGACGACGACGTTAGTGTCGCTGCCCCTCACGAATCAAGTTCATCCAGAGCCAAGTTCAACCACGCCATGGGGTCCGTCAGTCTTGGCGGAAATTTACAGAAGGGTTTGCAAGAAAAAAAATCCTCTACATTGATATGAACGCCGAGTATCCTGGAATAAGGTTGATATCGTGTAGCAAAACTGTCGTGCCAGTGATCAAAAAGTCACAAGCATGATTTTGCACGTGACTCGCGCTGTATAGCTATATGGCGGGTTTGCATCGTATTCCAAGGAAAATAACATCCCCTAAAACATCAGTCAAAGGAGAATTGCTTGAACCACGGAGATGATTTGACGGCGTGGTTTTAAGGACCAAACTAATGGGCACACAAACGCCAACAATGAGTGGCCGGAGCACGCGGATCTGCTCAGCTCTTGACTATCATTCCATGACTGAGGATACGTTAACAACGGTTCCGAATACGATAGGATAAGTCATGACTTACTAAATGCACCGGGGACCGGGATTACTGATGTATCTTGCGTTGCCTCCTTGCCCTATGTATATCCTTAGTAATTTGCGCAGCTTGCTGAGTCAAGGAGGGACCGTGAGGGAGATGCCCTTCGCCCGTACAGAGCATGCTGATTCATTGCAAAACCGAGTTTCCAATACCCGTCTCCGTGATATATTTGTCTCTCCCGCATCGTCTCATTCCTTCCACGACTTCTCCGACCTTCTCGAAATCGATGGCCAGATCCGTGGGTTCTACGGATCGCACTTTCAGGGGCAGCCACTGCATAGGTTTGACGTTGGCAACGAAATCTTCGACGTTTTCTTGTGAGCCTTGCGCATAGATGACGTCTGGGCAGCCAACTTTGGCGAAGCTGGATATCGACAACTGAGAGGACTATCGTTGTAATGACCGGCGTTTTGTTGAGACATGAGATGATGAGATGTTACGAGCGCGTGGTAGTCTGCTGTCTCTGGGAGATGTTTGGTGCTCTGTTGGTCTAGGACGTCCATACGCTCTGACAGTCCTATATCGATACTATGTCCGTCTTCGTGTAATTTCGGCAGCAAGTGCATGCATAGCAACTGGTAGATTGAATAAGTCCATACAATTTAGCATTCCTCGCGCCACAATTAGGAAGACGGCGTGATGCTCGCTCTGACTCACCTCGAGCAATTTCTCCTAAACAAAGGCCCGCCATCGGCGATGTTCATCTCCGGATATGTCCTCTCCGTTGACAGAAATGAAGGGAACGTCGACATCCGGATCCTCTGGCTATCGCTCCGGGAACTGCACCTCGAAGGAGGTCCGCACCTTCACTCAGAACTTGACTCGAGGAATTACATAGGCTGGGTAGAAATGGGAGAACTGTAGTAGCAGAGGTTGAAGGAGTGGAGTAGCGTATTCTGGAATCTTCTGGAGGGAGGGTGATTCACCCGGAAGGATGGTGTCAGTTCTTGGAGCTGACTTTCCAGGCACGTTATAATGGACGGAGCAAAATTGGAGCCGGTACCGCTTGTCTACTCGGCCCACGAAGACGCTGTTATAACCCAATGAGCGCTTGGAGCCTGATCGATGCGGATCAGGGACTAAACTTGGCGGTGTGAATCATTTTTGTAATGCGCACCGTGGCGTTCGGCACATGAAGTCGGGGTGTCGTTACTGCTTACTGTGCTCCGTTACTCCACATGCTCCGTGCTGTGATTCGACGCATGGTTAACGTTTTGAAGATTGACTCAAAATGACTGTGTTGACATATGTCACCACGGTATATTATATAGTTCGGAGCTGACCGTCATGTTCGCTTAGAATCCTTTCTTCAACTCATCTCTCGCGGGCCTCATAAGCTAGTCTTTACAAAAATCACCACCTGGCCGTTCTCGACCATTACCTGGAACAACAACTTGGTGAATCACAAATCAAGCCTCCCAAGTGTGTATACTGCGCATTTTGCAAACATCGTTCAACTTATACATCGTCATTCCTTGTCAAGGGCATCTACCAGTCCCGCCGAATGAGCATCGCGGACGCCCTGACGTGTCTGGCATTTTCCCCCGATGGCCTGAAAATTGCCAGCGGCACTGCTCGTTCGGGGGTGACCATTACCGACGTATTGTCGAAGAGCATGCACCAACTAGAGATGCTTGCCGAGACCCATACGCACGTTACAGCCGTAGCATGGTCTCCCGACGGAGAAAAAATTATAATTGCGTTACCAAATCATACGATACGTTGCTGGGATGCCACTTCAACACACCCTGTAGGGCCACTATTTGGAAAGCACAAAGACCTGATCCTCACGGCGGGATTTCTTCCTGACTCATCTCGCGCAATAAGCTTGTCAAGGGATGGAGAGTTGCTCGTTTGGGACACAGGAAGTGGGGTAGTCACTCAACAAGTAACAGTGTCAAATACTGCTCAAACTATGTTCGTGGCAGGCTCTATCCATGGATGGTAGTCTCCTCTTTACTAGCGATACAAAGGAGGGCGTTGCATGGGAGATACCAAAGTGCGCTCGAATAGCGGAGATTGCACTTCCAGATATACCATTGCTTCAAGCCGCTATCATTCCGTATAGTCATCCTCAAGTAGTGCTTGCATTTGGCGACAGGTCTTTCTGGATATGGGACACGAGCACAGGGAAGCATGACGATGCGCGCTTTGAAGGCCTCGATGAAGATGACATCCCCTTTGCTATGGCGGCTTCTCCTGATGGCAAGCTTTTGGCGCTGGAAATCGACGGCGACGTCGATCACCCCACACATTTCTATGACATGAAGGGTCACGAATTCACCACCTCCAACATGAAATGCACCCATCCATTTGCATTTTCACCGGATGGCAAGTTCTTTGCGGCCTCGAGCGTGCCCTCGGATTCGAAGGATGGCTCTTGTAAGCTAGTCATCCGTTCAGTGGAGGAGGCAAGCATAGTCACCACATATTCAATCCCAACTACTAACGAAACGAACTAGATTATTGGTTGCAGCCCCCTTGATGTAAGACCTAGGTTTATAGTATAACACCGTTAACCTCATGGTGTGTAACAGTTGCCTGCAACGATTACCCCAAAAGCCAAAGGCAAACAACGTTCGCTGGGACTCAACGCGGGGTTCTTCGATCAACCGCCACTTCCTTCTGGCACAAAGCGTCGTCCTGTAAGACATCGCAGACTCAAATTAAGTATGTGCTAAAATCGGTTTGTCAGATACGACCTGGACCTTCATCAAGCTCTGTTCACCAGCAAGCCTCCTCAAGGACCACCAATCGGGAACGGCATATCCTACCTCTTCCAAAAATATGGAAACGGATTCGTCACCCTCGATCTCGTAAGGCGAAGTCCACTGTAAGGGAGGCCCAGCAAACGTCCTCGAGATCTCCCAGTATGGAACCGCGTATCCCACCTCTTGGCAACGTTTGGACGCGCATTCGTCATCCTCGGTCTCACAGGGCGGCGTCGACTCCACATGTTGTCGAGGTACCGAGCGCACAAGCTAAAAGGGTACGTTCAGTGTATTCGTTCTCAATCATGCATCTCAGGAAACTCCCAGAGGACTATAGTTTCACGTCCACGTCGGACAACGACGGCTCAATCTTCCAGTGGTGCCAGGCAAAATCCCCATTCGCAGTCAGCATCAACTCAGGAAGGCTCGGCTCAGGCTTCTAGTGACATTAGGCATAACTACCAGGGAGCCACGGCCTCGGCACAGTCGTCTAGGCAAGCTGGACGATCAAGACACACACAAGCCCACATCGACAGAGAGGACCGGGAGAGCGTTGATTCAGGGATCTATACGGAGCGGGATATCCAGAGCGTCAAAGCGCATGGATGCTGGAATGTTTTCTGGGATTGGTTATGCTACAAAGGTGAGTTTCTTCGCATCTGAAGTGGATGTAGTCAATTCATTTATTGCATCAGCGTTCTGATATTGTTGGTCTGTTGCTTGACTATGCTCTATGTATGGCATGCTCCATGTTGCTACGTAAATCCTGTTCTCCTTTGGTTCTTGCTATGCGGGTCGTGTCAATCCCACGTATCTTGTACGGTTTGCAAGGAATTGGAATGGCAATTGTTCTGATCAAGTTGGCTGATGATGGCGGCGATTAACGAGCTACGATAGAAAGCCGGGAATAATGCCCGGGGTTACTCACCCCGAAGGACTTGGGTATGATTTTCAACAAAAAACCGAATGCGAGGCTACTAGACCATGGAACATACCGACGTTGCCCTATCGCTTCTCGCATGTGTTACTAAATTGATGAATCTCCCCAGTCAGACCATTAGAAGGAAGACAGCCGGTCCTTAATATTGCATGGATCAGGCAAATAACGCCCATGTCTCGTCCTTCCAAGCACCCACACAAACGCTGGATTTCCTTTGCAACAGTCTGAGAGAAGACTGCACCATTTTACTGAGGGGACGTTGACGAGGCTGGGGACCGACAGGGAGGGAGGAAAGGTCGCCTAAGAGCGTAACGAGAGAAAGTGGGTGCAAGTGTTGAAACAGGTTTGTGAACCTCATCACCCACCACATTTATTTCTCCCTGTACGAACTCAGCGTCGGCCTTTGCCCGACATCATGCTGACGGAGTACGTGTTTACCTATTCACCACACGACAAACATACATATACATACGATGGACAAGCGGGAGTAAGCCCCCCCGCGAAAAGGGCTATGTCCGACATAGGGTCTTCGACCCCAAAGGACAATAAAATATGATTTTTTTTTTCAAAAAAAACTGGTTTGTGGGATGTTGGAGGGTAGACAAGAATTTGTGTGAGCGGGGGTTGAGACTCTGACATGGTTAGTGAGTAGTGAGACTGGCAAACGGCAGAGGGGTTATTATCCGTTATGCTTCTGGGCACTGATATTCTCTTGAAGATCGACTGAATGCACTTGAAATATGCCACCCATTGATTTTCCACCGAGCTAACAAAAATGGTTGTTGTGCTACTCTAATCGTATAGTGAGGTTCCCTTTTATATGATCCTTGCAGCGTTTAATTTCGTTCCCCACCTACGCAAACTCCTGCACTTATCACATCGCACGAATGCAGTCCCTTCCGCTCACACGATCCTTTAGATGTATGTACTATTATCTTGTTCCCTCGGTAATTGACTCGAAAATCACCCTACAGTTCCTTAACCGCAACTGCAACCCCTCGACACAGGCCGCAACTCAGACGCATTCAAGTACCGGCGAGAATGTGAAAGCGTCTTCTCCTGCAATTAATTAATTATCATCATCACTTGTGTAGTTTGGACGCACACCGACACCACTTACTTCTGTCACCGCACCCGCCACTTTCTGACACCCCCTATACCGCCTATTAATCTGGTCGATAGTTTGTGCAGGACATGCACCGTCGACGTTTCTTCCCACAAATTGCAAAGAGGTGCGCTAGCTTGATTCCTATCGCGGTCTGCAAAGTGTTCTCATACATAAATTTGCAATGCAATGTTGCAGCTGGTGCTCAGCCCTGACAACGGCGGAATACGTGATGAAAGACCATGAGTCTCCTTCAGGCACCGTCATTACGGGGTATGTCAGATGGGGTCCTTCTCGCTCTCCGACAGCAATCAGTCAGTACTAACACGTTGCACGTCATAAGTACTGCTTCTCTCATTCGAAATTGCATAATTCAGCTCATCGACTACGAGCTCTAGTCAACATTCCTCCATGGATTCGAGCTGCTACATCCCTCAACTTCAGCTGGGTGATTTTTGACAGCGTACAAGCTGAAAGCATGGGTATGCCAAAAATCCATACGGCCCCATGCTTCTGGACTTCGGTGGTTATGTCAGGCTTGCCGGAGGTTGTTGAGGGCTCGAGGGACACCAGCAAGTTGTCGAAAGATGCGGTGATATCAGCACACGAAGCGGTAAAGCAACGCATTGCTGAGCTTGAAAGAAAGACCATGTCACCAGTCTTGAGAACAATGCCATCCTCGACGAATTCCTGGATTCCGGTCCAGTTCAGATCAACGTTGGGTTGGTGCAAAGCGGCTAGGTAGTTAGAATCAAGGACCAGGCGTTTGCATCCAGGAGCTACATATCAGTTGTCAATTTTGGGGGAGTCACGATCATCAATATTGGAAACTGCTCACGGTAGGTGGGAACCAGGTTATCGTGGTATTTCGCTGGCGCGGTTCGTCGGATGTACCATGTCAGGATCTAATGATTATTAGAGATATCAGATAGACAAAAAAAATTATGTTACCTTTTTGAAGACTGTACTGACAGGTGAATTCGCCAAGGATTCTGCCCCTTTCGGTATCTAGAAGCGACAACGCACGATACTGAGCACAGGATTTCCGTCCTCAGCATGGGTCACAACCACTCTACGTGTGTACACAGATTCGTAGGATAGCATGAAACAGCGTTAACGTTGCAACAGGTCCTGGATGTAACAATAGTATGGTGCAATATGTCTATGGCTGCGCCATAAATTGATGGGAGACACCTTCAGTACTATCCTCACATAATTTACTCATGACTTGTATTGCGAGCACTGTACATCCTGTCCTGCGTGATCGAATATGCGCGGTGCACATTTATGAAATGCTTTGAATAGCAGGTTAAAGGGCAATATCGATACCGCGCGCGAACAGACATGTCAACTAATAATTCATGTATACCGTGCCAAAGTGAGGAGTCCTCGTATTTGACGAGACGACAATCGTGGAAAACACGAGCCGAGCTCGGAAGCAATGGCAATAAGTCAAACTGACTGCTCAGGAGGCCACGTTTATCATGATCTGCTAATTCTGGACAGACGCCAGGAACTTGAGGGAGGAATGCCCGATATCGACAGGTTTTAGCCACGACGGTAGAGAGATATAGTAAGTCGATTCACATGGATGCGGACATGTGGAGCACGGAAGTCTGGAGGGTGGATGGACACGTTTTGATGGCCTAAGAAGGGGGTCAAGCTAAATACAGAGACATCTGCCAGACGTGAGTGGTAACGGGGATATTTGACGTCATTCGACGCACCGACAAGCTGGGACAGGGCTTTGTTATCTACCACCATGCGCCCGACAGTTAATGGGGTAGGCCAAGATGTGTCGAAACTGAGTATGCTCCGTAATGCTGACAACTTGAAAGCCGACTTGAAGTGATCATGGTGTGTGCTGCGCAACCATTAAACGTTTAAACCATGGCTGATTAATTGATTCAATGATGATTGAGCGAAAGGAGCTTATTTGATTGAAAAGTAGCGACTCACCTCGAAGAATCAACGCTAGGAGATCCTCACCTGGGCCACAAGAATGGGAGGTCTTCCAATCTCTTCCATGGGTACAGGGTACATGATACCGATAGTTATATCGAATCTGAGATTTGCAGGTTTGAGCGTTGAAACGTTCGGTGCTTCAGCTGGGTCATGTTCAAGCTCAAGCGCTCAAGTTGGGGAAACTGAACGAATACTTACTAAGCAGTATCATGCTTGGCAGCGAGGAGCGATCGACCTTGGACGTTTGAAGCTTGAGCTTGAACGTTCTAGTTCAACCATGACTGTGGTGATTGTGGTCACCTAACATGACTCCAAGAGAAATGTTAAGAATCTCATAATCGACGTAAGCAGCACCCACTCAATACCCAACGCAATATTTCTATCAACTTCTGTGATGGGGTTGCCGTTGGAGTCAAAGGTCCAGATCTCCTGCCCTACGCCCTTAGACCCCCTTCGGTAATCTCATGGCCGATAATTATAGTGGCAGTTCAAGAATCAAGTCGACGTGTCGGCCACTGGCATGCTTCGGCCCAAAGCTCGCGGTCAAGGGTATTCAGCTCGTACCAGAAGTCCCTTCTCTCATACCTCTTGCACTTGCACTTCGCTCGCATTAATTGACTGCTCGCACTGAGTGAGGACCATAGGCCAGATCCTCCTCCGGAAACCTGCGAAGCAACCGTTCGTGAAAGTTCGGTGAGAACGCTTATGAAATTTATCGCTGCCTCTGATGCTTTCTTCGTCCAGAGCTAACTCCGTAGTCGAGTCCGGCAGGCCATGCGGAAATTTATTAGAGTCATTACCAAGAAATTTTCTGTGAGTGGACTGCTGGGTTGCTACCGTCCTGGTCCTGAATATGGGCTGAGATTGTGCAGCAACGCTTCAAGTGTTCCCACAACTGCGTTCATGTGTTCTAGGATGTCGACCTCATGACATCTGCCGCCAATGATGTCCTAGCAGATCTTGCTGACGTTTTGGGGACAAGGATTTTGCAAACCTCGCCGCGAAAACCGATGGACCTTTCGAGTGGGTACGTCTTGCATGCGAATACATCAAGGAAAACCGTCCGGGCATGGACCCAAAGTCTCGCTTTGAGACCGTCGCGAGCCGCGATCCTGGGGAGTGGAAGAACAAGATGTATGATGTGTATCGGCTTATTTTGGCAGATATCTGGCCACAAAAACGGTATGGTGATACCAAGCACCAAGAAGCACTAGCGGGGTTTCGTTCCGTGATGGGACAAATACTCGGCACGGGTGAATCCCTCCCTTTCGATTCCCTCAATGCCATGCGGGACTGTTTTCCAATCCACAGCAAACATTACAAAGTGGACGTCATACAACATGGGATCCCTCCTCAGTGGCGCAATGGACTCACGTATTCCCGTCAGGCCCCTTCACGCATCCTTTCAAGAGTTTCTCACAGATAAATCATCCAGCAGAGACTGTTTCGTTGAGATAATGGAAGCGCAACAACGCGACCTTGCATGTGTGTCACTACGAGTGGTGGAACGTGACCTTCGCTTCAACATCTGTGATTTGAAGTCGCCGTACCTCCCCAATTTCCAAGACACGGGACTGCCTGAACGAGTCAAAACATTCATTCCCCCAATTTTGTGCTGCGCACGTATCAGCATCGAACTTCGACTCGGAGGTCGCTAATGCAATACAATTATTCTTCGATAGCGAGCGACTGCTGTTCTGGATTGAGGCACTCGGACTTCTCAAAGCAATCGGCGGTGCAATAACTGTGCTCCCGCTTATTAATCAGTGTAACTGAGCACATACCTACCATGCAGCGTCGGATGAGCATCTTACAATCAACTACAGGGCGATTCTGGATGCGAAAATTTGTGGTCTACCACAATGGATGTGCGAATATTCATTCAAGTGTTTGCTAGCATGATTTTGCACAGCACGCCGCATCTCTATTTATCAGCGCTCCCATTTTCACCCAACTCTACCATAACCATCAAATGTTTCCGAGCAACCTTCGTCTGGCATCCGGACGTCGTTTGAATGACGGTTGTTGAGATTGTGATCAGCAGGCATACTGAGTGCGTCGTGTTCTCACCGGATGGTACTCGTATCGCGTCTGGTTCTTGGGATAAGACTGTGCGGCTGTGGGATGCAGTATTTGGACAGGCATGTCAGGAGTACTCCGAGACAAGTTCATTTGTATTCCCTCTGGGTAGAAGTTACACAACCCCTCGCACACAGGAGCATCCCACGATGTTGCCCATCACTTGGAACCATCACTTCATTTCCTTCTCATATAGCTTCAAGTTGGAACACGCGCTGTGCAACCCTGCCGACCTACTTGAGGGTAGCCCTCATCATGATTCCAATTCAACCCCTCTCTTGCTCAGGCAGGCTGATGGACGGATGATGGGACCTGATCATCGCCTCCTTTTCTGGGTACCTCCCTCTTCCTGATATGCATTTTATATTCCTCGGACTTCAATGACATTAGTGATCCCAAGAGGAGGTGTCGAGCTTGGTTTGAGCCGCATGGCACATGGGACGCGGTGGTCGAGTTGCCGAGATGCGCAAGTTCTATACCCTTTACTATCTGTCCCTCGCATTTACTAAATGCCAGACATTTAGCCTTACTTCACGATGATGTTATTGCGGTAGTTGATTCATGGGGATTTTAGATAGAAATATATGGATCAGCTTACAACTTTTACTTCCAGTCCGACGGTCCTGATTGCGTTCGACGTCGTCACTGTCTTAGACATGGCCAGACTAGGTTATGTCTTGGGTTGTCGTTGTATTCCCATATGATATAATTGAGTCTATCATCATCGGGCATCTTACAGCCCTAGGGACAATAATTGCCTGCCACAAGTATTCCTGAAGAGAAGGTGAAAGAAAAAAAAAGATTACCCAAGCTTCTTCGCCGAGGGAAGAGTACCCATAGCACATCGACGTTGCACTGCTAAAATACTGAGCGCACTGATGGTATCGTCCGGTATCGTCTACGTTTTATATGACCATGCTGTTGATTACACTGGTGATCTAGGCCGAGTCCCATAAGCGTCAGAAAGTTAGTCTACACAAATCAAGTAATCATTCTATCAAATATTCTATTGGACTGCGCACGTAGATCCCACCGCTAACCTGGTCATTGACGTTTTGGAAAACGTGCAAAATAGGGGCCTATCGTAGTGAGCAATACCCATTGCTGCACATCTCATTATTGGCTTGACAGACGTCTGACAAATTCTACCAGTGCACTGAACGATGATATTAAATAAATGTATCAAAGTTATTGAAAATGACTTACCGAACGGGACGTCCAGTCATTCCTTTCTCTTGGTATGGTGTTGGGCGCGTGAACTACAATGAAATTATCAGAGATCGGAACTAATAACAGAGAGGCAGTCATGATAAAAGGTGCATTGCGAACAACACCATTGTTTAGATCGTATTTGCGCTCATGACACACGCCCTGCATTTGATTTCACAAGCGACAAGTTCTTACCTCCATAGTCCCAGCAATATCAAGGTGAGCCCATCGGACAGAGGGTTCCTGTCCATCCTTGGACTCGATGCCATCTACAAACGCTTTAAGGAATAGTGCAGCGGTGCATGAACCTGCTGGTTTCCCGCCAGTCTAAAAAATAAAAGACAATGTCAAGTTCGAGCAAGGCTAAGTGAAAATGGGTGACTGACATTGCACAAGTCAGCGTTAGATGAGTAGATCTGTGGCCCATAATCCTCGTCAAGGGGCATGCGCCAGAAGCGATCGTACTCGCTCTCTCCGGCAACACTCAGTCGGTCCCAAAGAACATCAGAGGTCTAATACAAGATTTCAGTCAAAAGGCGTGTCGGCGTGTAGTGATGAAATGACGAACTGTGAAAACACCGGTGTAGATCTCACCCAGCGCGACTTCCATAGCCCTATCACTAATAAATCCAGGCTGAGAAGTGTGAACGATCAATACGTACCCGGTGAGAGTGGCAACGTCGATGACTGTGTGCGGCTTGAACTCGGTTGATGCGTAGTACAACGCATCTTTGAGAAAGTTAGTTAGAATTCATCACGACGTCGGTAGATAGCAAGAGTCCGCACCAGCTAGAACAAGACGACCTTCAGCATCCGTATTGTCGACCTCGACGGATTTGCCATTCATAGCGTAGATTCTGGCAGATGATCAGTTCAATACATGACGAATATCGCGTTCAAAACTTACACATCACCTGGCTTGGTGGCTTTGGGGCCGGGCAAGTTCTCACAAAGTGGTGTGACCGCGACAATGTTGATTCTACGACCAACATAGATAAGTATGAGCGTAGATCGAAGTGGACACCGACGTACGGGAGTTGGAGCTGGGCGATGGCCAGTAGAGATGATACGACCGTAGCCGCCCCACCTGCAATTCAAAGTTAGTGGCCACTTTCAAACTCAGTTTAGCGGATTATACCCATGTCGCCGCGCATCAGCTTCATGTCCTGTATCCGTTTGGTATGGTGAGCGAAAGACCTTCCAATTGAAGAGTGATGGTCTTACTGCTGAAGATTTCAAGCTGATTCCTCCGCTGTCAAAAGTGATGCCCTTGCCCACGAAAGCAAGAGGCTGTGCATCTTTTGAAGGGGCGCCCTTATAGTGACTTTTACAGCCATCAAACCGTAAACGATACTGCAGGAAAAGAGGGTAAGGTATGCTTACATTTCGAGGAACTTCGCCGGTTGATCAGTCCCTTGAGTTACTGAGAGGAAAGTGCGCTATAAGAGAATATGTCAATATTGAGCGTAGTACATCGAGTGTAAAAAATGTACCATGCCCTTTTCAGCCGCCCAAGCTGTCGAGGCATTAGTACATGTATTAGAAGGACCTCAAAAGCCAGAGAACATCTAACCTTCATCTCGAACAATGATCTCCACATTAGGGATACCGCTAAACTCTGTTTGAACGCGCTCGCAGAATGCCTTGCAATATGGTAACATGAGTTCAATCACTTGCAGAACTCAAAGATAAACGTACAGTAGGTGTCATCATATTCGCGGGCAATTCCATTAACTATGAAAGTCGGTTATATTCTCTGCGAATCGAGAGGCAATCCCGTTCCATGAACTCACCGTTCGAGCAAGGTTCTGCGCATTCGCATAGACAACACCACGATCCCAGTCAGCAGAGTTGGCATTTGTGGAGATTTCAAGCTTCTTCGGCACGCCAGCCGCGCTCCGTGGGTCGAACGCCGATGGAGGTGAAGTTTTGAGCGAGAAGTTGTATAGCGCCAAGTGAGCAGCGACAGCTTGGAGAAGTACGTAAGATAAGGCATTGTGTAGATTAAACTATATCGTACCAGCAGCGTGAGGGTCCGTTGATGCATCGATAACAGCCTCAGAAACACCATCACCAAGTTCCTTGACACTCTTTATGCCACTGCCAACGGCCTTGCGAACGATTTCTCGTCTTACATCCCCAGTTTTGGAGTCAAACCCCTCACCAAGTGACACAAGTGCAGTTACATCGAACGCGGGAGTCCCATAAAAGAGGTGGGACGTGCCAACCTTGGCAGGTTTCTGCGCCCGAGGAAGTGAAGACCACAAGGATGCTGGGTTGACACCTGGAGCAGCATTTCCTGCAGGATTCCTGGGGTCAACGGGCACAACATACGCTTTTGACGACATCGTTCGCAGTAGGATTGATGATCGATGAACTGCTCTTCTGATGAGCATGTGCAATAATTTTTGATGTCGTGTGTCTGGACTCTCCGACAGTCTAAACTTGTGCGTCGGGACTCGAAACCCGGAAGACCGTGGCCCAAACACGTGATGGGTTGGACGCAATAATAGCTTGCCCACAAGCGTGCCACTCCGCGCGTGTGTAGCTTTATCATTATGCCACAGGTGGCAGGCTTTGTCGACAATGGATCAAGCTATTTTCCACAGCACTGAAAATTCCTATTTAAGCGCTAGCTCACTTCATGTTCTCTTCCAATCTCACTCATACTTGCGACTTTGATCTTCCGAATGTCCCCCGCTGCTGATACTCGATCTCGTACTGGAGGCGCCAATTACGACGAACCAGCTGACACAGCGGCCAAGTGTTCCGCGATAACCGACCGTAGTCCGCGCGCGAAGGGTGCAACTCTGCGACGCTTCAAAAAAGAGGAAGGTGTAATCTACCACATTCCATCAAGTTCCGATCTAGCAAGTCTCTTCGCATTAGACGAGAGTAACCCCCCCTTGGTGAACCCCCCTACTCTCAACAAGAAGTTCTCTTCCCCGTCGATTGACACAATCCGTCCCCTCCGAGCCGTTCGTCGACTCTTGCGCACGTCTGAGACAGTGGCTCCTCCTAAAACAACTTACGAACATGCAGTCAAGAGCTCCACATCGTCTCCGACAAAGTCGCCTTCAAATAAATCAGGTTCTCGCAAACTCCGACGATCAGCGTCTTCGAGAGTGGAGGATGGTGCAGAAACGGACATTGCCAGCATTACTTCTCGCATTCTCCAGCGTCTCACCATCCTCCAAGTTCCCTTCGATCTCGACAATGTCAGAGAACAAGTGCCCATTTCACAGACCACAGTCGATGCTACGCCACTGAATCCTACCGTTGAAGATCTTAACATGAAGGTCCGCTGCCACGAACGCCACGTCACGATATGGGACGCGCCCGACTGGTGAGTTGGCTATCTACTCCATGTTAGTGTCTGGTGCTCAGTGTTCCCCAAATGCATAGTGCGTTCTTCATCTTCCCAGCGCAACTCCTGATTGCATGTACCTCTAAAAATGATTTCGATCCCCTGGCTATTCCGGACGTCACGATTGTCGATCTCGTCTGCACTACAGTGGCTATAAATGGCCCTTACAAGTCTCACCCCCAAATCGCGTTCAGGACATTTTATGATGGCGCCACGATATGCTACGTGAAAGATGAACCTACGCTCGATCTGTCTCGAGGCATTCATATTGGGAATGTCCCCTGGTGTTCTACTATGGACGGTGATGGTAATTTCGGGTGGTACATGCGCTTCTGGATTCCAATACCGTTCGCACTCTTCCAGCGAGCCGAGACAAGGACTTTCAAGATAGATGTCAAGGTACACGTTAATGGAGAGGATGGTAAAGGCGGATTTTTAAACGCTTCGAGTGAGTTCACGTTATCGAGGTTGCGGAGAGGTTTGGCGATGTAAATTTAGAATCATATGGATGTTGCTTTGTGCTAAGTACTGATACCTATAAATTTTGACACTGAACCCTTGACGAGTGTCTGACTAACTATCCTCAAGTGGCACAGTCACAATAGCCTGAATTGATTGCCTTTGTCTGAGCCTTAAACATCATAGTTCGCCGCTTACATTTACCTGGTGCATAGAATAAAGGATCAAGCGGACTTCAAAATCGTTTTCCTCAGCCAGCTCGAAAGCCACGAATGCTCATCACACACAGGGTTGCTTCATGCATCCAAATTCCTGAGCGGGCTAAGGTCTGAGTATTCCAATCCTCCTCGATCGGCTCTAGCAGAGCCCAGCTGTAATCAGCTGCGCGACGTACCAGAAAAGCAGCTTCACTTTTCAAACCCCCAAGATCCTGTATACCGCAGAGGAGGGCGAGAATGAAAGCTTTGAAAGGCGTTGCGAGGATCGGGCGAACTCGTATCCATCGTTGATCTCCAGTCAGTCAGTCGTCGCTATCGCGCCTTTGCCTGCCAACAAGGCGCTAACAGATGATATCGGACGCTTAGCGTCTGATGACTTGCCTGGGGTCACAAGTTCTTTCGGCGAACGCCAACGTTTGCCAATCTTCACTACCTGTACCGGAGACTCTAACTCCTTGCGTATGAGGCGCGACTGATTGTATTATTTTACGATGGGATTGGTTCGTCCTTGAGTTCACTTCGTGGCTCGCGTATCCTTTGTGGATCGTGAAACTCGATTCAGACTACTCTCGGACTGGTCCATGTTCCAATTTTTTTTTTCCTTTTTGAACTCCTTTGTGGAGTGTCTCTCTTTGTGAAGGATGATTTGTATTATCAGATCAAGTTGCTCAAGGACAATATATAGTCAAATCATGTCATCATCAGTCTTGTGGCTCAGTAGTAATGATGATATGATCCACAGTGGAGTCCTGAATTCAATTTCCAGGTGGCAATTAGTTCAATCCCATTGTGTGGCAATCGATATTATGTGAATGTGGATATTTAATGTTTAGGAAAGAGAATTTCTAGAATGAAGTTTAGGTGAAATCGGAAGCTGGGACCGCCGGCCCGGATCGCTTCCTTTCCTCAAATCAGATTCCTGTTCACACGTTCACGCGTACGTCCTCTGGAAATTCAAGCGGAACAAATAGCGCTGAAAACTGGTGTTCCGTGCCTCACTGCCATGTAGCTGACGACATTCAATTTTGCGGCAAATCGCTCCGTCCAGTCGGCTAGCAATAAGAGCTGGTGTTGAGCTCGCGTCTGTCCTTTGCTCGATGTCTTCTCAGGCTTAGGTCTTCAACAACATGGTTGACGCATTGACGAATGACTAGCAGGAGCGGCCTGGAACCGTCTTGTAAACTGTAACCGCCTAGGTTGCGGGAAGTTGGAACATCACATGCCATGTCATGATCCTCACGCCGGACCACAAGCGGACCAAGCCATGCCGTCTCTAAGGCTACAATGACAGACACTCGCATATATAATATGCTGCTTATTCTGCGCCAAAACGCATAACACCTCCCCTCGGCTCTAACTCGCAGACTGATGGTCGCTGGAATCCCACTGTCATTCCCTGTTCTTCTCGCGTATGCTGCAATTGCAGGCGCATGGTCAACGTTTGTTGTTCCACACACCGAAGATGCAGATGACACGCCTGCTCTGATGGCCGCAATCTCTGACTACACGTCTGACGCGTCAATTGTGTTCGAGGCTAACACGACTTACAACGTGTGGTCCCCACTCACGTTCCCGCTTCTCACGAATGTTGAGGTGGTGATTAGCGGGAATTTGACATATCCGACGAGCATCGAGACTGTGCAAGGGTATGTTGCTGCCGCTGTAAGTGATGATCAGTCACTCTATCATATGCATGCGAAGTCTGATACGAAGGCTTTCAGAACTACTCCGGTGCATGGTACGGGTAACTAACATGTTTTGACGTCTCGTGCCTCATAATTTCATCAGGTTCTCGTTCACTAGAGGAAATAATGTCACGCTCCGCGGCAATACTGACCCTGACTGGGGCTGGGTTGATGGACATGGCCAACAGGTAATAGCCCTATACTCTGATTCTTTGGTTGTGCTGAAAACTGTTCAGTGGTGGGATCTTATGCAACAGACAAACCGACCTCAGGGTTGGCTTTTTAAAGATGTTACAAATGTAATCATCAGAGATATGAAGTTATACAAGGTTTAGGGTTAATATGCGTTTTTGATGGCTTCTTGGCTGAATTCCAATCGTCTCCCGCAGCCTATCGCATGGAATTTTGCCACCACAGGATCAAGCAATATGCATTTCTTCAACAATATCATCCTGGCCGGTTCTGACAATGCCGTGAGTTTGATGATGCGTCGATAATGTATTACACTTTATTTACACTTGTGAATAGTCGTTCCCATTCAATACGTGCGTTATTGAGTTCGTGATTCAATTTGTGTTTAACTAAACATACGCAGGGATGGATTTTCAGCTGGAGGCACCAATATGCTTTTCGAAAACAACCATGTCGTCAACGGAGATGACTGCTTAACCGTTGTTAGTGGCGCCAAGAACATCACTTGGAGGTTCGTCAATTTTCGTTAACGCGATAAGTGAGCTTATGTTTACCCATAGAAATGGCTACTGTGAGGGATCGCATGGTCTGTCAGTCGGTTCACTCGGCGAGGGCGGTCAAGTGGCATCCGTAGAGAACGTATTGTGTGAGAACACAATTATGGCGAGTTTTCTCGGTGACAAGGCTTCCTTACCTGACACCCTACATTGCCATCTAGAACCGCACTCTCTATGCAGCTCGTTTCAAGAGCTGGACTGGCGGAAACGGTGCTGCCATCAAGTTTGTATTTTTGAAGTTTTCGACCAGTTCGTGCACTGATGATGTTGTCTTAGTATAACATGGAAAGATATCACATTCATCGACGTGATGTTCCCTATTGATGTGACCCAAAAGTATGTCTTTGCCTTCTCGTGTGCTCCTCTTATAATTGTGCTAAGCTCCTTAAAGTTACTGGGACCAAGAGGTAAACTTAATGTTGCATGTATGTATGTATCTTCTCTAACTAAATGTATAATAGGACGGCCCGCCTCCGAGCTCCTCGTCCGTCAACGAGACTCATATTGAAAACTTCCTGTTCGACCACTTTGTCGGCGTAATTAACGAGTGGGTTACCACTTCCTTCTTTCATCTATTCACCCTAACAGGCTCCCTAGTACACCTGGTTACGTGGAAGGCTCATGTGTTACGGACCCTTGCTGGTAATAACCTTTTTTTTTTCATTTCGAAACATTCATTGAAAAACTTGTCAGGTACTACGTACCTGGTGCAACAGGCAAGGAAGCCGTCATTTTTGACCTGTACCCCGACACCGGTTTGTCTCCAATTTGAATTGTCGGACCCCCTTCTCACTTGATTTCACAGCGACCAACATTGTCGTGAAGAACCTTGTTGCGCGCACACTAAGTGGTGCCCCTGTTGCTGCAATGTGCAATTCTTCCACGGTACGCACTACCCTGGAGTGAGTGGTTATGAGAGCATGCTGATAGCTGATACAGATCTCGAATGATGTTGGATTTGTGTGCTGGAACGGTCCATATGTCCCTACACCTGGCTAGCATGTGATGCCCACGAGTTATTTATCCTTGGGATCAGTCGAAGACTCTGGATTCATTGACTTCGCAGTTAGCTTCGTTATCCAAGTTGTGAGAACCGTCGCAACTCATGAGCAATCCCACATCTGAAATGTCAATAGTTCATCAGGTAGCGCGGGCTAAATATTTTCTGAGTTTGACGCCAATGCCAAGCCATTAAGCTGTTTGCGTGAGTACTGCGGTGATAGAAGCACATGCATTGCTTTGCAACAATTTTATCTACCGAAAATTGCGAGACGCAGCCCGTTCAGTCCAATATATAATATCAAAACGAAGGGGATGAATGGCTGACAAGGGTTTGAGGCGTTCAATCGTACACACTACGCGCAAGGGACCTATCATATAGGAATCGCAGACAGATGACAAAGTAAAGGAAACATATAGTGGTGGAATAGTCGAGTGGCAATTTAAGACCTCTCGCCTCTCAGACGGCGAGCAAGGGCAAGGTCCTTAGGTTGAATAGTCACACCTGTTAAATTGGAGTGAGTCAGCATTGTGGAGCGCGGGAGAGCGCATGACTCACGCTTGGCGTGGATAGCAGCCAAGTTGGTGTCCTCGAAGAGTGACACAAGGTAGGCCTCAGCGGCCTCCTGAAGAGCCATAACAGCGGAGGATTGGAAGCGCAAGTCGGTCTGGTGAAAATGATTGTGTTAATCACCTCAAATGCATTCAGACAGCGTCATGGGTACATACTTTGAAGTCCTGCGCGATTTCACGAACGAGCCTCTGGAAGGGGAGCTTCCTGATCAAAAGCTCGGTAGACTTCTGGTACCTCCTGATTTCACGGAGGGCAACAGTACCAGGGCGGAAACGATGGGGCTTCTTTACACCACCAGTGGCGGCCTGTGGCATATAACACGGTATTGAGCATCTAAGACACGAAATGATGAGAAACAAAGACATACGGCAGCGGCGGTCTTCCTAGCGGCCTTGGTTGCGAGTTGCTTACGAGGGGGCCTTGCCTAGAAGACGGAAATCGTGTCACAACGTGGATGAAAACGAGTAGCGATAAGGTCGCACCTCCAGTGGACTTGCGAGCGGTTTGCTGGATAAAGGGTGAGTATAATGTATTGTAGTTCGATATTCTATAAACACACTTTGGTACGGGCCATTATGATGGTCTATAGTCAGGAGATAAAAGTGTTGGCTGATGGCGAAACGACGGTGATGGAGGTTGCGGAGGAAGACTCCAGTAGTGGGTCGTTTGTTGAATGGCGTCTGCGCTATTCCCACGCCTCTCAACTTTTTAAATTCCGCCGGGAACCTTGTGTGCACTGACCGCATCGACAGCAAGCCTCGAAGTGTATGCTTGAAACTTTTGACCTTCCACTGCATCTACAGCAATCACGCACGTTGTCTCCTTGAAAGTGCAAGCAGTACTTCTGGTTACTAAGTCCTTCCTTCATATCATTTTTTGATCGACTTGGCCGTTCTGCAAGGCGATGCATCGTTCGTCGACTGCAAGTACGTGGCAAATATACCTATCATCAATTGATTGTGAATTAATAGAATGATCCCCGTGCCCTAGCTCACCCTAGTAAGTAGGTGGAATGTAAACACTCCAGTTTTCTAATGTGCTTCGTAGAAGTAAGATCCGGGCAGTATCAAAGAAAGCCCCAATCACCCTTGAACCTGGAACGACAGACCTCCAGCAAGATGGCTAGTTTGCAGTGTCGCTATTTAATACCCTACCGGAGCACTGATCACCTGAGAAATTACGCAATTCAGAAGAAGGCCGACGGTTGAGGACGCCTCTCCGAAAACTCCTACCCACGAATTTTCTTTCCCCCTTTTCCACTCTGACTTGTGTCCAGATGGTATCGATTCTTGTACCCTTGAACTGAATAGTAAGTCTCACTTCGATGTTACGGTCCGATCTTTTCCATAGGCATGCGGGAATTACTTGCCTGATGATTTGTGTCTTCCATCGAAGCCGTATCCGAGTAAGCACGCTCTATAATTTTCTCGCGTCGGCAATATCGTCCGAGTCGTATCACCGCAGGATAAAAAAGTATCCTCACATACTTTTATCCGGCCATTACTCCTCGGCGGGTATCCGTGTCTAGGGCCCTCGAGAAACTGCAGAATAGCAACAGTAAGTTTATTTCACTGCTCTGATATTCCTTAGTATGTTCGCTTTGCTTTTTCTAAATTCATCAGACAATACATGCAAAGTTTTGGGACCCTTGTCATCTTCGCGTCTCTGGAGCCACGAATGCCCTGGTGCGCCCCCACCAGTCTATAATATCAAGATACAGTCACATGTATCGACTACATGGTATGTGTTATACAATGAAGGGTATTGATTCCAGTGTGAACGGCCAAAGGTATAAATGTGTAATTAAAATCCTCCTAGGCAGTCATCATAGTCCAGAGAAGGCATGGCAAACCCCGTATGGTCATCACTCAAATGACCCATCCCCTTTCTACGCGAGCTTCTCTTCATCCCCCGCTTTTCCTTCGCCTGCGAAGGATGCTGCAAGAATGTAAATTTGGTATCAATCTCATCTTGTGTATGTCGTGTAAAGGGTATCATCGAGTCCGCAGCCGTGAAACGGACAGGTATTCGGCGTGCCACAGTATCAGGTGGTAATGTCACCCAGCTGTCAGGTTCATAAGATACTGACGAGATGTCAGGGGTAAGTGGAGGAGAGCACGGAATATAGATGAGTGTGACCTAATGATTCCGGGGTACACGCCTCGTAGGCGCGAGGGTGAAAATAGCTTCCCTTGATCTCGGCCGTTGGATATGACCGACTGTCATCGCTACAGACAAATTCCCGCTCATGACGCCTAGGCAGCGCACATTGATTGGGAGAGATTGGGACAGGCGACCGATCATATATAGCCGACGAGTGGGTAGCATACGTAGAAGTAAGAGTTGGTGTTGGCGGGAAGTGAACACGGCGCGGTGAGGGAGCCGTCGAATGTGTAGAGAACGGGAATGCATCCTGTCGTTGCGGACATTGTTTAAGGATTGGTCTCGGCAACATGACTCGGAATCCCAAGGTGACTGGAATACGTAGGATTGGGTAGATAGAATAGACTTCAAGAGCCCAGACGCCCAAAGTAACGGGACTCGGAGAGGAAAGGGAGGTCGATGGATTGTGGATGCATAACAGCAGTGGGATATATATCGTGGAACTCAGGCTCGGTGGAACGTGTGCCCGGTCCAGTAACAAGATCAAGATCAACTCCGACTGGTGGAGCTGGCTTGCCCGCAAAAGCCTTCGGTCCTGAGCGCTGAGCTTGTGACCAGAATGACTTCCTCAGTTAGCCTCTTTTGTGGGGAAACTAAGGTGAACCTTAAATGTTTCACATTAAATCAATGCTCAAAAGGCCTGTTGCTACGAGGACATTGTAAGGAACCATTATTGGCAACAAATCAAAACGAATCCTGTAATAACATGGCATGAGGAATGTATGTACTGGATTAGCCGCAGTCATGATAGGCGCCGTGCTCATCGGCAGGAAGTTCAAATGGCGGAAAAGACTCACCTTGAGAAACGCCGAGGAATCCCAGACTGTCTGCTGCATCACAAGCCTCAGCCTAGTATAAATCGAATGATGATTTCTCATGGTGGCCATTTGGAAGACGATAAGCGTATGGTTCTCTGATCTCTTTAATCCGGAGGCCTAAGGCCTAGGCTGCCAGCATCCCGGCAACCGGCAACTTGCCACAATGGTCTTGCTTCAAGTTGCAATCAAGTTCTAACTTCGACTCCAACTGGTTATTGAGATATTGCCATCCTGTATATTCAGCCTGAACTGGTCAATTTGATCAGCAATTCAACTAGGAAGTCGGAGGGCCGGTACGAATGTGCTTGGTATAATATACTAGTCAGATATAGCTAAGTCAGGAAAAGTGGAGTGTGTTGTCGTTTCTACATATGTGCAAAACTCTGAGAAGATCCGAATTATGTTACCATGTCAGAGTATGTGTAAGTCCCAGAGATGCACGTCGGTGGGCATGTATGGGTCCCACCATGACCACACACTGCGCCAACTTGAACACTCTCAAGTTGACCAAGGATTGGCCAGATAATTGGGAGTCTTCTTCGGGTCCCCAACAGGAATGCTCCAGGGATCTCGCCCCATACCCTGCAAAGTTATCGTCCCGTCTGTTCCGCCAAACGAAAGAGACGCCGAGGTACCAGCAACTGGAGGTGTCCTATGTATGTTATTCGTCGATCTACTCGAGTTTCCAAACGAAACTGCGCTACCCGCAAAGGGATTTCCAAATGGAGGATGTCTGTTCTCTGGTAACGGAGGAGACCATATCGACGTCTCACTTCTACCAAAAGATATCTGAGGAATAGAAGTATGGGGAGAGGTAGCTGAAGAAGGATAGCTCAGATGATCTAGGGAGCCAAGACTATCTGCAACTGGGGGCATGCCCTGGTCGTCATCGACGTCATCGCCAGAATCAGGCACATGGTGGAGTGACAGCGAGGTGGCGAATGTAGCGCTTAAGCCAGCGCTTGAGTGAACATCAGCCACATATAGACCCGTAGGGTTGGCAACGTGTGTGGGTGCAATTGTATAGGGGGGTGGAGCAGATTCTGATTGTGATGCAACTAGGGATGAGGAAATTTGGGAAGGCTGAGGAACCTGCATTTCCTCGGGAGTCTTCTCCGATTGGCCTATCATATCTTTAATGGCCTTTAGATCAAATCCTGCATGAACAGGGATGTCGGTGGAAGAACTTGGTGATCGGCCACCGGAAGGTCGTATTGAATGAGGGTTAGTATTCTGAGGTGGAGTTCCCGTGGACTCGCGAGGTGGTTCGTCGTCATCATCAGTCGGTTTCCCTAGTGAAGGGGGCTTCCGCCTTGAAGAAGCAAAAGAAGCTGTTGAGGGTGGTCTCGATACTGGTGTTGGTGACGTTGAGGATTTCTTCTTTCTAGAAAACCACTTCTTTTTCTGTGTATGGTCCCCTTCTTTCACAACGACCCTCTCTTCGTTGAATTCAGGTTCCTACGAATAGTAATTAGCAAAGAGCCGGCCCGACAAAATGAGACACGTACAACGGGCTCATCGAAGTAATCACACGAAACGGGGAAGCCAAGCTGGTCTAATATGAGCGGCATGAATGCGCGATAGCTCATATGCCCTGAAATTTTATCCGTAACATCGACATTCTCTAAACCTGGCACATTCTCGATTGGCCGCAAGCCTGCAACCGTATTTAAACCACCACTGGTTGCACGAAATAGGTAGTTCAGGACCCAGTCATGTCTCGCAAATCCATTAACAAAGCGCCCCGAAACAACGCTGCGGGCATTGCACCATGTGCTCGTCGACGCTGTTAATGTGGCTCCGAGGAGGAAAACGTCTTGTACTATGCCAAAAGCTTTTGCCTTGGCGAGATCGAGGAGGGCGTAGAAAATGACACGTGCGCCAAGAGAGAACCCAATGAGTGTGATAGGTCGAACGCCAAGATGTCGATGAATAAGGAGCTGTGCAAGAACACTGCCAGCCGCCCGGGCACGGTCGAGCGCATTATTCCAAGGATTATCAATCAGGTAACCAAGTTTTGTGAGAACTGATGAAGTCCTGATGAGCTAATCTCTTTAGAAAATGCAAATCGACATCACGCCTACTGATTGGCCACTGGAGTCCGCTCATCAGCGCAGTCATCACTGTATGCTGGAGTACAGTCTGAACTGTTTGTGATAGAATCTCCCCGGTAAGAATCTTTAGCGCACTACCGGTTTCTTGAATCATCTCAGGCTCCCAAAGTATACTGAATACATCGCCCACAATAGGATCCAAAACACTAAAAGGTAGGCGGACATCATCAAGCTTGCCATTCATGAATCTACACAAGTTTGAGGTTCGATATACCCGTATTTGAGGATGGACGCACCCAGGAACGGTTAGGATGCAGCTGACACGCTTGTTATTGTGCAGCGGTAGCACATCAAATATTCGTACTTGTTGCGTACGTCGGGCCATTCCTTGAGCAGCGATCCCAGACCCAGTCAGAACTCCTCCGGTTGTGATTACAGCGGCCCCACCGGCCCCAGCAAGGAATCCTGTTGTCCCAGATATGCCGACAGCGGTAAAGGCTGCACCCAGACCAGCACCAATAACAGGCGCGAGAAGTCCCGCAGAAAGTCCGATAACTAGACCACCACCTATGTTCAAATGCGCGGCAACTTTATTAGCACATCTTGCACATCTTGATCGGAATAAATGAGATCACCAAGTGTAGCCAGGCCCATCATCATATACCGCCTCTTCCGCGCAGCCTTTGACGATCCCTCAATAATCTCCTGATTCTCCATCTTCTCGACGCCTTCTTGGATCTCAAGCGCCTCCGTTACGCGCACCTCGAACTTGACTACATCCAACCAGCCAAGTCCGAGCTTGAGAGCCACACTCTCCAATAGTACACGTGATCTTGCGTCGTAGACACTGTCCGCAATGAGTATAAGGAATAGGTCGCACAGAACGGTCCACCGAATATCAAGTGTAACATCTTTTTCAGCGGATGAAAGCGTCGTAGTGACTCCCATCGATGCAGAATCAACAGCAGTACCCTCAAGAACTTTGGCCGTAGTCTGAAAGGTCCTTTGAGTGGTCGATGAAGGTGATGTTGGTGTCTGAGGAGGACTACGACCGTCCGACACCAGGCTGGAAGGTCGAAGTTCATCGTCTTTAGAGTTCCGCCTGCTTGTCGTATCTTTCTTCAGGCCTTGAGCTTCAGCCTGCCGCCGTGCTTCAACAGGGTCGTATTCGGGGTTAGCAACGGTATGAGTTGTCATTAGCGATGGTACAAGATCTATCGCTTGCACACCATGCGCAGCTAGGCTGTCTATCATCTTCTGCTCTGATATAGCATTTGAGCATATGTAATCCCACTTGTTGGACTGAAAGGATGCGTGAGATTACCTGCAGTTTCAAGTTCCATGTGGTAATAGAGCCGGCCCATGATCTTCATCGCCCATAGCTCCATATCTTGGAAAGATGATTTGAGCTCCTTTCTCTTAGTCGTCTTGAGCTTCTGCACCATTTCTTTCGCCGTGAGGGCGCAAACACCAACAGTAGGCAATGCGCTGTGCTTCGGTCAACATATTCTTGGTCGCTTGCATCTGGTTGAGCGGGGTCATAGCCTTGTCCTCGTCAAACAGGTATCGTGTGCGCAGGTGAACCTCATCTGCCTCATCCTCTTCATTGACCCGCAGTCTAGTATACTCGTTCTCATTCTGATCTGTCTTGGAGCGCCATTCGACACCCTCGTCGTCGAAATCGATGAGGTTGCCAGTTGCATTACCGGCTGTTGATGCAGATTGCAACGGTTTCTTTGATGAGGGCATGTAGTGATATTTCTTCCGATCTTCTTCGTCAAGACCGCCTCCGAAGTCATCCTCTTTGATGACTGGCATTTCCTGCCATCCTTCTTCATCGTCGTCGTCAAAGGAAAATGGTTTCGTAGGATGAGTAGCTTCCACTGGCATGTTGGAAGGATGTTTTGGAATGCTCAGATCAAAGACATCGAACTGGGAAATGAAGGGGAAGTGATGACCCTATGACGACAAGTATTCGTCCCTCTCCAAAGAGGTAGTACGTACTGCCAGCTAGACAAGCCTTACCTTACCCTTACTTCCCACGCTCTGCACCGGGTTTCGACCAACTCTTGCCACACACTTGTGAAACGTAGATATGAGATTCCCCTCAGCTTTCGAGTCTTCCTTTCGTGTTTGGATGATGAGCCAGAAGCACGCAAGGTCACCCGTCCGCGTTACTGTCAGCGAAATATCAGATCTCATCAAGATCTCAAGCAAATTCCGCATGAACATCGTATCGGTATGGTCGACGTAGTAAGCAGACAATTACAGCGTACAACAAACTTTTTCCAACAGTCACGCTTACAATCAATCCCTCACTGCTTTGTTCGCGCCTCCTCCCTCTTGGCTGCGCGCTCCTTCATGTCCTCATGCTTAAGGGCTGCCTTGACTTGTCGTTGCCTCTTGCGTCGACCGTTCCCTCGTTTAGGTCCATTGATAACCACCGGATCTGCCATGCGCTGCTTTTTTTTGGCGAGTTGTTCGGCGCGTTGCTTTTCACGTTTTTTGTCGCGCTTGCGAAGGGTGATCATGGATGCTTTGAGTAGGGCACCGTAAGCAGAGTGGAACTTATCGAGGTCTGTTGATAAAATCTACAAAGGTAATGTATCTTGAGCGTAGTGAAGCCTTGCAAAGGATCCGTTATGTACCTTAGTGGAGAACTTCACCTCTTGCCATCAGTGACACGGACAATACAGGGATATTCTCTACTCCCATCGCTCCCATCTTCTTCTTTCATTACAGTATCATCACCATCATGAGTTACTACATATAATCAGAAAGGAAGTCAAAATAACAGAGCAATAGATCAAGACGCACATCGCTTATGAGTGAGCCATATCGTGCCCTTGTCTTTGGTCGATTCGAAGAGGGCGCCCAGCTGCTGGAGAAACTAAACACTGCTTGAACGATCACACTAACAACTGTAATAAGGCAGATGAACGCACTGTGTGATTGTCGACGAGCTGCATGGGCCTGATGCAGCTCGAGCGTCGAGAACATGTTCATTAGGTGATCTAAGAAACGGATGGGGGTCACAATAGCCAAATAAGGACAAATAGGGGGGTTTTGACACTGGCCACCCCACTTACACCGCCTTCGCTGCTTCATCATTAACCTGCGATCACAACTCTATGATTCTCATGTCTTTTACACTAGATCTATATTCGAACGTGCAACATCTCCGAGGGAATTATTTACGGGGCTCCTGATGCACCGCTTTGATGGTACTGTTATACTCATAGAGTAGGCCTCAGAGTGGCAATACTTCTGCCTGGAGCTCAAGCTCTTCCGTTCGTAAGTTTACCGAGCGCCTTGCAAGAACTCGGACGTGACATGGAGATCCCCTAGCTTTATGTGGTTGAGTAGCTGCAGGATACCCGATAGTGTGTCGGGAGCTTTTCAAGCTCCGTGAATGACGCAGCGTCTGATGTTTTGCTTGCACAGAAACCAGTTTAGTACATATCCATAGGCTACCGGCTCCAGTGATACCTCTGCAGGATAAAATATGAGCGATATGGAAAGGTACGACAGTAAACTGGAACCTGCTGATTCGAGCTGTCTGGGACTCTGTTTTGTGATGTGTTGGCGGCTAAAACTTGAATGTTTTGAATGTTCTAGCTTTGTCTTCTCCCTCCACCACAGGGAGCCTTGGCCGGATGCTCCTGAGGCCAGCCTGAGTCCTGCGAATAGAATTATGCACTTCAATCACCTGCAGACGTACATGCACATTGAACCTATCCTCACCCTCTTTGACATGCTCGTCTTTTCGTTCTCCTGCTCTACTTGCGACTGAGCTGGCTCTCTCCTTTGTGATATGGAGATACACGTCCACACCTCGAACATCTTCTCTCCTGTTTTTGTGTAGGATGGCATGCATCCCGAAATGCTCAAGCGACATACATCTACTTGCTCACAGCCATTCTACGAGGCCGTCCTTGAGCATGAACGAGCGACTAGCGTCTCCTTTCGTCTAAGGTCTGTATGGGGAGACTAATCAGGGCTAACCACCATTTCAGTGATTCATATATAGTCTCTACAGATTGTCTGGTTGCTGACAATTCCTTCTCTGCCCCGATTTTGATACGGTAGTTTTACCTTATCCCAACAGAAGTCGAAAGGAGATCCCCGTTACTTGTATCAGCTGAATTTGAATCCCACGGATCAACAGATAACATCCCGTGACCTTTGCACGTACAATGTGTTCTCGAAGCATTGAAACATCAAGCTGATCTTGCTTGAATCTAGGGGAAGATGTTATTTTCTGATGCGATCGTACTGGCGATCAGAAGTTGCAGAAGATTCGCATCTCGCTACTTCCCGAACCCGCAAGTCACGTACTGCTTATGTAGTACACGATCACAGTTAAGCAAATGATTCAGACTGGAGTCTCGACCACCTTTCTTACGCCGTATGTACTGTAGTGCAGTGGTATCAACAGTGAGGGTATGAAAAATAATTTCAAGCAGTGCCCGGGACGGAGATCGCTGTCCCATCCTTTTCAAATATGTCTTTGAGCCGTTCTATATCAATGCTCTATTAGTTCAAGATAGGGTACATCTCTGTTTGTATGGGCGTCCGTGATCTGGCCCATCAGTAAACCGGTGAAACTCAGATATTCCCAGGTATGGTACCTGTTTCCTCTACATGACGTTACAAAACAATATACTATCTCTGGCCCAGAGTTGCAAAATGTTCCGAGCAGTTTTTCATAATACAACAACTACACAACATTAAAATAAGGAAACAGTAGGAGTACGTAGGATTTTATACAGACTTTAAGGCTATGTAAAAAAAATAAAGAAATTTGTCAAGGCTACGTTGCCAGAGAGAAGCCGGTGCGAAACAGCGTTTGAGCACAGAGTTGCAAAATTTCCCACCCGCATAGAAGTCATCGTGTCACACTATGTCACGCTGCAGTTTTAATTCTCCGATGAACGAAACCGGCGCATTTGACAAGGATTCCGAAGGCTTTCGTTCAGCATTGAAACTCGTATCTCTAACATAAAAGTATGCTTTTGTACTGTAAGGTATTAACTAGATAGGTATAATATATTATGGGTGACATTCAAGAAAGCCTCTGACCCACTTCTCGTGAGGCTTAGTTTTGCCATGACACAATATGGCTGCCTTGCTTCAAATTGTGCACTTGCTGAGTGGATGCCCCATGGAGCTGAGTAATTTGATCCAGTCAACAAGCACATTGTCCAATTCCAGTGATAGGAGCTGTTGCTCAATATGAACCTTGTGGTATGACTGACTCTTGCCAAGATACCACTGCTGAAGGGTGTCGTATGGGACTTTGTGCTCTGTTGCAACAGTGCGAACGTTAGGAGAAGGAGAAGCATGTAGAATAGTGCAGGCATGTTGAATCTTATCTTCAAGCTCTTGAGAAAACTTGGAGGGTTGGTTTCTCTTTGGCATGTGACCAGCACTGCAAGACTGTTCACAGATATGAGTGAGTGTGTGCACATGTGTTAGCTGAGTTGCTGAGTGGTGCTTTACAATTCTGAACACAAGCTCACCCCTCCTGTCACGTTTTGCATCTCGATAGTACAACATTTATGGCTCTCAACATAACACAGTTTTCATGTCAGAAAAAATTAGAGCAGTGCTAGAAGGCAATGTAGAATCACTAGTAAAATTTTTGAATTTTTTGGCGCATGTAATGGCTCTCCTCTGACAGATTGGTGCAGAAAGTGCATGTTCCACACTGTATTTCGCTGCTGCAAGCACTTCCAGTTCATTTTTCATGAAATGAAAAATAAATACAGCAAGCTATATACTAATCATCCTCTAGAATCATTGTGCAAAGGAAATGAGTGGAAGATGAGCGTGCTACATTGTGATTTGCAACTCTGGGCCAAAGATAGTAAAGCAATATATAGGTCCAAATCAAGCATGAATTGGGGTGATTACATTGCTTTGGATTGCTATATATTACTTTGTATCGTAATATACAGGAAAGAAGCATTGGGCTTACAAAATACTACAAGATCTGGGAATATTTGAGTCTCATCGGTTTACTGATGGGTGAACAGGTTTCGCCATTTACTTTTTAGGTGATATTGTGCACCCGTATCTCGACAACCCTTGGTTTGATCACCCGATGGAGAACAAAATTTGAGCAGGCGACAGACGTCTGAAGATGGGTGGTGCTGAGGAAATGCTTGGTACGATCCTTCTCAGCTTACGTGACATCGGTATTATTTCGCTTTTTGCGGCGCGTCTCGGTTGTCTGTCTATTGTGGGCCAGCGCCGCAAAGTCCGTCGAAACATGTCCGTGATATCTAATGATAGGAAACGAAACCATGGATATCAGCCCAATCATATCATTCTGAGTTCGTAAGTACTGTTAGTCGGTTCCTTTTCTGCCTGATTGAGTCATCGAAGTATTTTCAAACTTGGACTATAACCACTGACCAACGTAGGTGGCCAAATATATCTCAATTCAACTCATTTCACCTCGAGGGCTCATCCCAGTTTTGCATTTTCCAGGGACTTTCATTCACTCGGCTTGCGGAAGACAAGAACGGATCATAGTGATACTCTACAACTTCTGATTGCCACGACTTATCGCATTATGCCGTTCTCCACGATCAGTATCACGGATCTGTTGCTTCAAGAACATAGTATAGCAAATATTACGTGCACGGGTGTTGGGGAAAGCCATTACATGATGTTATCCATCTAATGGACATCATCCCGGGCCAGGTTTAGTATGCACCAGAACTACAAGACTGTGCACCGGTGCCATTCACCGATCTCTGATGTGATACTCCTTATCTCAAGCTTAGCCACATCGTAGTCTTATAAGACATGGATGATTGGCGATGCTACCCGTACTGCCATACATTCTCGCCATGAGTTCAGCAGACATTGGCATGCCGCTGGATACCGCTACCATCATGTCAACAGTTCTGGAAGGCATTTTATACGGTGAGTGTTGCAATGAATGTGCCCACTTCATGCCCATCAAACTAGCATTTTTTAGGCTTTTCAGTCCTTATGTTTATAGGTACCATTTGGATATTCACCTACAAAAAACGCATGGAGAACGTCAATCAGCCAGTCGCTGTGGTTGCCGTATTGCTATTTTTACTGAGCACTACGGTTAAGTTCTTGTCGTTTAATTCCGATACCATCTACTGAAAACTCCCAAGCACATGGTCATTGAAATTATTCGTGTCGAAGATGGATTGGTGAAGTCTCGCGACACTTTCCCAGGTGGCCCAGCGGCATTCTTCGCAGATGTTAAACAAAAAATGTATGTGACCAAGAGTGCGGTGAATCTCATGCAAACTTTGCTAGGCGACGGGATAGTGGTGGGATCAAAATTTCCCTTGCCAGCTCGACACTTTTGTGACTTACAAAAATTCCCTTCCTGACAAAAGATTTATCGATGTAACGTCGTTTGGAAATCTGTCCGGGTTATTATCCTACCATGCATGATGTGGTGTGCTGTTGCAGGTTAGGTTGCACAACTTGCAATTATACTCAGGAAGTTTGCTGACGTTCTAGTTGTTTCGAAGTGTGTGGGTCTTGTAAGGTCTATTACCTTTCACAAACGCCGACAAGCAATGCCAAAAGTCTCTTCACTGACGAGACTGGACGTTGGACTGCGGCGTTCATTACTTTAACTTTTGCAACCAACTTGTTCAGTTCAGGTAAGCTCCGCGTAAGAGCGATGTTGAGATCTTACATCAACTTAAATTTGTCCAGGATTACTTGCATACCGTATCTGGACGATCGAACGCAGGGTCTCTACAGTTCGCACTAGGAAGGGTATTATGCCTATTTTGCGCGTGCTTGTGGATGCTGCTATTTTATACTCCGTATCCAATTGCTCCGCGATAATATGTTTTGCCCGTTCGAACAATGGCCTATATGTCATAGGAGACATGGTAATTCCGCCGCTAACGCTTATTATAAAAATCATTGAACTTCGGTCAACTAGATCAATCCGACCATCTCGATTGCCTTCTACATGGTGTTTATTCGCATCGCAATTAATAAAGATACTCAGGAATTTATCTCGACTGTCTGTGTAGGGACAGGTGAGACAGACCGAGGGATCCCACTGCATTATCCTATACAACCTTTGCGGACTAGTAGTACTGCATACAAGCAGGATGATACATCCTCCTGAAATAGCGATGTGTATATTACTGTAGTTCTCCAGCCTGATATAAATATCTTCCATGCTCTCTTGGCTTCGGACGGTGGCTACCTCACTCTAAGCCCTATGAGGAATGTCAAAAGATCTGACTGTACTTTAGCTTCTACTGTTCTGAATCGAGTTAGAGATAGAATTATCTGCGGAAACAGAAATTATCAACTTGTGGCTTAGCTGCTTTTTAGTTAGTCGTCAAAGATCTGGTGCACGCAATTTGGCTTTGCGCCCTGGACCGGCAGTGTGCTGCGTCGGAGCACCATTCGTCACGGTCTTGTAATTGACAGATCTGGATAAAGTACATAGTCAGACCCTCCCATTCCTGCATTCTGAAGTAGCCACTGTTTGAATTAGGCTTGTCATATAAGGATAGCTGTATATATAGAAGTATACGTAGCTAGATAAATATGCTATCTTACGCATGAAGAGGCTCAGACTAGGAACGGGAAAGAGACTCAGTCTTAAATTAAAAGACTGAGGGAGATTATTCGAGGGGAGAGTAATTACTAGACTGGTTGAGATGGAGAATCAAAGGTGGACGTGTATGAGGCGTGTAACGAAGAGTGAATGCGTACCAGTATATAAAAGAAAAGGATGAGTACGCACGAGAGTGACATCTAGAATCATCCTAATACGCTAATGAATGTGTCTCTACTTTTGGGCTATCACCCAAGGAGGATTTGGAATCATTCGCCTTGCGTATAAACGGCTGCATGGGATGTTGTTGCAATTTTCTTCGTTCTGTCTCAGTGGCCCCTCTACAGGCAGTCGAGCGGTAATATTGATTATTTTGACTGGTCGCGATGCGAATAAATACCATGTAGAAGGCAATCGAGACGATCGGGACGATCTAGTTGATCAAAAATCAGTGATTTGCGATGATAGGTTTCAACAGCGGAATTACCAAGTCTCCCATCACATACAGACCATCATTCCAAAGGGCAAAACATATTATTGAGGAGCCAAGCGCCGCAGAGTACAAAACAGCAGCATCTATAAGCACGCGCAATATAGGTACTTTGGGCTTCGTAGTGCGCATTGCATAGACCTTGCGTTCGGTCATCCAGATGCGATACGCCAGTAATCCTGGACAAATTCAGGTTGGTATAGGGTCTCAACATCGCGCTTACGCAGAGGTATGCTCACCGGTACTCAACACATTAGTTGCAAGTGTAGAGGCAAGAAAAGTAGCGACCCAATGACCAATCCTGCTAGCGAAGAAATTTTCGATTTCGGCAGTGGACGCTTGAGAGAAGTAGTAGACCGAACAAATGCCAGAAGCTTTGAGATAACATCAGAGCATACGACTTCCTGGGTGTGATTGCAACCTGACCTGCGACACCACACCACATCATGCATGGTAGGATAATAATCCAGGCAGATTGCCAAACAACGTAACATCGATAAATCTTTTGCCCGAAAGGCAGGTTCTATAAGTAAAAGAGGATCTGAAGCTAGCACATGAAAATTTGACGCACCACCACCCCGTCGCCAAGCAGAGTTTGCAAGGTATATATCGCATTCTTGATTACAAATGTATCTTGGGTAACGTCTGCGAAGAACGCCACTGGCCCGCCAGGGAACGTGTCACGATACTTCACCAGTCCACGTTCGATGTGAATAATGACTACAACTATGTGCTTTTGAGGCTTCAGTAGACGACATTGAATACAAGCGAGGAGAAGCTAACCGCGGTACTCAGCACGAACAGCAGGGTAGCAACTACAGCGATTGGCCGATTGACATCCTGCTTATGTCGTTTGTAGGTGAATGTCCAGATGGTACCTAGACACATGAGGACTGAAAATCCTGAAGAACGCTGGCGAGTCAGTCACCTGGGTATGGGACGGGCAAACTTATCGTGACACACCGTATAAAATGCCTTCCAACACTGATGACATGACGGCAGCGGCATCCATCGGGATGCCTGCCAATGAAACCATGGCGAAACTGATGCCTGGGGATGTATGACAGTGTGGGTAGCTTCGCAAGCTCCATCTATATCGTTATATAGTAGAAACAGCCAGCTAAATCAGAGAGTGGCTAATTGTAACAATGCATGCTGCAGAAATTTTGGTTTCAGTTTTAACAAGACTTGAACCGAGACCCCATGGACCAGCACTCAACACTATATCAAACAGATAACATCCTGCCAGGCTTGCTCTCTTGTGAACTTACTTCCTGTACAAGACATTAGGTATAGTCTTGAAACACGATGTATGGTGCTGGTCTCTAAGAATGACAACGACGTTATCATAGCAATCAGAACAAGTTGAAGTGACTGAGGATATAGTACCGCATCTTGGTCCTGCTACTTCCCATACAATTAATAGTACATCGATCATAATGAAGGAAATGATTCACGCTAAGTGAGGAGTCTCGACCATCTTCATTCGCATACACTGATGGTCTGCCTAGGCCCTAGGAAAGACTAGTAATCAGCTCGCTTTGTCGCTACATAGTATCGTACCGCGCTATACAGTACTACACAACGATTAGGTGAGCTGGAATAACTCTTTCGCAACGCCTTGTTCGACCACATGGACACTGTTGTGACCAATTGTTGTGTGGCAAGGCGAGTACTGATAAAGCTGGGTAAACACACGGGAGACCAGACTAGCGCTGAGAGAATCAGAGGGACCCAGGGTGTATGACAGTTATCTTGTCAGATTGCAAATGTGTATTTGAAGGGTGAGTCTGCACTAACGTATGTGGCTTTGGGGTCACCCGCGACATCTAACATGGTGACCAAGCATACCACTGCTGGGTACAAGCTGGTTACAGTGCTTGTCACGATCATAGTAACTTTGTGGTGAGCCTTCGTCCTTCCATATCTACGACGCCGCCGACTCGTGGGCACCAGTGCTCGCAACGGGCAGGTCTGTAGGTTTGATGTCGATGAAGTCCAGTTCATTGCGATACATAATGAGCGCTTACAACAGAGGCGTGCTCGTTATTTAAGTATCTTCTTTGCAGACCCACGGCAGGCGCCTGTCAACCCACTGCCATCGCTACGCTCCTCGTCCCTTTGCACCTGAATCTAGACCTCGTCATCGTCATCCTGATTCATCTGTGCTTCCAAACTTACTAGATGAATCCTTCTCCGGAGAAAAGCTCTGGGATAGTAGTGAGGTATTTGTAGGATCATACCGAGAGGCGCCAAGTTATGTGGAGGACCAGTTTACCATTCGCTCCCACGCAATATAAACTTGCCATAAGTACAAATTTAGAACTACGTGGGTGACGGTAGGTCCCGTACGGACTGGTACCACGGACGGATCGACAAATTCCTGCCCCGCGGCTGTTGTCACTCTCTACTCGGCTATCACGCAATCATCACGACTTGATAATGATTTCTTGCCAACTGAGCCTGGTCACTTACTGTGATTTGCTATACCATGAATAGATTTTGAAAGCACGCCCTGCTTTTCTTTTTATCCTTCAATATTATCGCCATGGTCTCCAGTGCATCGAGCTCGTACCCCGCGCCAGTAGGTGGAGCGTCCCTTCTTCTAACATTCAAAGGACCCAGAAATACCATCCTTATTATTGGTGGTGATGTTCTGGCCGCCTCTAGGGCATTTGCGGCACTCGAGGCAGGTATGCAAGTGGTCATACTCAGTAAAGGGTTAGTATGTGACGAGTTGAAATGGAGAGCGGACCAACAGCAAGTAAATCTCACGGACTGGGACAGGCTTCCCTCTGCGTCTACTTCCCTACTTGCCTCCGCTCCAGACACGAAGACAGACGCGGAGTCCCTTTCTGCATTCCTCACTGCAAATTCATCTATATCTCTTATCTGCATCACCATACACACGGCGGACACACCCGCACTTGCACGTATCTGTCATGCACATAATATCCCCGTAAACGTCACCGACTTTCCTGCACTATGCGACTTCTCCTTTGCAGCCGCACACCGTTTTGTTGACCCATCTACAGGTGGGAAGAGTGCGCTACAAGTGGGTGTGACAACAAATGGGGAGGGATGCAGGCTCGCGGGGCGCGTGAGGCGGGAGATTGTCAGCGTGCTTCCAAAAGACATTGCTGGAGCCGTCAGGCAGGTCGGAAATCTTCGACGTTTGGCCAAGAATACAGATGACGAGGCCGGAGAATGTGAGGAAGGTGAGGACAGTAGTGTCACCACTCCTAACAGTCCCGTGCCTGGTTGGAGAAACAGTGCTGCCGAAAGCAAAGACGAGTCCTCTCGCCGCCGCATGAAATGGGTGGCCCAGGTCAGCGAATATTGGCCTATCACACGGCTGGCATCCATGTCAGAAGACGACATGAAGCTCATATTATCTGGCGACTCTTCCCAAACGACCTCACCATACTCAATTCAAGCTCCAAACGAGAATTCACTACATCGCTTAACACTTTTCCCGCCTCCGAAGAAAGGCCGTATTCTCCTCGTTGGCTCCGGCCCAGGACATCCCTCCCTTCTCACCATTGCAACTCACAATGCGCTTACGAAACACGCAGATCTTGTTCTCTCGGACAAGCTCGTTCCCGCTGCCGTGCTGGCTCTCATACCTGAAACTGTCGAGGTTCGCATTGCACGCAAATTCCCTGGCAATGCCGAAGGCGCACAATCGGAGATGATGGATGCAGCCGTCGAAGCTGCTCGACGTGGCCTTACCGTCGTCAGAGTACGTCCAATCCTCCATTTCCTTCACACTAAAACAACTGTCTCGTCACACAGCTGAAACAAGGAGACCCAGTCGTCTACGGCCGTGCAGGGGAGGAAGTGCTCTTCTTCCGAGCACACGGGTTCGAACCGCTCGTTATCCCGGGTGTCTCGTCGGCACTTGCAGCGCCTATTTTTGCTGGAATCCCAGTTACGCAGCGTGGCGTCGCAGAAAGTGTCGTTGTGTGTACCGGAGTCGGGCGACAGGGCAAGGAAGTCAAGCTTCCTGGCTACGAACGCTCGCGGACTGTACTCATCCTCATGGGCGTCGCCCGGATAGCGCAGGTTGTTGGCGCTATGATTCGCAACGACAGCGGTAGTGGGGAAGGCCTACAGAGCGGTGAAGGGAGAAGAGAGGGGCGTCCATTTCCTCGGAATACGCCTATTGCTATTATCGAACGCGGCTCAATTTCTGATCAACGGGTAGTCGCAAGTACACTTGGAGATATATGTGAAGCGTTGGACATAGCGGGAGAGCAAAGACCTCCGGGAATGATGGTTGTTGGGTGGGCTGTATTGGCGCTGCAAGGCACTGGTGACACAAACGTGTTGGAAGAGGGGGAAGAGCGAGATGAAGAGAGAATAAGAAAGTGGTTAGGTGAAGGCAGGTGGGTTATGCGAGAAGGAATCGATCAGGGCTGGGCAGAGGTATAGTTGAGGTGTGGGATTGATCATTAACATTCCTCAGTCTGCAGAGATTTTGTTGACATACGAGGAGTCATGTAAGGTGTACTTATTAGTATTTAGATTGACTTCTGAGCAGATGATAATGTCACTCTGGACCTCAGACTCGAAATTCCGGAGTTCAAAGATCGACTTGATTGATGCGAGACAGTCCAGTCCTTCCGCTTTCGGAAGCCCTAGCTCAGCCCTGGGCGCAATAAATGATGTATTATGTCCGATGCTCTGTGTAAGTGATACTACTAAGGGGCTGGGCTTACTGTATAGAGAAATAACTAGTGGCCCTCAAGACAGCTACCCGTCAGCTAGTACTGGTTGGGTGCACCACTCGAATGCCAGGATAACGAGTCCATAAGATAAACCAAATTATTGTCTCGGACAAGTACGGGCAACAAGACCAAGCGGCTGAAATGCTCGCACATACCCATACTCATGCTTTGTGACCATGTCTTGTCCGAATCCAATCCATACATTGACATACACATTTCCTGATACAATATTTACAGTAGCGGCTGCAGTTGTACACCTCCATCTTCCCCAAGCTTGAGTCCCTCTTCAGTAGCTAATGGTATGATTATATTGAGAACGCCCCTTCTAAGCCTTCTATAGTACACAAGCAAGCATTTCTATAACATGTCATCAGCTTTCCAAACCATTGTAAAAAGCGTAAAATACAAATCATTCATATTGTAGTGACACAGATGTAATCACAGCGTCTACACTCCATCACTGTGCTTAGCGGCGGAAGTAGAGGTGGAGGTACGGGTTCGCGAGGACAAGCGGTTTGAGATGCTTTGAAGACATTTGCGCTGGCGCTTGCGTGGAGGTATGTATTCATCCTCCTCCTCATCGCTACTCTCGGAGGAGCTAGCCTCCCGATAACTGTCCTCATCCTCCTCTTTCTCCTGTGGTTTACCACCGCTAGTGTTGTCGTCCTTCGCAGTATCAGTCTGCCGCCTCGGAAGCCGGATTTTATTACGCAGACGCGACGCGTTGGATACAGCCTGATTTGCCTCTGCAGGGTTTTGTGACTCTTCCTCTTCCTCCTCCGCCTCATCGTCCGGTGCATTACCATCGTCCGACTCATCCTTATCATCCACTGCGGTGGGATTCTGTCGCTGCAAGGGCCGAGTTTTGATCGTCAGACGCGACGTGTCTGGTTTATCCCCAAGTTTTTTTGTCCTCCTTCGTAACTTCTTCACTGTTGGAAGTCCTGAATCGGAGCTCTCAGAAGAACTGGAGAGCTGCTTCCGCTTCAAGTTGGCGAGGCGTTGCGAGAGTGAAGGAATTACTATCTTAAGTGGGGACTTGTCGGTTAACTTGCAGGTATCACAACATGAGTCTGGTGACGGCGGCATGAGTTTTAGGGTAACGTTGGGACCGAGCCGTATGATGCGAGGCATTGTGATACGTAGTCTGAGGATAAGGGGAGAGGGGGTATTTTTTTCTGTGAAGGGGCGTTCAATTAGACGAACTGGATAGCTACCTTGTAGACCCGCACCCATTTAAAGGATTTAGAGCTGTGGACATACCATGTGGTCATTTCTTGAACACCGACATTGCAGCTGTGGCTTTGGACCAAACAATACCATGGGTACCGCATCTGTGGGGGCCTGTGGATTGATCACGGTGGTAAGTACGATTAAGGCGCTTGTGCAAGCAGGACAATGACGATGAATTCGAACGTCCACTGGCATTGACCACCCAAACGGTCCAAAATATTATTTGCAAGTGCGACCAATACATAGACGACTGCACTGAACAAAGTATGAGTACTTGTTTTGTGTTTAAAATAAGATAGGCTTCACCAACTGCTAAACGTCCTACTTAAGGTTGAAGGTTGGCCGCAGGAATACGATGCCGCATTATGGCAATCAACTCGGACAAGTGAACCCCTTTTAATTGAGAACTTTTCCGATTCCGTTCCATATAATATTCCACTGCCTCTCCTATGATGCGTGGTGATTGATCAAGGTGCTATGGACCTCAGCGTGAAGTCAAATGTAGCATCAGAACCCACATGATATTATTGTCAATAAAACTTCTACTTCAACCTCGATGGTATACTCTAAGTTTTTTGGTTGCGAACACACATGCCATAATGACCGGCGACGACGACCTACAATAATAGCATACCATAGTTTGAGAAGTATTGGATATGGTCGAGGACGGCAATGGAAATGGGAACGCACTGTATTGGATTGTTGTGTTGGATTTGGAAAAGACGTAACGTCTATGTCCTGAAGAGAAGAGAACGGTTGGAGGGAAGACTCACCTTGGACGAACCGGAAGTGGGAACGGATGGAATGACTTGATGAACATTCAAGTCGAGCAATAAAACATGACAATCATCTCATACAAGGGCTCGGATGGTCGAACTCAATCCATTTTTACTTATTTGGATTTGCCTTGCGTTTTACAGAACGATACACCGCGATGACGCTCTCCGAAGCTCTAATTAAGCTTGTGTGAGATATAAGTACTGGTCTGCGAGGAAGGAGGATGGTGGACAGGCTAATCATGTGATGTGACACACGCGAACAGTCACACAACGCGTCACATCACGCGTAGAACCTTTCTTCTGGATCAACCAAGATCATCGTGAGTTCGAGAGATTTCCCAACGATGCCTCCCCGCAGGTCGTCTCGGTCGTCACGACTGTCCACTGAACAAGAGGTATCAAACTCTGCGAAACGCAAACGAACCGACGCAGATGACGTAGAGGAGAAAGAGAATGCGCCCGGAACACGTAGGACATCGACAAGAGGTAGCGTGGGCCCTTCTTCGAAAGTACCTGCAGCACCATCTTCCAGAGCATCTGCAAGAACATCTACACGTACGTCTGCGAGACCGAGTCGCGCGCTGCAAGAGGTGGCTGAGACAGAGGAGGATGAGGAGGAACCTGTGAAGAAGAAGTCGAGAAACTCTATCGAGGGTGAGGATCATGATGAGGATGAAATATTAGAGTTGCAGAAACCAAAGAGAGGTCGAGTCAAGACAACTGTGCAGGATGACGATGACGACGAGGTGCAAGAAGTTAAACCTTCTCGGAAGTCATCCGTGAAGCCCCGGCCAACTCGATCGCGCAAGACAGTCACGGTGGAAGATTCAGATGTAGAGGAAGTGAAGGAACCTACTGCTATCTCGGAAGATGAGGAGGAAATTCAAGAAGTCAAGCCCGCCAAACCCAAACGCGTTAGAACATCTCGCAAAGCACCTGAAGATGACGACAACGATATTCAAGAAATCAAACCTGCGCCCAAGCCTAAGGGAAGGAAACCTCGAAAGGTGACCAACAAGGTCGAAGACGATGATGAGGCACAGGATATCAAACCCGCAAAGCCCAAACCGGCTCCCCGATCCCGCAAACCCGTCAAACTCGAATCCAACAATGACGAACACAATCCCATCACTATATCCAGTGATGAATCTGACGTTACCCCCGCTCCAAGAAGCCTTAAAGTATCTTCTAACAAGCAGAAGGCAATGCCGCTTCCCGCTGATATGGAAGTAACGCCCAGGCCTCGCATATCTGCCCCTGCTACGCCCCCCAAGCATTCCTCGCCTACTGCTGAGGACAACGCAGACGACCTCGACGGATTCCAAGAGGAATTTCTACAGACACCTCGGCGTGTACCGCGTCAATCACAGCTGTCGCAAATGACACCTAAACGCCTTGCCCCACCGGAGGAGGAAGAGGAAGAGGAGGAAATTTCCCTCCTTGAGCCCCGCGTGAAACCCGCGTCTGTGATGCGGCCCCCGCCCGCTGAAGAACCTTCAGGTCCTAAGCCGCGTCTTGTAATACACAAGATGGTGCTCGTTAATTTCAAGAGTTACGCGGGCAGACAAGAGATCGGACCCTTCCACAAGGTGCGTTCCTAGTATAATCCTTATATTTAACGTGTATTATGCTTAACTTCGATGATGGGCAGTCTTTTTCGTCAATCGTAGGCCCCAATGGTTCCGGGAAATCGAATACAATCGATGCACTCCTCTTTGTGTTTGGTTACCGCGCGTCGAAGATGCGCCAAGGCAAGCTCTCGGAGCTCATCCACAACTCTGCACGGCATCCTGACTTGGATGAGTGCAGCGTGGAAGTTCATTTCCGCGAGATTATTGACCTCGTATGTCCCTTCACTCAGTAAAATCCTACTGGACTAAGTCACCCAACCTCCCAGCCTGGACCCGACGCATACAGTGTCGTCCCGAACTCCTCACTCGTCGTCGCCCGCACAGCGACCAAGTCCAATAACTCTCGGTACACGCTCAACTCACGGTCGTCCACCTACACTGAGGTCCAAACACTTCTCCAGGGACGTGGAATTGACCTTACGCACAAGCGTTTCCTTATCCTGCAGGGTGAGGTTGAATCTATCGCACAGATGAAGCCTAAAGGTACTTCTGAGCACGATGACGGGCTGCTTGAATATCTAGAGGACATTATTGGTACTGCTACGCTCAAAGCGCCAATCGAGTCTACTCTCGCTGAGGTGGATCGACTAGGAGAGGAGAGAGCCGAAAAGGTAGCCAGATTGAGGATCATAGAGAAGGAGAAGGCGAAGTTGGACGCAGAGAGGAAGGAGGCGTTGGCATGGCTAAAGCTTGCGAATGAGCATGTGAGGGCTCTCAGCCGGCTGTGGCAGTACTATCTGTGGAAATGTTTGGAGAATGACGAACAATTCGCGACGCAGATTGTGAGTGCTTGATTTTCCCCCCTCTTCTTTGCGGTGCTGATATGTGGGGCAGGAACATCTCGAGAAGGAGCTTGAAGATGAGAGGGAACGGAACGAGGACGACATCACGCATCTAGAATTGCTCGAGACGCATTACAAGGAGCGCGAAAAGGTTTACGAGGTATGAATGCATGTTGCTTTTCCTGCTCCAATGCTGATGTATCCTATCCTTGCAGGAAGTGAAAACAGCAGCAGAGGAGGCGGTGAAGGACAACGCTGCACGCGAAAAGCAGTCCGTGAGTCTTGAGGAGCGCCGGAAGCATGCGAGCGCGAAGGCGAAAAAGCTGAAGAAGGCGTTGGCAGACGTAAGTTTTCTCTCACCCCTTTTCGCTGTCGTTCGTGCTTCATTTCATTTGACATGTCCCTATGTTTCACCTGTCTCCCTGCTCCATATTTATTTGCCGGCCTTCATTGGCATTCTGACTTGAGACGGATCTAACATATCGCTCAAATAGGATGAACAATCGAAAAAGCAAGCCGATAATGTAATCCAAGACTCTGATGCTAAAATCAAGATGAAGAAGCGTGAGATTGCGGAGCACGAAGCGAACCTGGAGAAGGAAGAGAAGGTGCTCGAGGGGATCCGGGATAGCTTGAAGGGTGGGTCCATGGTCTTGCTGCACTTGACACTATTCTTAACATGGATTGGTAGACAAAACGCAAGTCTTCCACGAACAGATCGAGGCGAAGCAGAAAGAGCTACAGCCGTGGACCGCCAAGATTAATGTCAAACAGGCTGCGATTGACGTAGCAAGCTCTGAACGGGACGCACTTGCAAAGAAAGCCACAGGCCTCAAAGATGCCGTTACGCAAGCGGAGGGACAGTTGGCTGAGTTGCAGGTAGAGCAAGAGGGCAAGGTGCTGTTCCAATTTGTACAGTGGGAAAGATGACGCTGATAAAATGTTCAGCTTAATGAGTTGAATTCCTTGAGGGCGAAAAAGGCGGAGGTGCAGAAGAAGTTGAGGACATGTGAAGAAAAATTCCACGTATGTCTGCGGGCATGCAGGGTGTTGATCGACTTTGACATTATTTTTTCTTTCCATTCAGGCTGCTCAGTCTGGCGTCCAGGAGCTTCGATCCAAGGCAGGTTCCCTGCGACAAAAAGCAGAGGAGGCTAGGGCATCCCAAGCGGCCAGCACATCGCAGAACAGAGTCCTGGATAGCTTAACGAAGCTCAAGCAGACTGGTCGAATCGATGGGTTTCATGTATGGTCTCATCCTCCATGCAGCCTTCCAATCATTCACACATTATCTTACAGGGCCGTCTCGGTAGCCTGGGCACGATCCCAGACAAATACGACGTCGCAGTCTCTACCGCCTGTGGCGCCCTTAACAACATGGTTGTCGATACTGTCACTCAGGGCCAAGCGTGCATCGAGTTCCTGCGCAAGCAGAACATCGGGCGCGCGTCGTTCATGGTGCTGGAGAAGCTTCCCACTGATAGACTCAACGAGCATGTGGTTACACCCGAGGGTGTCCCGCGGCTGTTCGATCTCATCAAGCCAAAGGATCCCCGCTTCGCACCTGCGTTCTACAAAGGCGTTGGGAACACCCTTGTTGCTGATAATTTGGACCAAGCGAACAGGATTGCATTTGGAGGCTCGAAGCGCTGGCGTGTCGTCACGCTTGCAGGGCAGCTGATCGATTCATCAGGAACGATGTCGGGCGGTGGGAATCACGTCTCACGGGGTGGAATGAGCTCGAAGCTCCAGGCGGAGGCAGTGAGCCCACAAGTTTTGCAAACCTACGAGCAAGAGAGTGAGCAAGCGGCGCGTAGTCTTGAGGCGGCACAGCGGGAACTTCGCGATATTGAAGCAGAAGCCGAAAGGCTCACTCAAGCAGGCCCGGAAATAGAGCTCGACATGGAAAAGCTCACCATGGGCGTCAACAATGGGAAGAAACGGCTGACTGATGCTGAGAGGCGTGTGCAGGATCTCAAGTACGTGCAATCTGTTTGTCCTACGCAGGATCGCTACTGAGTAGTTTCCAGAACACAAAGCAAGCCCAACGCTAGGGATCTTGCTCGAATCAACACTCTAGATGCCGAGATTGCATCATCAACAGAGGAGCTTGAAGAACTGCAGACCAAGACTGGCGCTATTGAGGCCGCGATTAAAGATCTTGAAAAGAAGATTCTCGAAATTGGTGGCTCCAAGCTGCTGAAGCAAAAGTCCACTGTTGATGGTATTCGTTTGATGCACCAGCTAGCTAACGAAGAAGTCACCAAGGCCGAGGTTATGAAGGCTACCGCAGAGAAGAACGTTGTAAAATATACGTCCGGAGTTGAGACCAACCGTGCGGCGCTGGAGGAAGTCGAGAGAGAGCTTGAGGAGCTGGAGGATCAGCTGGCGGAGGTCGCACAGTATTTGGAAGATCTCAAGGAGAAGGTAGAAGCCGCGCAGGCTGCTCAGGAGAGCTCGAAAGATGATCTCGATCACCTCAAGCAGCAGCTCCAGGAAAAACGCGAGGAAATCGATGAGTTCAGGAAGAAAGAGGTTGGTTATTTGCTATGCAATTGATCTTTCGGTATTCACGGGTTTTACAGCTTGAGATCACCCAGAAGCTTGCCGACAAGAAGAAAGAGTCTGCTGAAAATGAGCGTGTACTTGACCACTGGCGGACGGAACACGACCAACTTAAGCTTCATGAAATCGAGTAAGCCATTGTCTGTCAACTATTTCAACTTTCGTATGCTTACAGCCACTCGCAGTGATGACGACGACGACGACGACGAAGAGGAAGGTGCTGACCAAGTCGCTGGAGCTTCAGGCAGTGGTGAAGGGGCGGTGAAGCAGGAACATGCAGACTCTGCACCTCCGAAAAAGGCTCGTCAACGAACGCCATCGACTGAGCTATACATATACAGTGCCGATGAACTTGCACGCTTCAAGAAGAGGGATATGCTTGCAGATTCTGAGTATCTTGATGGTATGCTCGATCACTTTAGTTACACGTGATTACCACTAACTGGACACCTTAGAGAAACTTAAGAATACCAATCCAAACCTCAACGTTCTCAAAGAGTACAAGAAGCGAGAGGAGGAATTCATGAAACGGGCCAAAGACTTAGAGGAGACGACTGCAGCGCGCGACGTGCAGAAGCAACTTTACGATGGTCTCCGGAAACAACGCTTGGATGAATTCATGGCAGGTTTCAGCTCCATTTCATTAAAACTCAAGGAAATGTACCAGGTCCGTGCTGACGTCCTTTAATTAATCAGAAATCTATATTTTCCGTCAGATGATCACTCTTGGGGGCAACGCGGAGCTTGAGCTCGTCGACAGTATGGATCCCTTCTCAGAGGGCATCATCTTCAGCGTCATGCCTCCGAAGAAGAGTTGGAAGAATATTTCAAATCTCTCTGGGGGCGAGAAGGTACATTCTGCTTTTGGGATCGGGGAACACATACTAATCATTCTCCAGACCCTTAGCTCACTTGCTCTCGTGTTCGCTCTGCATGTGTTTAAGGTAAATCTTATCAACTCTGTGAGCAGCTCCAGTAGCCTGAACCTGTCCTAGCCTACGCCACTTTATTTTATGGATGAAATAGATGCGGCCCTAGACTTCAGGAATGTCTCGATTGTGGCAAATTACATCAAGGACCGAACCAAGAACGCGCAGTTCATTATTATTTCTTTGAGGTGACGATTCCTTCTCTCCCGAGAACTGCCTTGGCTAATATGAATTTGCAGGAATGACATGTTTGAGCTCAGTCACCGTCTCATTGGTATTTACAAGACTTCAAACGCAACACAGAGTCGGTGACATGATTATCTTATGGGACGTATTTCTCATTTGTTCTCGCACAGGTATATCCATCGATAACCACGCTCTCGCTCGTCAAACTATCAAGGCTGTGCCGACAGCAGCAGCCTGAGATACATGCATGAGCATTCTGTAATGGTCAGGTTCTTGCTTTCTACCACGCTTTGTAAATTATATGCATTGTGTAACACATGGTATTGTCGTATCCCTTGTTTTACTCGTCTCTTCAAACTGCGCCACTGGGATGAACATCTGAAAGCCATTCTCCCAGAGACTTTGCGCCCCAGTTGAGGCTTATTGAAGCCTCACCATGAATGCTTGGAGCAGGGAAGTCATCGGGCAAAAGTAACGGTGGTTCGGATGTGAACCAGGGGTGAGTCAATGCCTTGGAAGGGAAGAGACGCCGAGATGGTTCGTATACAAGGAATCGATGGATAAGATCAGCAGGAGTTGGTGACATGGTCTCTGGGGGCACGTGTGTTTTTGTGTCGACTTCACGCTGCTGCGCGGATGAAGGAAGATTGGATAGGATAAAGGGAAGGTCAACAGGCTCAACATTTATGAAGGACAACTTGTTTGCGTCCGGTAAGCTCAAGAAGGACTTGTTGGAGTCAGAAAAGATCCCAGCAACAGATCCAACGACACTCACTGGCCAATTGGTCTCATTTGGCGAACCTCGTATCTTGAAAATACTCCATGCTAAACCAATCTCTCCACGTGTGGAATCAAATAGTGAATCCCTGGCCCATCTGTTCGAGGGATCTCCGATGCGAAGTTGCTTTGGTATGATGAATGGCTCGGTTGGCTTCGATGAGCTTTCGTCGCTTGAGTCAGACTGCTCATCGCCCTCAAAGTCGAAGTCTTCGTCGTCAAGCGGGTTAAACAGACGAAGGGTCGTGAAGAATTCCGCAAAGGTTGCTCCAAGGCTCCAAGAGTCGATCGCGAATGCGTCATAATTTCTAGGCCCAAACAGCAGCTCAGGGGCACGGTATGGTCTACTTCCGAGTGAGTGTCCGGTTCACACTCAGTCTGATAGTGACATACCCTGTAGAAACTTCAAAGTACATCTTTTCCGGGGTTTCAACCCATAAATCGTTTTTCTTTGCGGCAAGATCTTCCCCTTCCTTCCAGGATATGCCAAAGTCAATGAGCTGAACTCGGCCAGATAAAGTGAGAAGTATGTTGCTTGGTTTGATATCTCGGTGTGCAATTTTTGTCGACTCGTGAAGGAATGTCACACCACTTAGGATTTGAAACATCAATGATTTTGCGAGAAGAACGAAACGCTGTTCGCGTGGACTCGGACTTGATGGATCTGCAGCCAGAATTGAAATAAGTGGATGGGGAGAAAGTTGTTCGAAGACAACAATGCGATCAAAGACGAAGGCACGTATGGCATCCAAAAGCTCATAGTCTGCAGGCCTGAATCAATGCCATGGCCTAGGATAGGAATCACCTAATGGTAAGATGTAAGACTCGCCCAGCCATTCTCCGCGAGACTCACATTGGGATGGCATGCAGAGGCGATCAGCCTCGCCTCTTTGACGATGTCGTGCGGCTCTTTGGCATATTTGCGGTGGATGGTAGATGTCTTTATCGCAATCCACTGAGTTTGCCCTTCATACTCGAGCAGGCCCTTTGAGACAAGAGAAACTGGGCCTTCAGCGACTGTTTCGCGAGAACCACTCGGCTGTCACCATCATAGTCAATGCCAGCTATCTCGCAGAAATAGACGCATGCCAACAATGGATGGTGTGCTGCTTGAAAGAGAAAAACGTTGGCGAAGAGCCCCTGTCTCGCATTTGTTACAGATAGACCCACCTTTCCATGGTGAACCCTTCACTGTCAGATTTGGCAGTGTCAATCATACCCAAGTCATGACATCGAATCGAAGCACATCATGTAGTGAAGAGGTGGGTTATTTTTAGTACACGATCAGGTTGCATAATGCATCGCACAGCCACACAACACTCGGAAGTAGTGCTGTGAGTCGAGACGTCGACCAAACCATCAAGTCTGATTTGTGTATTATCTTCTTCTGACAGCGTTTGATCTCAACTCCAGCATGGCAGAAGACCAAGACAAACGCAAAACTATCAGTGCGTTGAAGGCCACTCCCGATGCACTTCAAGTTGTCCTCAGATCTCTATCACAGACAGACTGCTCCTCGTCAATGCTTTAACAGAGGGCGCTTTGGAAGAGATGATGGAAGATCCTGAATATTTTGATGAGGACACTGATGAATTCCTAGGAGACCTTAACTGCACAGACGCGTAAGCCGCTCGCATACAGAGTGATGCTTTGCTAATGCACTCGGCATGTTAGATTGGGAAATACTGGTAAGTTGTATTCAAAGGCTACTTCACTACTACTCACATTCGTGACGCATCTGGAAGCCCTTCACCTTGCGTTCGTATCGCAAGCTCTAATGTTGTTGATGTGATTCCTCATATCCATCTCGTGATCCTTCAGTGCACGTCAAGGGCATCCGGCTGATGTAGCAGCTCTCTGTGGTGGGGCTGTCGACCTTGACCTCCATAACAAGAAAGGCGATACACCACTTTATATCGCTTTGAAGGAGGTTGACGATGCTGAGGCACGTTTTGATATTGTCACAGAACTACTAAGTTGTGGCGCAGAGAGCAAACAGTGCGTTCCTCGCGTCTTAGTCAAACGAAGTGCTGAGCGCCCTTCCTAGGACAATGCCAGGCGGACTCACACCACTAGAGTACGCGAAAAGCCGATATCCTTCAGAAAAGAATTTACACGACATTATCGCAAATCCTCCACGCGATGATGATGAGGATGAATTACAGCCAGAACAAATGAGGAAGCAAATGTATGACAAGAGTGATTTTGCAGACTGTAAGATATTCGCCGATTCTCTCTTGATAACAACCTTCACGCTCTACTATCAGATGACGATGATGGATCGAGCCCGGAGACCGAATAGATGATATACTAAGATCATTCGCACTCCTTGAATATTATAGACCAACGGGGCTCTTCAGGATCCAAAGTTATTTATGTACTTTTCCTTCGATCTCGTTCCAATCTTGCTTTGGGACATGATGTTCACATCAACGACCAACTTAGACAACTCGACAGTTTACAATCATATCTGTACATCGTGCGCTGTGCACATTGAACAATATTCAGTCGTCTGCTCAGTGCTTGACCCTCTCGAGCAAGGACGTACAATTTGTATTTGTAACAAGAGCCGACGAACAAAAATGTTGAGGTAAGTCCTTCAGAGAGCATGAACTATCTGTATGAGCGCCTGTTCCGGATCAAGAGGCATCTTGTGGGGCTCATTGGAAAATTAGCAGCAACGAGGCTGCGGTGGAAGCATGGAAATTGAACGTGATCAGTAAGATTAACGGATGAAAATTTTCACTTCTCGATCGATCCAGAATCCAGACTCGGAGCATCGCCAACGACAAAACCGCCTTCGAAGTTAGGTCCCCAGGAGCAGTCCGATGTAGATCCGCGAGACTCATTAACCATGCTCGAGTAAATCTAGCTAAGAGAGATTCAGTGATATCGAATCTCGATAAACCTTGATCAATCGACAGCTCGACCATCTACAGCCTCATAGCAGAGAAAGATGACCGGATGCCAGTTATAAGCAGCCTGACCATCCCTCTCTGTTAAGTAGGAATACGATGAAACGCGGAACAAGTTGTACCATGGCCACTGGCCAGTCCCACGCAAACAAACGCTGGCAATAATACGATGGGTGATAATCCAGGCCCATCCGGCTTCTCAACTGGCATCACTCCCACGGTGGCGTGCCACCGCCACAAACTTGTCTAGAATCAATACTGTGCTGGTACTCCTACTTCGCGTCAGTGAATTCTCGACGGCGTCTCGACAGGTCTCGACATGGTGACCGATATATGTTGTCTCCGGCATGTATCTCCAGAAGTTGGGCGCTGCATTGCAATACTCCCAAATTTGCCCACGAGTGCATACAGCGTGAGTAATTCTTCAAGCACTCGAATATATGTAAAAGTTGAAACCTGATCTGTGCCACATCCCAGTAGGAGATATGTTGACAAGGATATGTTTTTGTAACCCTTTCGGCATTTTATCTCAAAGAGCAATTTTCTTCCCAGTTCGTACCCAAAGCTTACCATATCGCTACTCTCCAATTCCCTGGTGTGCCCGATTTATCTCCATTCTCCTGTCTGTGACCGAGATCCCGTAATCTGCAACAAAGTAGAACCTATCAATACGCCGGTTCCTGGGGTCACCACACGTTCCTGTGTTAAGCGCACCAGCTGCGGCCGACCCAGCCATCTTATTCAAATATTCTTCTTGTTAAATTTCCGTGCCCGACGGTCTCGTTCGATGCCAGCAAGCTTTGTAGATTGTGATTGTGCGTCCGGCATAGACCTTGATTCACCTCGCTGATCAATCGCTCAAATGTACTCGGATCGCTGGCTGTGTTTACTCACAAATCACGGTAGTGGCATTTTAATCCTACTTATAGCAGGTTGCGGCACCGAGCATGATACACCCACGGAATTTAATTAAGGATCAAGATGGCGGCTGCCGTCCAAAAAAATCATAGCTCCCTCTTCAAGGTCCGCTGCTTAAAAGATGGTGCACGAAATGGAAACATAAGCTAATCAGATCGACGGGATCTTTATACGCCTTCACCACCTGCGACATGAAGCTAATTGCTCATTCTAGAACTTTAAGCCTGGGCAATATGACGCTGTGGTTGGTTGAAGGCTATGATGGAAATGGTGACGTCGGTAGTAACTACCCGAAGGGCCCGCCGCCACTATCGCATCACAGGTCGGGGCTTTGTCGAACGTGCACCAGAGGGCAGTGAAGGCGGCGGCCCGTGAAGGCTTAGTGAAGACAGATTCGGACCTATTGTCCGATGGATTGTCTGAGAATTAGGACGGAACTGCCTTCTACAAATTCCCAGTGACAGGTCCGGGCTCCACGCTGACGACTTCGATTGCGAAAGCGATGTATACGAGTCAAGGAGAAGGAAGATCCGTAGAACAGTCGAATCGCCAAGAATCATGGCGGCCTAACTTGAAGTAGTGTTAACACGTTCGAGATGTGGGTGTCTTGCGCTTACCAGGCGGTTAAGCAACATTGTGGAGGGATATCAGCACCATGATCTACCTATCCTGGTTTTTATGAGGTTTTTAATACTATGATACCGGGATATGAGAACCTCAGAAGAGGTGGCGCGAGCGGCCGATCTGGGCCTCAGGAAGCATGAATGTCCGAGTCAATCTCTAGGATTTGGAAGTGCTCGATAACAACCTAGCGTTATCACTTACAACAGCCATTGTACAAAGATAATGATAGTGGGGCTATCACCATGGTATCTAAGCGCCCAAGCATAAAATTGAATAGGAAGACTCGATGAGGAAGGACAATGAAAAGGTGGCATTCGAGTGAGGAATGAGGTGATCATAAAAAGCACTGCGGTGTCAATTGCCAGATCTTCAGGTTTTGCTTCGAATGATGTATGAAAAGGAATCATCTAAAGAAAGACTTGTAGGGAGCGAGATTGCCAACGTGCACCAGCAGCTAGGAACGAGCGTGAGGAACGTGCCTACTGTGTCATACATAGGTGTCTAATGAAATCTCGTTGACAAATGTTGGAGCGATCCTGATCAGCAAGTAGAGCCGTGGCGGGGCGGCTTAGTAGCAAGCCTGATATAGAAAGTTGGTCCAGCAGGTAGTCAACCGACGACGGAAGAGTGGATAAGGCGGACTGTTTAATCGATTATGACTGATATCGTCTTCTCGCTAGGACAATCATAGTCGAAAGATAAGTACAAAGGCCAGTGTACGAGGGAGGTATGATCGGCTTTAAAAAGCGATAAAACTTGCGAGCGACACAAAGCCATTCCCACATTGATGTATACAAAGCCTCCGCATAGCGCGGCTCCTCGCAGCCCTGTGTTCCGTTGAGCTTATCGCCCATAATAGATAAGCTTCTTCAGAGAGATCTCTATGTTCCGGGGATGAAACGGGCATCGCAGCTGTGAGCAGAACACTTGATATGAAGGGTTATCATAGCGATAGCGCAGATGCGGGATTAGCCATCAAGCAAGGCTGAGTAATGCTTAGGAAGGAGAGTAAGCGAGTGGGTGCGAAACTTTACCTTCCTTGGCGATTGGCATCAGTGGGTGTACATAGGTGGAGACGGTTACGGGAGAAATCGGACAAAGAGGAAAAAGGATATGACAAGTCCGAGGATATGAATCTGTTTCGAACATCAGAAGGGGCTCGTTGAAGAACAAGTCAGAGATAAAATCTCGGGTGATGTAGGATTCTCATAATTAGTTCAAGCAACGATAAAGGAGTAGCACAGACATACGAGGATAGTGGAGAGTGGAGCCACTACTTGACTATGGCAGTTGGAGTCCGCCATCCTGTTGGGAAGCGGATAAAAGCGTAAGCAGGAAATACGATTGAGTCAAGAAAGTGAACCAAAATGACGTTATGGGAATTAAAATGATGCTTGCAGACCGACTATGGATATTTGAAGAACAATAAACTGAGTCAGACGCGCTGTGGCTCAGATCTGAGTTACCTATGTTCAGACGCGATCGGAACATGAGACTGTCAAGCAAAAACTCGTTACAGCACACTGGTAAGTAACGAGTATCAACTCGAGACCGGTAGGCCTATCAGATGACCTTCAGTGAGACAGGCATCGGAACATATTCACCAGGATGGCGTGTCCGTGGGATATTTATCGGTAGTTGTTACAGGGCAGCGCAAGAACATTACTTGCACAAGTGCAGTACTGGTTGACGGGATACGATCAAATTATTGCGCAATTTATGCGTAGTGTAGATGGAGTGATGATAATGGAGGGCTAGAGCGGAATCTAGAGTATAATGCTGGCTTGATAAAGGACTAGGCGCCGCGAGATAAGGAACGCGCGAGATCTCGATCCTGTGGAGTATATTACCATTTTGAGATGCCGAATCTCGATCAAATCTAGGGTTTGACTGTACTCCAAGGTCGTGAAAATAAACAGTTTCTCTGGTTTCAACTGGTTTCATTCGTGCACCCATCTCCTTCTACCTCCCTTCAAGGGTTCCTACATTCCGAGTCAACATTACGCTCTAGGAGAGGGTATTTAACAACCGTTCATCATTTTTCTATATCACTGACGTCACTTTAGATGAGTTTTGTAGCATCTGATGTCTACCGTGCCCGCTCAACAACACCAACATTCTCAAACGAACGCGGTCCAGGAGCTTTTGTATCATTAGGCTCCCTTCCAAGACGAAAGTCTCAATCTCCCACTTATCACCAAGGCCGCAAGTTGGCCGCATTCCATATTCATGGTGCTGACGACCCCGATGACCGCTCGTCTGATTCCCTCGACGAGCAGGCCACTATTCCTACCAAACCCCCAGTGAAAATTTCACAGGGCGTTTTGCAATTGCCTCCGGCTGTTCCCTTTCCCCTTTGTTCCCCCTCTCCCCCACCTTCACCCCCCATTACATCTCCTCGACCACAACCGTCTCGTACATCATCAATAATTCTTCCCAATGGAAAACTACTCAAGTCATCACTTAAATCGTCAACCTCCACCCTCTCCATCTCCACTCCTCCACTTGAACCCCAGCACACTAGTAATCATCTCCACTTGCGTTCCCGATCCGAACCATCAACCCCTACTGCGCATGCTCCAAAAAATGTGCACTTCCCCGACACTGATATTGGCCTGGCCTCTGTTCGCGTTTTCAGCCGCTCGGCCCGTCCAGCGGCAGTCAGCACCCCCGACGATGAGACAGAGACGGAAGGCGAGGATCATCCCTCAACCGGGTTCCCCTTCCCAAAACTCCCCTCTGCGATACCGAATTTTGAGATGGACACCGCTATCTCATCAGTGGTGCCCGTCACTAATCACCCGCATCATGCGAATATCATAATCGAGTCTCTCACTTTTTCGCAAGCTTCGTCAAAAGGTGCCAACCCTCATTTAAGCGGTACCCTTCTAGTGCGCAATCTGGCATACGAGAAGCACGTCGCTGTGAGGTTTACCCTTGACGAATGGCAAACTGTCAGTGAAGTGAGAGCGCAATATGTTGTTTCCGTTCCATCACTTCCGCCCGTATTTTCACTGTCTTCCTCGTCGAAAACAACAACTGTTGGCGACCTCATTGCTCTAGGGGCAGACAAGCGCGGGTGGGATCGTTTTTCTTTCCTTATTCGCTTGGAAGACTATGCACACAGCTTGGGGTCGCGAGTGTTGTGGCTTGCCGCACGTTATAGGGTGCATTCGACATATCTTTTGTCAACGGAAGCTTCAGGTCCTGGTGGTGAATGGTGGGATAACAACAATGGCGGAAACTACCGTGTTGCTTTCCGCGCGGCGCGACCGACATCTAGCAGGCCTCGGAGAGAGACAACACCTGGTGAGCATTTCTATTTTTCATATTTTTTAGAACGGTCTGTTAATAGCTAAATCTCGTAGAAGCTATCATACCTTCGAGGGTGACACTACCTGCGCCCCGCGAACATGCTCACGGCCCATTTACTTCGCCGTTGAGTTCAAATTCGCCCCCGACATTCGGACACAATATGACATTCTTGTCTTCCTCGCCAACGAAAGACGGGAAGGAGGGAGTTTCATCACTGCCGAGGTCAGGGAAGCTCCGTCTTACTAACTATGCTGCACCTCCCGTGGTCTCTGCAGTTTCTCCCACTTTCTCTGCGTCTTCATTGCCTACGCAGCACTCTAATTCTCCACCCTCATCTCCCTCGCTAGTTCAACGCCCAACGCTCCAGGTCCCTGTCACGCAATCGCGTGACTGCGACTCCCCTTCACCTGCTTCTTCGACGCTCTCAACGCCGTCCGCTTCACCCAACATAGCCCCGCGGGTGATGATTGGTGGGCATCCAGCGAACTACGCATGCCCTGAGCCGACGCACATTGATGACTGGGAGTGGATGGCGCCGCCGACACAGGCTGTGATGTCGAAGCGGCCAACTGCGCAGAGGAGTGTCACAGATGGGCCAGCTGATCTTGCTGGATCTGGTGTGCCTGGATTGCCTCCTCGAGCGCATTCGTCTGCAGTACTTGGATCGCCTAGTAGCGATGGCCTGTCTGGCGATTCGCTGTATAATGCGTTTGTGACGCGGTGGTGCTTTGCCCAAGGGTCACCCACTGCGAGTCCATATCACGGACCACTCACAAGCAGCGACGGGGGTATTTTGGCGTGAGGCTTTTTAACCATTTTTGGAGAAAAGACTTGTACGATCCTGACGACCTCGACCTTATGATAACCGTCACCCACCTTTGACAGTAACACTCATGCATTCAGGCTATGCAAGCACAAACACGCTTACGCTGCTGTAGCCGTTTGTGCACCACATCTCCTGCTTCGATTCGAAACGTTTCTGTTTCTTTTTATTTATTTCGGATGTCTTCATGATCGTACTCAGCTGTACCAACACCCCATCATCTCATTTCATGCTACTGACATTATCTCGTCCCTATAGTTTGCACACCTATGGACAATATTTCTCCTTGCTTAGTACTGCATTCTGCTTCCTTTTCATATACCTACTCACTATCAAAAGTGCTTAGCGCACCGCATTGACATATCACATTCTGACGTTCGTGTACTCGTGTATCTGTTGTATAATACGTATGCTTACTTATCATAGGGATTTTGGAGCTCTGGAATAGTACTTACATGGTGTTTCTCTGCACTTGTTCTTTAAAACACTGTTTGATGAGTCTTCAAATTTGGACTTGTCTTTGCAAATGGATGTTCTCAGAGGATTTTCCAAAATAATAGGATCGTCATTTGTGTGGTCACTACACCGACCCCCTCGTGTTCAGGACACGCACGATGTCGTAATATTCTCATCACATGCCAGCGGAATTCTGATTCAGAGCCAGCTATAGCGCCACCAGTAGACTGACGTCAGGCGCCTAGACATCTCTGCCTCCCTGACCAGGTCCACGCAATGACGCCATCGCCCAGGCTCACTCAAGACTTTCTTGGTCAGTAGTAGCCATCTTTCATTTTCGAAGACTCGAGCTCATTAATACCTTTGTCCGAGAAGCAGGAACAATAATCGATCAGTAATATATGTTTCTTCGCGGAAGAGACATGTCATGAGACGCGCCAAGATGATCGATGATCCCGAGGCCAGCTAGACCCATAGACAAAGGACGTTCCTTCTGATACAGACGGGCGGGCCAACCCGCAATTCTAATTAATCAGTCTCCGCATACACCGTGATCGTTTGCAAAGCACGCACCGTCTGCTTGCGCTGAGCGCTTTTGTGACTTTCTCTCCTTCAGAACGGTTGTTCTGTGGGTCGATGTCTTGATATCCATCGCACTGAGATGAATGTATGATCTAGCTATGGACGAGCCACCATCAGCCTGATCAATCTACGCTCTATGACGCCATGGCACTAGTCGTGGCCATCGCCCTGGCTCACTCCTTGGCTTCTCAGCAGCGCCTTTCATTTCCGAGTCTTTGGACCATCAATGCTGTTGTTGTTCAGACTCGCACGAAGGAACTTTTCTTGAAACACCTTATGGCTTTTTAATGATTGCGCTAGTCATTGTGAGCCATCCGTAACTTCGTCTTAGAACCTCGTTCACATCCTGCACAACAGAGACCATGACTATATGCCAGCACGCAGTGAATCGATTATTTGATCCCTTCTCCCGGGAGCTTATAATAATAGGCATGGTGATAAATAATGTATATGCTGCTGTGATACATGACATATCAATAATCGATGTCCTTCGATGTCACGCGAAGGCTCGGATATGATGACTGGCAATGCCCCAGTGACTTCGTTTACGACGCGATTTTGCAAATAATTGTTTGCTTTGGGGCTAGGTCAACGCCGTGCATCCGCATACATCGGAAGATGTCTAACAATGTATTCGTCCTCAAGTGCGTTCTAACTCACATTCTGATTATAATTCATCTTGCTGGCATCGTTCTCAATCATGTCCCTCGACTCTTCGCTTGTTTTGTCCGCTTCCCAACTTCTGGCATTTGTTTAATCTTAATCGAATAGCTCCCAGCTACTTGTGACGGCTGACATTGATGAGAAGTAAAATGGGGTTCATGTTTCCTGCTGTGATTATGGGGTATCCCTGCCCAATCCCAGCCCGCGCCGTTGGCGATTACCCATAAGGTGTGTATCAGGATCTGGAATACGATAATGGAACCATCATTTGAATTCACGTCCACGGCGCAGGTCTGGGGTTGACTCTGTCCAACTTCGCCCTGCTGACCAGCGAACAAAGCCTTAATGGGCGACTCGAATGCCACATACGACATCTAAATATATACTTCCTCTAATAACACCTGATCGACACCATGGTATTTGGATCGACAGGGCATCACGATGTATCATGTCAGTAAACTTAAAGGAACTGATAGGCTTTGGTCGCTCTCAGATAGTCATGAAGAACTATTTTTGAGCCTGGCGCCAGCTCAGGGGGCCACGATGATCATATATCGAAAGCGAGAAGTGTCCGGACAGTTGCGCGCAAGACGGCAGGGGTATATTAGAAGTAGGTCCGAGCATTTTGGGAATTCAATTTGCATTCGGTTCCTTGAGGACAATTATAGCAGGTAGTATCCTTCCACAGTGCGTTTGTCGTGTCATTGTGGAGTGATGATTACAATAACGAATAACGGCGGTCTAGTTTTTGAAAGGCACAGCATTGCAAGTGCTTCGTGCAATTACCGGTAGAATGGTTTTTGTCCAAGGGTGAGTCAAGTTTCATCAGTCAAATATTTCATCCCTTCATCAATCTCCGCCAGCTTTCGATATCCAACTGATAAGCGCGACTAACATGTAGTTTTGTTGACGGAGATTCCGTACTGGTGTCAGAACGGTTCGCAACTAGCTCGTTTTTCAATGGCCACCTTGAAGAATGTGAGGATAAACTTCAACTGGAAAGACATACAGTACAGAACGCACTGATATTAAAATAACTCGACGCGCTGCGGACGGAGTACCTCGACGATAGAGCGCTTATACATACACGATAGATACCGAGGTCAGGTCCCAGCATCATACACAGGGGTATACGATAACAGAGGACAATGAATTATTTCAGAAAAAAATCGCGATTCTGCGGAGAGGTAACTGTCTCAACCGAAGTAGCGCAATCAAGGGAAAGTGGAACTTATACTGCGAGGGCTGCCAGAGTGTTCACTGAAGCCCAGAACGTTGAATTCGCGTCTAGCAGGCCTTGTAATGGCGACCTTCGAGAATGTGCGAGGGTAAGCTTCGACCACAGCATTTGTGTGAAGATGAGCCGAAGAGAAATCGGTAATCATACACAGTGCATGGTGACATTGATTGGTCCAAGTACTCCGGGTTTTGAAACCTTGGCACGAGCAGTAACAATTCACTGAAGTAGCTGTAATGGCGACCATCGAGAATGTGTGAGGGTAAGCTTCGACGACAGTACTTGTATCAAAATAAGTCGAAGAGAAGTCAGTGTTTCTTTTCCGAAAAAGGAATCGACCACAAATTGTACAGTGTACAGCGACGTTGATTGGTCCAAATTTTGGTACGGGCAGTAACATTTTGTTGACCGTCTCACTGATGTAGGCGCCATGAATCCAATCCTTCTGAGATAGCTGGGGAGTGGAAGAGTATGTTGCAAGGGCCACCGGAATGTTGCAAAGGCTAGGCGACCGCCCCCAGCAGGCATTGTAATGGTGACCTTCGAGAATGTGCAAGGATAAGCTTCGACGACAGCACTCGTATCAAAATAAGTCGAAGAGAAGTCGGTGCTTTTTTTTGAAAAAGGAATCAACCGCAAACTGTACACTGCATAGCGACGTTGATTGGTCCAAATTTTGGCACGGACAGTAACATTTGTTGACAGTCTCATTGATGTAGTGCAATGAATTCAATCCTTCTGAGACAACTGGGGAGTGGAAGAGTATTTTGCAAGGGCCACCGGGATGTTGCATAAGCTAGGCGACAGATCGATCGATCGGCCTTGACTATGCCACTCGGATTGTCCGTGGAAGTGTATACCAGGCTGGTCACGAGCCTAGATCGGCCACCCTCAGACACATGCAGTACACTGAAATAGCATACATCATGCACTATTGGCATGCAAACGCTGCATGGTGGTTTGCCGCATATGAATTGTTCTTCTGAATGGAGCTACGCTTCAGTATGAGACGGCCATCAGTTAATGCAGCTTGAAAGGCTTTGGTAATGCAGAGTAGTGCTCGCCGGGCGGCACGAGGGTCAGTCACCTGGAGGAGACGAGTGGTAATCAATATGATGCATCATGGTGGCGGCTTTTACTCACTAGTACTCATGTTTCGCCTCTGACATCAAAAAGTTCCAGTGATCATACACAATACAATTTGCAGGTAGGGATTCAGGGAACAATCCACTTATTAAATTACAAGCATACCCAACCCAGCAGCTGGTTCAGCTTAAGGGTCCAAAGGGAAGTTAATATGCTTATACCTATACCCGCTAACAGCAACACGTCCGCGGGATCCTAAGAACTGAATCCCCGGATTCAGCAGCTCCAGCGATTATATGCCTGCATGCTTTTGCGCGTGAATTGGCCCCCCCAGTTCACCTGTAATAAACCCTCACGTGCAAAGTGATGAAAACTGAGTGCACAATACGTTCTTTCAGACGAGAAGATCTTGCTCAAAAGAAAGTTTATTGATCCCGGAAGGTCAATACCGCAGTGAGTAGAACAGTGCTCAATATAGGCCACAACAGGGTGTAAATCCGCGCGCTGTGGATTAAGGAAAACAATAAGTGACGATAATGTGCATGACACTGCATCTACTATGTACGCATGGCTTGTTAGCTTCAGTAGAGACACACGAATAAAGCTGGCTCACATGGAATCCGCTGCTCAGGCAGAACTCATGAGAAGTAAAGGTCTTCTTTTGTGTTTATTCCTACAAGCCGATAGAAAAGCAATGGTCAGCAGACAAGCTACATGTATCCGAATAACACGAGCGCTCACCAAGTTCCTCTCTAACCGGCTTCAGCTCGTCCAAGTAAGCCTGGTACTGCTGTTTGTTCTCAACCTTTTCCCTAATGCCCTCGAAGACACGGACAGCGGTTGCATAGTCATTTACGCGGCGTGCTGCACGGAGGGCAGCCTCAACAACACCAGGTGAAGGAACGAGGTCGTGTGCAAAGCAGTTATTGAGGCCACGTTGTACCTCGAAGAGGTCCTGAGCGCCTTGGAAGAAAGCGACGTAGCGCTCAGAGAACTGCTCAAACGTTTCTTGACTGTGCGAATCTGATGATGAAAAGCGGTGTGGTATTATGAGGGCAGGGGTCGCAGCGCGGCGAAGGACGACATTAGGCCGTGCGCGAAGGATGGAGGAAAGCATACGCTGGCTCATGATGACGGTGAAGAAGGAACACGACAAACGAGCGACAACAGCAGTAGAGAAAAGTCTTGGGCGCGGAGATAAACGTAAATCGGTTTCAACGCCGTTAGCAAGGATCCGGAAAGCTCCGAAGCGAAATGTAAGTCCACAAAGTCAAAAGCAATTATAAGCTTGGAGTGTTTACGACTATAGTTACTTCTAGCTATGTGGTCCAGAGGCTGGACGGAATCGCAGTAATGCAGATAATCCAACCCTTTCTATAGTCACTTGCCTACACTTGTCAATCTACGCAGATCGTCAACCGGTCCTGAGCGACTTGTAGCTTATTCGGACCGTTGTCAGTTAAACATTGAACTCGAAGATGACCGAGTGTATCGGCTATCCCCGGCATAATATTTGCCTTTGTTTGGTTTAACTGTACAGTTACCTCAGCCACACTTGGTCGCTGTTCAGAACAACCTGTAAGGCTAAGCAGCATCCTCAAAATGTCGACCGATCTCCAGTGGCTCCTTATCCGCGTCAGTTGCGCCGTCCTAGTGCTCCATAGTGCAAATGCTGAAGAAAAATTGTGTCATATCTACAGAAATACAACTCCTTCCTTGTGAAGAAGGTCCCTGAAGGTCCCATATTCTCCAAGGAGCCCGTATGTCGTGTGTTTGAACTTGCACACGAGTGCTAAGCTTACCTTGTATTAGGGTAACCTCCTGAACCTGCACTCGCACAAATACTCCGGTCTCGCTAACTCCAAGGTGTGTAGTCCTACTGTGATCAAACGAACTCCATTAAACGTTGTATCAATAGACTATCGATATTCAGAGCTCTGAGTCTGGACTACAGATCACCACCCGGAAATCGAAGGCATCACCACACGCTGTTCGTCCCGCACGGACAACCGCAAGCGTTCGCAACCGCTCAGGAGGCCGTCGTTCGTTGGGAGTCGTTGCTTCCGTCGCGAAGAGGGGGTACCGTCCCGACCTGAGAGCCGTGAGTGTTGATGGTCTATTTTGGAACAGGATTCCTCTCGACAACACAAAAGCACTCTCGTTAGAACCCGCTGGAAACCACCGTAAGGTGTATGAAAGTTGGGCGTGGACATGTTTGCAATATCAATCCTGCCCTGCTTGGGCTATTCGTCATAATTCATATTTACCACTGCGAATTTTTTGTTGCAGTGGGCCGATACTGACGAGTACAGTCGTCGCAACATTTCTGTAGTACGATCTGTCGAAGAACTCATGCTGACACCTGTTTCTTCGCTTTTTAGGCTGCTCTTGGCCGTTCCTCTGCACTGCTCGCTGCACAAAAAGAGAAGAAAGCTTCGCCACCGAAGAAAGTCCGGGGGAAGAAGGCAGCAGCATTCCTTGGATGATTGATTTATTTGTATCTCTAGTGCCTCCATTGCTATGTTCGTCCATGCCGAAATAAGCACTCCATGCTGCACATTCCTAGTTGGCTGCAAAAATAATGGTACATTTCAACGAGAATGACACCTATATAAATACACTGGTGGTACAGCAACGCATTATGGTGGTACACGATGTGATCGTTATCTCTCCGATGAATCCAGCATTCTCAAACGAAACATGTCCTTTTCCTAGACTCCGAAGCTCTTTCCCGCAGGTTGAGCGATCCTGCCCCCACCACCATAACCGTTCTTACCACCGACATGATCTTTGGTGGGCCTGCTAGCTTCTGCCTTGCGATAAGCGCTCTCTTGAAGCCTGTTGTCGTCGTGGCTGCCTTGTCCATGATGTTTCCTCTTCTTTGGAATCTCTTCTTCATTGTGCGGAGGGGGATGTGCTTCCTCCTCGTTGTGGCCTGCCGGCCGCGGATAATCAGTGTCTTCGGTTTGATTTGCGCCAACGTTTGCAACAGCTTCCCTACATGTTGGATCGGTTTCAAGGGTCGATCATTAATCGTTTGACGTCGACTGGCACTTACGAGTTGGCACGAGGCCTCGGGCGCGAGGTAACTGAAAGACGACGGCCGCCCACTCTTACTGTAAGGAACCTGTCAGCAAGAACTGAGCTGCATGATTGTTGTCACTCTTGAACGTACCTGCAGGGGCATGCTGAGTGACTGGGGCGTCGGACATGATGAGATATCTCTTGAGGGATGGTGATGGTCAATGTGTGGAGCTTGCAGTTCACCGTGGTGTAATTGGTCGGCTGACCTAACTAAGACCCGGTGACCTCAAACACTAGACCCCTTGCGGACACTGCGCAATCTAACTCGATCACTGAATATATAGGGCAAAACTGGAGCTTTTGGCCGACGATAAGTTATTCAGTCAAGATACTCGTACAACTCGAGTCCGTAAGCTATGAGCCACCACGCCAACTTCAGTTCTGTGGCAGTAAGCTGCAATTGCACGATGTCACATCGAGCGCGTCAAAATGTTGTTTTTGCATGTGTCCATAGCATGGGGACGACATATATGTGAAAATGACATAGAAACCGAGATAAACGTGCAGAACATTTACTCTTCCTCCTCCTCCTCGCCACCCTCTTCCCGCTTGGCGGCAGCGGCAGCGCGCTTGCGCTTAACACGGCCGGCGCGTCCGCCTCCGTATGGCGATGTGAGAGCGAAGTCGATGTGCTTCTGAGAGTCAAGACGGACGACGAACGATGGGATGTTGACAATTTGCTTGCCGACGCTGCGAAATGTTCAGAATCTTAGCGACTGAAAATAGGACGCACATACCGAATGTGACGTTGTCTGATCAAAACACGGGCATGGTGAATGCTCTTTGCAAGGTTGGTCTTGAAGACCTGAGTTTGGAGACGACGTTCCAAGAAGTCTTCTACTTTCAATGCTAACACGTAATCCAGTCGCATGCGGGTCTCGTCCAACACACCAATCCGAACGAGCCGACGAATGAGGGCATTACCCTCGAATAGACGCTTGGGATCCTTGTCATCAAGTTTGAGCAGTTCACGGGCTGCACGACGGATTTTGGAAAGGATGAGACCGATACGCCAGATCTCACGCTTGTTTCGTAGACCGTACTCGCCGGCAAGCTGTAGGATGCAAAACATGAGATGTTGCATTTAGGATTCCGGGTTAATTATACCTTCAACTCAGCATCGAGACGAGCTGAACCGAATGGGCGACGAGGGACTTTGTATCTGTAGGATTAATGCGATTCGAACAAGGCCATAAATCAGCAAGCTGAAAGCCTTCCACTCAAGTGGATCTTGAAGAATGAGACGCTCACGTCTTGCTGTGATTCCGCGGGGCCCTAAAAATCTGCTCAACAGTCTATTCATAACGTCCAACGACATTCATACCTGGGCATTTTTCTTGAGGGATGGCCTTGACGGTGTACACCAAATGTTGGTGGCCTAATTAGGATGTAAGCTTCGCCTGTGTCACAGCTGTAAAGTACCAAGCAAGCCACCCGGAGATTTCCGGTGAAACAAGCTTCCACATACTCAATATCGACACCGCCGCCGACGACATTGTACGTCTACCAAATCTCATCCTAGCCCGCTGCTGACGTTCTACTCAAGCCCTCAAGATGCCTCACTCATTCGGTTACCGCGCGCGCACGCGCGACATGTTCAAGCGGGGCTTCAAGGGTCGGTCATTTAATCAAGTCCATGAAAGACTCGACGACTGACATTGCGTGCAGAACATGGCCCCGTCAAAATGTCTACGTACCTCATTAACTACCGCATTGGTGACATTGTTGATATCAAGGCCAACGCCGCCCAACAAAAGGGTATGCCTCACAAATACTACCACGGGTGCGCTACTTCAGAGTCACATATATCCTTGATCATTTAAACAACCTCCAGACGGACTGGCATTGTCTACAACGTCACCCCCCATGCTGTCGGCGTCATTGTCTACAAGGTTGTAGGCAACCGCTATATCGAGAAACGGGTGAACCTCCGTGTCGAACACGTGAGGCACTCAAAATGTCGGCAGGAGTTTTTGGACAGGGTGAAGCGCAACCATGATGCACATGCCGCTGCAAAAGAGAAGGGCGGTAAGTGATCGTGATTTCTCGGTATCCGATGCATCTTATAACCCGCTGTTCAGAGCGTGTATCGCTGAAGCGTGTCCATGTTCTCCCTCGTGAGGCACGCACCGTCTCGATCGCCCAAAACACGCCGCAAACGATGACGCCCGTTCCTTACGAGACCACCATCTAATTGGAGTTGTGTTCGTGTTACTATGAGATTTCCACTATGCATCGTATACTACTGTCATGCTCCCATGCAATCATGACTTGAACACATCATTACGCACGAATCTTTCCAGATCGTCCGTCTAACAATCGAGCGAATGCTGCGCCACATCATCCTGGTTGCTTTTTCGTCGTTCAATTTACGTGGTTGAGTTGCTAGTCAAAATGAGCACAGTACGCGTAGGTCAACACGGTCAACAAATCCAGTTCATTTACCAGGAATTATTTTGAAACAAAGGCCTAAGTATGTGTAAATAACCAATGAAGACCATAGATACTTATAGGGAATATCCATCCATGAACATAGTTCTACGCATCATGCTAGCTGGCGGTTTTGGTATGTATGGGTCAGTGCCGTTTCTCAATGCCCTCGACTGGATCGAGGCACAGGTGGTGGGCCAAGGATGAGTGAAGACATGTGTTGGTCCGCGGCTGACATGCCACTATGCTCAAGATACGAACCGCCATCAGATGAGCCGTCCCACATCGGTGTCTTCCATATCTGTACTGTACCGTCATGACTGCCTGTTGCTAACATGAAGGAATCGTCGGTGGAACGATTCCATGTGACGCATGTCAAATCCCCGTCGAACACCTGGGGCCTAATATAGTGGAGCAAAATTGCAGTATCGCGTTCCCAGATATGGATATCGCCCGCTGAAACGGAGGATTAAGAATCTAGGTGTTTGAATAAGATCTCGGTTGAAACATACCTTTGCCTGCACATAACACTAGCTGATCATCCATACCGCCGAAGTAACTCGGGCCCACGAAATCCACATGAGCTGTAGGCTCATACGTGTGACGGAGAATAAGCCTAGCGGTCTGGGCATGGGGATTTTCACGGTCTTTATTATCCCGAACTAGCTCCATCTTCCATAACTGCGGAGGTGTCTGCAAATATGAAACGGCATGGATAGTGAATCTGACGCATATGGCTGTCAATATACCTTGTACTCGAATGAAACCAGCACATTTCCACCCCTTTTAGACACCTTGATGTCACGCACGTCGTCGAAGACGGGTATTCGACTTTTGAACTCTATCAGTGAAAATGTTCGAAGAAGTTGAAGACAACCGACTTTTCAAATGTTCTGGTCTCTATATTGAAAACTGCGGTAGTTGGTGTCAAAAGGACCACCCGCAGATACGCATATCACTTACCTACTATACACTTCTCAACCCTAGTAGTGCGACTTGGATGCATCCCGTTGGGTGCCGCGAGCAGTGGACCTACACCTAGCAACCGCTGACCATCTGGGGTCACCGCCACGCTGTGCAACTGGATGCCACCGAAGTGATAAGAATCAAGAACCTCGAAAGAAATTCAGTCGAAATTCCCTTGGCGCAGAATGATCTAATCACCCTTCCTTTAATGTCCTGGTGATGGATCTATGAGTTTCCAGGAGGCACAAATGATAATACTCGCACTGACCAGTTTGAGAACTCTACTACCTTCGACGGAAAAGAATTGTGCTATTGTAGGAAAGCATCAGCAACATGCAATCAGACAGAAAGGATGGAATCAATCACTCTCGTTCGCAGGCAGCCATACAACGGATGACACAGAGTGCGGGCGTTCAATCGTTTTCTTACAGAGTCCATCCTCTGTCCAAACCTTGATTTCGCGGGGTAATCTCGTCAAGAGAAGGGTACTAGAATCGGACCTGTCCGTTCACGGTTGATGTTTAGAAACAGAGGAACATTTACTGTGCTACATACCATGCAACCTGACCAATGAAGCCTCGCACGTGTACCAAAATAGCATGAATTGAAAAAGCATCCTAGGTAGGATCAGTGTAAACAACGAGTATGAAAACGCGGCACTTCATATGCTTACCTCAACGCGAAAGATGACGGAAGATCGATCCCAACTTAATGCTTCACCTCAGCACGAGAAGCCCCGATGAACTTGTCACAACGCACCTTGACGTAGCTAAATACTTGCCACTCGGGGAAAATTGTAAATGCCGGACAAGGGCGGTGTGTACGGAGAGGTCCTGCACAGGTTCTAGGGTTTTAAGTTTCGGGATCAAAGCGGCTCGCGGTCCTCGAATGGCATCCAAATCCACGGATGAGGGCCGGGTGGGAGACATCCCCATGGCAGAGTTCCAATCGAAGGATGGGATCCGTTGCGGCATCAAGGGTCGCCCCGCTTGCTGCTGTTGCATTACGATAACAGAACGCACAGCTCCTTTGAAGCGCTGACGAGCGATGGCTGAGTGAGACGACTTGCTATCCTCACTCGCAAGCCCTTTTATTGAAGTGGGGTGATCAGTAAAAGCCGAGCATGCAGATGTAGAGATATCACGGTGGTGAGAAAGATCATCCATCGGCGGGCCCTCCTGTATGGTGGGAAGTGTATGGTCCCTACGTCCAATCCGGGTGATCATGTCGGGGAACTTGAAAGACACCCGTTTTAACAGGCCGCTGATGGTGAAGATGCACCAGTGAATGATATTCCGCATTGCCACGACTAGACAAAGGCCCAGCATGCGATGGGTTGCTTCGTTGATTACATCATCCAGCCAGACCTGGCCATGGTAGTGAACAAATACCCAACGCTCTGCGACGAACCAAGCCGAGACAACAGCCAGGCCGAAGGAGGTGACTGCCTGTGATTCGGGTAAGAATGCATTTCAAAAGCGACTGGAACTATACATAGACTTGCCGTGAAAACAGTGGTGATCGTAGACGTGACGAATCCCTGGGTGTAGATATTATGTCTTGGAAATCCTTTCCGCAGCAGAATAAGACCCATACCTGTTCTGTAGCATATGTGAACAGCATCAAGCCCACGGAAAAGCATGCCACAGACATCACGAGGAACACTAAAGGCGAACGTTTGATCCATATCAACACCCACCAAGGTACCCTGTGGCCTGGAGAGCGACTGAGGACTGTCATTTGACAGAACACAAGCGGCACACGGAGTAAAATAAACTTACTACATCGCTTGCTTCCAGGTGAGACCAAGGAGACTGTTCACAGCGGCTGCTATACTGAAAACCAATGAAGAGAACCAGAGCGCATTGACACAAGTCGCCAGCACGCCGTCTGTTAACCGGTATGAGAACTGTAAGGTCGTTGCCGTCACGACCGAAAAAAATGTCGCTACTGTCGATAAGTTTAACAAGTTTGATGCTGCATGATGCTGGGCGAATCGAATGGTCGGGACACCTGGAAGAGAAAGTAAATATGAATTTAGTAAAGAGAGACTGGTTGCAGACCGATTTCAATAAACATGGACAAATTGACTGTGATGTTGTCAATGTGCTCCCCAATCTCCGATGTCAAATCATGGATATAACGCTGCACTGCTGGATACCGAAATTGACCTGAAACTAGTCTGCACGATTCTCGAGTAGGTCGGCCGGAGGCACACTACCTTTGTACTCCGGAAGACACGAAGCCCAATACTAGACAACACAGTAAACAAAGAGATCGACTGTATGTTCAGCTAGAAAAATACCTTCAGATCACATTCGAAAGCAAGCATTGACGTATTGACTGCCTCGTCTGTAAACTCCGGGAACTCGTTCAGGCAGTTCAGAAACGTTACGACGTCTTCTGCGAAACCAGAAAATTGCTCGGGAAAACTTTCAGGATCGGGGTGGGCCTTGGACAAAGGTTGAATATCTGTGCGCCGTTGCTCTGTCCACTCATGGACAATCGGCACTTCTCGAGGTTGACGCGAAATCTTCCGAGGAAACAAAGTAGCTGCATTCTCGCGGAACAGAACTAGCAATTTCGCAAGGCGCTCTCGTAGTCGAAAACCAGAGGATAAGATTCCAACGGAACTGCCAAGCTGGCGAGCAGCATTGGCGAAGTTGCGCAGCTACATAGAAAATAAGTGTCAAAGTATAAACTGTACCTGATCATATTCCCACCTCTTTGTCAAGATTTTCTATTCGCCTGTCAAGATTGTTTAGTGTATAAAGACGAAAATACAAAAGCATTCTCACCTCTCAAATTTGTTGAATGATTCCGATCCAGCGATTTGCATTTTCTCATCTACTGTCGCTGAACGGACATATAAAGCCAAGATTATGTGCTGCACTTGCCAACACTCACGATCGTAATCCTCAAAGGCGGGAGGAAGGTTGACATCTAAAAGTGTACCATTAGCAGCGTGTGATGGCCAGCGGAGGTGACTAACCGTTGTCTGGAGAAGACTCGTTACTAAGTTCGCTCAGGACATTCAAGAGGCTGATGATGGTCTGATTCCGTCTCGAATCTCTATACGCTTCACCTCGAGGGTAGGAATTGGGTACACCCGAAATACTTGAGGCTGTGTCACGAAAAGAACGAGCTGCATGAGCTACACCAATGCGTTGAATCCGAGTTAGAATGATCATGATCTATTTCCTTGGAAAACATACCACGTAACATAGTGAGCCGGCACTATGAGTTCGTTGCGTTCCTGGGATACAAAGGTAGAAGGATAGAAGAATCTAGTCCTGACACCAGGGAGGAAGAAGCGGGTGAAATAAGGTCCTTTAAATACACTCCGCACGGCAGAGCAGCCTTACAGACAAAAATTGCTCGTAAAAGTTGTAATGAAATTATTCATTCACTCAACCTATCTCCGGACTGAGGAATGGTTCAAGAGGGTGTAAACTGACGGCATGTTATCGCTAGAGAACTCAGCGATTGGAAGCGTGATGGCCTTGCGGATTGGGCAGTGAAAAACCCTGACGTCAACGTGGGCTGATTTGTGCAACTAGAGAGTCATCAATGCTGATACGGAGTAAATCGATGGATGCACAGTGAAAAACGTAAATATGGGCCGGGAGGGAAGCTGGCAAGGCCACTTATGGGCAAGTTTCAAGGGCAAGTGATGTGCACACTACACAACTACTGATGGCGATCAAAGGTGTGGAGGCAACGTTTTCAGGAGTGAAGTAAATTAGGTGAATGAGTGCCAAAACTGCCCTAGTGAAAAGACGCTTAGGCATCACGATGGACGCAGAGCGGTAAAGCATTGTCAGTATTACGTAGGTGGCTGCAGGGAAAGTTATTACCGTATTGACTCACGTTCCATTCTCTACTTTGCATTACAATAGCCTGTGGGCTCCGGGAAACGAGTACTGGGTGAGTACAGCCCATGTCAGCGGATAGCTCAGGCTTGACTTGAGTATCAGTGATTCGGTATGTCTTCATTTTCAGAACCCGGGCCGCAGTGGTGGGCGCTCTGAGGTGAATCCCGCAGCATCACATGTGCATTTGACTGAATCACTCGCGGAAGTTCAACCAGAAGCGGACATGACTCTAGTCTTATGTGCTTCGATATCTTCTCGCAGAGAATATGTCAACTGACTCCTTCATGACGGATGTAGGGATGGAGTGGAGTCCCACGAGTTACGGGTGGTCCAAGTAGAAGGAACGACAGTCTTCCATCTATCAAGGTCCGGCTACAGAAGAATACAGGTCAGCAGTCGTATGACTTGTACCCCGCTTTCATGAAATCATTACTGACCCAGAGAGTGCTTGCTGATCCGGTAATCTGTCAACTTTATAGATCTGCTCTGAGATTCTGCCACGCAACAGTGCCAACAAATAGTTGCCTCGCGATGGAGACGAAAGCGAGGATCCCGTTTTTAATGGTCATGATCCAAGATTCAAATCATTTAACCGCAGACATGGGCAGCTCCCTTTTTCTTCGCGGTCAGTCTCGTTGTTATGACTTTATAATAATATCCACATCGTCTCTTGAACCTGCCCACTGATAACTGCGTGGCACGTGTGTAGTAGCCAAGATTCCACTGTGGTCGGATTGGGGGGGAGGCAAGTGGTTTTCGCGTCATCCTCGTGCAATACTGCGCAGTGCGAATACTGTTACCAGATAACGCCACGCGCATACATTACTTCAGAAGGCATCGGCCTTGCAAGCCCCTATCTAAGGGGGCTATCGAAGATTCCTTAGCCATGCTTTATTCAACCTACGCTCTTTTAAGCGCCAAACTTCCATTGAGAGGTGTATTGTGGAACAGAGATTGCTTGCATGGGGTGGCTGCTAGACATTTGCTATACTGGCAGTGGTTTTGTTGCGCTTAAAGGTGAGTCGCGCCATTTCATGTCTATGGTTTGTTATTTTTTTCGATTGAAAAACAGGTTTACAGCTCCAACATTGTAATCACTGCTCGAAGGACAAGCAAAGGCACTTAGCCGGTATTCTCCTTCCATGCGGTAAGCTGTCCTTATGTAAATAGCTACAGACATAACACGAACGTTACACTGACACAGGAGGACACAGGAGACTACTTCGAAGGCGATGCTGAATACCTACACCGCTTAGAATCTGTCGGGCACCGAGCCTTGAAGCGTCCGCAGTAAGCTTCCTTGACTGCTGACACGCACTGCAGCCTATGAATGTAACACAATCCGTTAAAGGCACAGAGTATTATGTCAAAGTGACAGGGGAGCTGTACGTGGCGCCTACAGCATCGTGCCCGAGAATACTATAAAGGATGCCAGAATCAGGGTCTGATGGATGGCTTTTTGTTCGATACATCCCTCGCTACGTGATCCGTGATCATGCAGCGGCTTTATTTGTTGACTTGTGTGCGAAAGCACACAACGATTTCTGCGCGAGGACTTACTCCGTCGCAAATTGGACGCGTCAGGGCTAGCAAGCCCGATGTTCGATTGTATTCTGCGCACTCGCGACAGGCGCCACAAGCAGACAATAATTCTTTCTTCCCACCAAGCGGAAGTGGCACTTGGAGCAAAGTAGACCCTTCGCTAATCGTTGACATTGCGCTGAAGACCCTGATAGGGTTAGGCGTCGGTAAGTACATTCTCAGCCGATTCATACACCAATCAACTTCTTCTAGTTTTTACTGGGGGGAGCTTATATGTGTTTTGGTACAAACGTAACGTCCTTTCAAAGGTGAGGATAAGCGACGAATTATACAAGCGAATGTATCTAATGGGGCGGTCTCACAAGATTGAAGCAGCATTCAACGAAACATGGGATGATGCAGCCCTAGTGCAATTAATCAAGCAGGAGCTATCGCGGTTTGACCTTCTGACACCTGACCTGGAGCACGCCGGCTTGAAACGCTTGGCAGCAAAGCTCTTCGAAGTAAACCCACGGCGTCAGGAACAAGACTTCATCGATTACATTGTGAGGGGAGAGACGACAGGTTCATACTTTCTTCTCATCGGACCGAAGGTGAGATAATTGCTTGCATTACCTGGCACGCTAGCGTGATCTGAAAGTATCATTTATGATGCAGGGGGCGGGGAAGTCTGGAATGGTATTCGACGCAATGTTGAACATACGTAACAAAGGGTCGGTATTTCTCGAGGCCCATCCCGACCTTGAAGTGTTTCGTTTGCGCCTAGGAAATGCTTTAAATTATGAATTTAGCGAGGATATGCAGGCAGGACTGTTCCAGAGACCGGACCCTCGATCCGGTATGAAATCATCTATTGACGCTTTTAGCGTTATAAATTTTAATACTGGTTCACAGGCGGTCCCGCGATGGATATTGAACGTGGTTCGTGTTCAGAGAAACTAAGAGTTTGGATTTGAATCTGACCTGGCAGTCCAGCGCTAGATAAGCTACATGAAGTTGCTATGGGAAGTGGACGCCGTCGTCCGCTCGTTCTCGTCATCACCAAAATTCAGAATTTTCATAACGACGACCAAGGTCGAAATCTTCTTTTACAGATTCAACAGTACGCTGAACGCTGGGCCATAAGAGGTAGCGTGCTCATGTCACATACCTCAGAAATCTTTCTTAATTGTATCTAGGCATCGTCACTGTTGTATTCACCACGTAAGCTACCCTGCCTTACTTTGTACAGCAGCATCTTATGAGTATTTGAGGGATGATGTATGGCCGTATACGTTATTGCGTGAGTCACAAGAAAAATAACTCGCAAGCCCATTACTGACCTTTTGGCAGGCAAAGCAGCAACTTTGATGGAAGTCAGTTATGCAGCTGCATAATAACATGCTCATGCTCACTTTGGTAATTATTTAGGTGCACTCTGTCCAAGATCTGGACTGGGGAATGTCAAAGCGCACTCTATTGTGCAGACGACCAGATGCTGAGAATGTAGACAGTGTTGTACACGTTGTGGGAGGACGTCAATCCTATCTCAATAAGGTATCCAGGGCCGAAGAGATGCTGCAAGCTGCGGAGGACCTCCTGCGCTTGGAGAAGGCTTGGCTTGAGAGCTGCCTCGGGCTGATACCGGATTGCGACAATGATGGGGAAGTTGTCATTCAGGTGTGTTTGGCGATCATGATGGTTACAGAACTTTTGAACATCAGTTTCTACAGCAAAAATGGAGTCTACACTGCTGGACTTTGCTCCGAGAGTTCGTACGGCTATACCGAGCCAAGCAGAAGGAATTGGGGGACAGTTGGGATCCGCTAAAACTCCCCGTTATCCCAGCGGTATGCTATTTGTCTTGTTTTCTAAGAACCATGCTCCATGTAATTCTGACACGTTTGCAGTGGCGATGTCAGCAGATCATGACACGGCCCGATTATTTGGACGGTAAGATGGATTTCACTATACTCACTCACTCAGTCTCAAGTTTCCCAATTTAGAGCTTGACAGGTTGGACGTAGTCTATATTGACGTTAGTGCTGCAATATTGTGACGGACCTTTCTGACGGAATATATCTCAGATGAATGCAAACGTGCAGCCCGACTCAATGCTAGTCCTCCGCGCCGTTTTAGACATCGTTGAGAAGGAAGGCTTCGATGAGCTCCTAGAAGATGTCCGCTGCCGAGTAAAGGAGATAGAGAACCTGCGGCGATGAAGGATTGTCGCAGAACACGTTCGGGTTGTATTGGACATGTAGTGCGCTATAATTATTGCTTCTATATAATACTACTGATTCAGACTAATTCGTTATTGGAAGCATATTTCCCGTAAACAGGACGGAGGCAAGCCCCGTGATGTTTGCTTCTTTCCTGTACTTTGACGTTAGCGGAGCTTTCCTCTATGATTTTGACAGCTTTTTCTTGCCAAATAACTCTGAAATTCTCTGGCAGCTAGAGCTCGGTGCACATATCAGCATTTGCTTCTCTACTTCTGGGCATTCCTTGAAACAGGGCTTGCACTAGCCAAATACACATCCTATATGTATAGCTCGCGCACTCTGTTGCACGCTTTTTTATTTGTTTCGATCTGTCATAAAACAGGAAGAGGAAGGCGTCCATCAAACTTTTGGCGCTTCTATTCTATTCGCAGGGTGGGCATCAATTTGCACGATCCAGACATATCTTGTCACGGAGCAGCTCGGAGGCCAAATAGTGACTATCAATCGTGGTTTTGAAGTGGGTTGCGTGGCCACTGGCCAGACACACTTGTCAGTACTGGTTGATCAGTAATTTTCATGAGCTTTGATGGCAAGAAATTAGAATTTCCCAAATGCGGATGGATGGAGCGCCTAAATTAGCAATGAATGAGCGCTAGCGACCGACTACTACCACTACAACCGTTGTCTTTGCGCTGTCCGGAATCATTTTTTTGCCGTATATTGGAAATGCAGTGGTCACCTTTCATATATCATGATGATCTCAAGTTACTGCTGCACGCTTTTCTGCCCCCTCCTTTATTCATTCAATCATGGCCAGTTTGCCGACAATATATGGCGCTGTTCTTCTGGGTGGATTTGTTGCTTCTGCGTATGTAACACTCAGCCTGACTCAACCTGTGGATTCTGACTAGTAAATGATCAAATTTTGGATCACACCAACAGACTATCTGGGATCATAACAGCACAGACATTTACTTATATCAAGCAATACCCCACTGATACACGCATCACAAAATCGATTGTGAATATGGCCTCTTAGTCCGTTCTAGAGTGTGCACGCCGACTGTTTATATTCCGACACGGGACAGGTTGCTTTGACTTGGTTTGTTTCATCGCTTTTCTATTCCTTGCAAAATATTCAGTATAGCATCTTGTCTAGGGTATTAGATTCCATTCATACCGGTCTTGTGTGTACGGCATCGTGGACTATTATGATACAGTGGTTCGGTGATGAAGGCAAGATAGACTACATACCTGCGTCCGTGATATTTTTTCACTCGTTAGCCGTTTCACGCCTGATTTTTTTTCTCGTTATTCAGTCCATTAGCAATATCCATTGCGCTGACGGTAAGTTAAATACTTCGTCACGCGTCATTATAATCTCACAAAATCAGGCTTTCCTTACTCTGATCGTGCACTGGTATGCTACTGTTATTCTGTATATCTTGTATACCAACACCATTTCAGTTTCTTTGCGCATCGAATTCACAAGCGTAAGCCTCGCCTCATATTAGTGGGACCTTGTCACTTACCTAGTGAACTTCAGTAACCCATAACAATTGGCGGATCAGTGTTCCTATTGTCAGCTTCACTCTTCGATGCTCTGAATGACATGGCTGATCGTGCTACAGGTTGTATTCGCATTCTTGCGACTGGGTAAGTCGACCTGAAGCTTTTATGTGCTCTTGCTCACTAGACTATATCATTAAGTTGCTGCACTTGGTGAGTTCCCTTGCATGCGGACCCAAATTCACTGTTTAATGCCTCTGCGTACTAGTCACCACCTGTTGAGATGTGAGTTCTTTCGTCGTACTCCTTTGCATAGAAACCAAACTGAGCAATATTCAGGATCGAACTGCAGACAATGACCGCATTCAGACACAAAGTCGAAGTAAGCTCCCCTCTTTTGTGCCCCTGGGCCTTTCGATAATATTTATATTCTCCCTACTAGTGGGTGTTCACTGCAGGTCTCTCATTTTCATGTGTAGTAGACGTCCTCATCACTGCAAGTCTGTGCTTTACGCTGCGCAGAAGTCGTAGCTCGTACTCGAAGTGAGTCGCATAACATTAGGCGGCCTGGACATAAAGCTCACACATGCGGGCAGCATGGACCGTATAATTAACTCCATTATATTGTATACATTGGAGAACAACGCACTTACGAGGTGCGTGACTCTCGATCTGTCCATGATTGTCCATTCATGTATTGTTTGTCATGCGTAGTGCCGCCACCATCATCTCAATAATATGCGTAAGTGAAGCCATCCACTGTGATGCGCCTGTCTCCCGTTTGACACTGAATGATGGTAGTGGGTGGCTATGGACAACCTCGTTTTCCTTGGGGTCCATTTTGTACTCAGCAAACGTGGGTGTTTTACGGTCCATCTATTTTCTGTTGCTGAAAACGGTTTTTAAAACTCAGTTTACGCCAACTCTTTGCTAGCAACGTGAGTAGTGCGGTCTAGTTGAGAACGAGGTTTCACTACGTGTTCTAGCTTGAATTCCCGTAAGCAACTTCAAGAAGAACGCTCGCGTGGAGCCCTTTCAAACGAGCTTCCGGTTACATTTCCTAGCCGGTATCAGTCCAAGTATTTGGTAAGTTTCTTTCTCACAGCAGCATAACTGTACGCTAACAATACAAAGAAACGTTTGGATCCTGGAAATAAGGTAAAGCGTCGGAACTGTCGTGAACGTTAGGCGAAACTAACTTAATTTCCAGTTGGAAATCAATGTAGGACGGACCATCGAGCACGAAGCAGCCGACGGCTTTGCGAAACGAAGTTCGCATATCCCTTCGGAAAGTTCACCCCCAACAACTGATCCGAACCACATTACATCCAACGTAGTTTAGTGATTATCTCACTACCGCTCTTCGTGAGTGCCGCGCGAGATCTCCTTATCTTTTGCAATTTCTCCCTACTTGTCAAAGTCCAATCTTCCGTCGCAATTGCGTCTGTCCACGTGACAAGCAACACACCCTCGTCTCCTCTGTGTTTGTGCGTGCCTCAATAGTTATTTTCTTCTGCGTGGGACACATTTTAGCACCGCCTAGAAATCAGGGGTATGGTGTTGCAGATGCATTGTGAGGTGTAACGATTGACGTACTAAAGGTCCCTTGGCATACTTATTCGCATGAGTTCCTCTGATCGGCGGTTCCAGAGCGGGATAACAGTCCTTTTCGAGGAGCCATGATCATATCTGCAATGCTATGCAGTGACACAAGTGTTCATATTGCAGGGCAGCCTTTGAAGCATATCAGCTAATGTACAAACACCCAAGTAAATGCGAGCCCTCGGAGCCGGACTATGTACACTGGTGTTAAAACCCAAATCAAAATTCGGCGGATCAAAACCAAATTTTGGTGCTTGTCCTTACCCCGGGGAGGCTCTTCACGTCAACGCCGCATCTGACCAGCAGCACCAACTTGCATTTTGAACTTTTAAAAAAAACCGACCTACCAACACCTCCCACAAAACAACGTTATGTTGCTATAGTATATGAAATGTTTGGTCAAACCCACTGTTGACCAGCGGGTGCCGAATTTATCGGGAAACGTTAAGTTAATCAACGTTGACATGATCAAAGAAGGGTGCCCTTTTTGGAATAATCCAAGGAACGTGGTACAAGCCGCTGATGGGCGCCAGAGTTGGCGTAACCTCCACACTGCTGGCCCTTCGGTGCTAAGCCTGTCAAGCGAGTTTGAACAGATTTTCGAATCTAGGGCCTCAGTTTATGATGCACGAAGCTTGAAATATTGCGAAAAGCTGCTCAACAAGTACTAGGCTACATCAATTTCAATATATAATGCCGGCATGTTAATTACTGGGGACCTTATTTTTGAGACTTCTTCCAATAGTTGTAACAGCGGATCATCCTGTCAGAGCTCAGGCCTGGAACAAAAACACACGGCAGTTACGGGTTGATTTACGCAAATGTCCATAATAGGATAAGGAAGAATTCAGGTCTCCTCATTCGTTTTCGCTGGGGCCTACATGCCGTTTGAATAGTATTATTACCTCTTGGAATACTGGGCCATATGACTACGTTGAACCTTCTTAAACCCGTGCTGTTCGCGTCTGTGTTCAACGTTCAACCTCAGTTTGTCTGTTCTCTCCCTCGCCATTTCTTCATATCTTGTGCCGCCTTTCATCGTTTCCATATTTCAGTTATTCTTCTTAGACGCAGACTTCCTGTGCAACATGGTTAGCGTGCCTGCGACGTACGGTGCGATCCTTGTGGGTGGTTTTTTGGCCGCTGCGTAAGTCAGGACTATATCTTTTCTGCCACTAATCCTGATGGACTTCTCGCCGCATTCCAGACTTTCAGGGATCGTTACAGTACAATCATTCATTTACTTCAAGTTATACCCCACAGATCTACCCTGGAGGAAGGCCATGGTGAGTGACATATTATTAATGATCTGGTGCTTCGCTGAACCTTCGACGACTGGTGTTCTGCGGGAAGGTTGCCGTGATATGGTCGGTACCTTCAGCGAACGTGATTCACGAGTACTAAGTTACCGCATGCTCAGGATCTTGGACAGTATCCATACCGCATTGGTTGGTGCATCGATATGGATTTATCTAATAAACAACTTTGGTGATACATCAGAAATAAATGATATACCTGAGTACGTCCTTCCTTATGATAATTGCCTGTTCTTTGTTTGACCACGTCGTGCAGGACCGTGGCGGTGCGTAAATTCCATCGAAGTCCATACACGCTCTGATTGTAGTCTTGTGTCAGATGACAATAGCACTGACCGTGAGTCTCAGACTCTTGTTATTCTCAAACACGATCAAAGTTTCTGATTAATTTTGCAGGCGATATTGACATTCATTGTCCACTGGTAAGTCTTTTTGGTGACACATGGCCAGAGATTGAGGCCAAACCGTGCAGCTTTTTCGCCCATCGCATACATAAACGTAAGCCCCCATTGATCATAATTATATTAAGCACATACCACGTTCCGTTGCAGTGAGCCGTTGTGATTGGCGCATCACCGCCCCTATTGTAAGTCTTGTCCTGTTAAAATCGGATGAAGACTGAACGCCCTTCGCCGTAGTTGGCCATCGCATTTTTGCGGCTATGTGAGTCGCCTTGCTCTTCTTCAGGCCTCTTGGGATTAATAGTTGTTTTTAGGTTCTGCTTCTGGTAGGTCAGCATTCTTGGCCACGATACGACGCGCTAAACTATTTTGTTGCCGTAGTAACAACGGCCGAAATGTAAGTACATGTTGTGTAATGCTACACAACAATCATAACGCCGGCGCATAGGATTCATCTCAAGACCTTCTCAGAGTTCAGGCAGGAGTTCCGAGTAAGTGCCGCACTTTATGTCACAGTGCTATGTAACGTTATGGTCATGTAGTGGGTTTTCACATTGGGTCTCGCACTATCATCTCTCGTCGACGTTCTCATTGCGATATTCCTTTGTTACTCGCTGCGAGCTACCCGTAAAGCTTCTTCAAGGTGAGATCACGTTCCGTGCATATTCACGAAGGCTTACACGAACAGTATGGACTATGTCATCAATTCTGTAATCTTGTATACATTGGAGAATAATTCTCTCACCAGGTAATCCCGAAGCTTGGTCAAATCGAGATCATCAGTTGCTTACTATTTCTATCAGCGCCGCAACTGTCATCTCCATGATTTGCGTGAGCCTAATAGTCATTTCCTGCTGTATTCCCAATCAATGCTGACCCTACAGTGGCTTGTAATGCCCACCAACCTCATTTTCATGGGGCTGCATTTTGTCATTAGTAAACGTGCGTTGCACTCGAGTTATCCTGACGAAATGATAATTGCTGATTCACATTTGACCTGTAGTGTATGCGAACTCTCTGTTGGCCACGTGCGTATACTGTAAACCTTTCGTATATGTGCATATCTGATGATCGCTTTGGTCAGATTGAACGCTCGGAAGCAACTCCGGCAAGAGCGAGCCCAGAGAGGCTTGTCGGGAGAACTCCCTTTGGCATTCCCGGGCTTGGTAAATCGCTTCCGTTCAGACCAGCGTGACACTGTGAGTGGCCAGAAAACAATGGTCAGCCTGATGGCTCATACTTGCTGCAGTCGCGGATGGATCCCATTGGAACCAAGGTCCAGCTTTGCGCTTTGACCATAATATTTATCTGACTTTTACTACAGCTGGAAATCAACGTCGAAAAAACCGTAGAATATGAGGTAGATGCAGACACCATGACTCCCCACTCTCCGTCTCCTTCGTCGACTTCTCCGAAAGCTTCCTGCCATCCATCTGGAGCGATTTCACAGATGGCTTAGTTCACAACCTCCTACACCCTTTTGATCCTATTGTCGTACCGTGAATCTTCTTTGATATATGTCCATCTTTTGCTGTCAATCATTTCCACACCTGTCTTTATCGAAAGCTGTACTATCTTCCTCGCTATGTAGCAACATACACCGTCCCATATCTAATAGTATCTCTGCGTTGTCTGTCGTCTACATTAATGTAAAAAAGCGTTTAGTGACGCTATAGGCCTCAAGTCAAATCACTCGGACTTGTCCGTGAAATGCTGTTGCCCGGCAAGCCGACTGATTACGCGTCCCCTGTTGGCACACCGACTCACCGACCTGTCCCACGGGCACAAGTTCTTTCCAAACCGCCATCATGTCTTCATCCATCGTTTTGCCCCCCGGGTAAGTCCCTGCGCACTCAGCAGAAAGATGGCGGCTTACACCACTATTTTCGAGTTTCGGATATGTAGCAGCTGGACTGGTATCCACTGCTTGGGTTCTTGGCTGGCAGGTACTAGTCGTAGGCAGGTACAGAACAAAATCCGGGATCAAGTACCCTCAGCGTATGTGCCGTTGCTGCTACTAAGTAATGTTAGAATACTCAACAGGGGTGTTTTGCAGTGTATGCCGAGAAAGCACAAGCTGATGCTTCTAAAGAAGCCTTCCTCTTTAACTGCGCTCAGCGTAAATCGTCATTCACTGAATATATGGTCTCATTCATACTCACGATGATTCTTAGGCGCTCACCAAAACACGATTGAGCACATGCCTCTTATTATTGTGACGTGAGTGTTTACTGAATTCCTGTATGGCTTTTCTCATCTGTCTGCGGCCGGTTTAGCACTCTGGTAACTGCAATGAAGTATCCTGTCTTTGCTGGATATGCATGTGGCTTATGGGCGCTGTCCCGTGTTCTGTATACTCTAGGGTATACCACCGGAGATCCAGTCAAGGTATGTGGGACTTAATCCGTTTAATCACCTGCTCATGATGTCCTGTGTAGCGTAATACACGCGGTGGCATACTTGGTGAACTTCCTCTTTTTGGTATGTGCATCCTATCATCAAATAGTATCACCGGGTGTTGATGCTAGCGACCTCGTTAGGACTTTTCCTTGGCTCCACCTACACGGCATTTGATCTTTTACGCTCATCTGCTTGAAACGTTCCCGTTGCAAGGTTATTCTATGCATTTGATGTGACGGGTTGTAATTAGAGAAATACGTACACGATCTTGACCGACTTGATCAATATCATGCGAAACGTTGGAACTGCATATTAGTACATGATGATGATCAAATATCGAATGACACGAAAATGAAATTAGCTTGAGCTAAGATAAGATTATCGTAACCGAGATCCACAACCCTTTTAGACAGTTCCAACGACCTAGGCAACTGCGAATCGTTTGTTTCATGGGTTTATTAGCTCCACTAACTCAGTTTATACTCTGCAGTCTGCCTGCAGGTATGAACGCTAATTTCCCCACCGTGACAATCGATGTCGTGCGTACCCGCTTGTTCTCTACTCGCCAAAACCTCTGATGCGATGCTAGCGCAGATCCTCGACAGACACAGCGCCAAAGAGGTTCTCACCGCAATTCTCCATTCAATACTTTTCCATAGGCTGTTTGGCACTGTGAAGCCTCAGACATTCGAGGTGTTTGATGTCACCATGGTGAGTTTTCTAGGTTTCACACTGCTCAGCCAGGATCACCAAGTCGTCGTTACAGCCAGGTGTCTCGGATTCTGAGATGGAGCAACTCGTGACTGAGAAAGTGGATATCTTTTGGAAAGGAATCGAAAGTGGAGCGAACAAGCGTGGTCAAGTGAGTTTTTTTGCTGTCTATCGTGCAGTATTCCCTATTCATCTCGTTCTTCATTCAGATGATAGTAACATTTTCGGAGAAAAAGGCGAAGAAGTCCTGGTTTCAGGTATACGTTGGGGAGGAGGAAGTGCCATGGGAACAATGGTGTTTTCATTGGTTATTGATGTTAAACAGAACGGCTGATATGTATGTATAACAGGATTGTGAATGCCGAGATGCGACAACCCAAGTCAGAAGGTAAGGATTTCTCCATCTGACGCAATTTTGTCGTAACATTATTCCCGATTACAGACCGGCAAGAATTCAATGCGAATCTTGCGTCAACGCTTTTGAAGGCTTTGAACGTGATGCTGACACATACCTCGTCGGAGCGCGGGCGCACGGCAGTTCCTCTCATCACGAATGCGACAGGGATATCACCTTTTCCAATCAAGATTGCAGTTAAAGTTGGCGGGGTTGAGCTTGGTTAGTGTGTGCAGCTTCCGTGTTGTGCAGAAGGGTGTTGCAGATGCGATAAGCACAAGATGTATGTTTAAGACTTTGCATTGATTTTTTGTTCGATTTACTGGCTCTATTTTTCTTTGACATTCGTTCATGGCTATAACACGTGAGAAGGCAGCCCTCTACACTTCTAAAATTAGCATCATCGCACATGGGCTGGATGCGGAGCCTGAGGATGTCTAGCGCTCGATTTCGTCCACCGACACTTGAATTTACATTTCAAGGTGTGCTCAGTACGTACTGTCTTCAAATCTGATACGAAGTACTGAGTCAACATTGGCGACAGTAGATAGTAGATTGGGCCACTTACGCTGTCTCGATATCTGGTTCACCTCAAACTGCAAATCCGTACTCCATGCTTGAGAACACCTGCAAGTAGCATGAGCACTTAGCGGCTGACTATAATTTACCTGCGCAAAAGAACAGGATGGGACGTTGAAATCCCCGCGTGGGCACACTTCTTGAGAAACCTGACGAATTACTTGCCAGCAACCATAGTTCCGTTGGAACACATGTTCACTGATGAACGGGGCTCCAAAGAAGTACACTAACACAGGGTTTCAGGGTCTCTTGGCGTTGCCTATATTGCGACTTACCGATAGCGCATTCGTTTTCTCAGTTCTTGTCATATCATGAATATATTATGAGGAGCATGACCATGCTGGGATAAATGACGTCATGTATAGTGTCTAGCCAGGCAGGTGCCACGTCTATGGCTGGTTTCCGCGCTTCTAGAATCCACTCCTGAAGATCACAGGCGGGTGGGTGGTTTGGAACAGATAGTAATCGTTCCATGGACGAGATAGCCTAGTGATTTCACTCAGCTCCTTTCGTTGAAAACACAGGTACACGCGACGTGCTGAATGATGCGAAATACTCTTGAATCAACTCGTCGTTCACGAAAAGCGGTCCTTAGATATCCATCAGAAAGAGTATCACTTTTTGTATCACAACACTGGCAGGAGGATCAGAAATGTATATTTGGATGCCACCAGTTAAGATCTTTGATGTGACCAGCTGGTGTGCCTGTGTGTTTCACAAGTTCAAACTTCAAAGCTTCAAGCAGCAGCTACCGTGGGGGCGGAGGTAAGCGTTGAAAATCGTGTGTAGGGAGTATTACATCGTGTAAGTCACGTGAGGCCATGATTCAAAAATCTCTGTTACTGACATCTTGCCCATTAGCTTCGAAATACTGCGCCGGTTCCCCAATAACTTCCTTCGTCTCCTTCGTCTCGCGCGCTCTGCGCGAGCGTACTTTCCAAAAGGTCATCACAATGGCAGTTCAGACTACCGATCGTCCCAGGAAACTCGCTGGGTACGACTTCTACCACCAGATCCTCGGTAGCCCAAAACTCATCGTTGCGCCGATGGTAGATCAAAGTGAGCTGGTGAGTGGAATACACGTCAACGTCATCCGTCATTTTACGTTTACTTGACTCAGGCATGGAGAATTCTATCACGCCGATACGGTGCCCAGGTACGCCGATTGCCATCAGTTTTTGTCCTTGTTATTCACTTATCCAACCTGCTCAGCTTTGTTACACACCCATGATAAACGCAAAGATGTTCTCTCCCCCTTCCGCACATGCGTATCGTGCTCAGGCGTTCAATACTTCTTGTCTCGAAGAAGGCTCAAGTGCACATGACCGCCCGCTCATCGTTCAGTTCTGTGCCAATAACCCCTCACAGCTCCTCGCGAGCGCACTCGCTGTACAGGATCACTGTGATGCCGTTGATATAAATCTTGGGTGTCCTCAGGATATCGCAAGGAAGGGACACTATGGAAGCTTTTTGATGGATGAATGGGAGTTGATTCATGACCTGAGTGCGTTCTTATCATTATTTTATATAATAGCCCTAATATTTAGGGCTAATGATGTATCCGTCGGAACAGTCAACGTACTTCATGAAAACCTCTCCGTACCTGTCACTGCCAAATTCCGGATATTTCCCTCCGTAGAAAAAACGGTGGCATACGCCAAAATGCTGGAATCCGCAGGGGCCCAGATCCTCACTTGTCATGGTCGCCTGCGCACACAACGTGGACAAAACACTGGGCTCGCAGACTGGGCGCACATTAAAGCCGTGAAAGAGGCAGTTCGGGTGCCTGTATTCGCAAACGGCAACATTTTATTTCATGAAGATGTAGAGAAGTGCCTGAAAGAGACCGGCGTGGATGGGGTGATGAGCGCTGAGGGGCAGTTATATAACCCTGCCTTATTTGCTCCTGCATCGTCTGGGAATCCGTCATCGACCCTGACAGGTGCACACCCGCCCCATGCGGACCTTGCGCTTGAGTACCTGGCTATCGTTAAGAGCCTCAAGACGCCAACGTCAACGAGCGCAGTCAAAGGTCATTTGTTTAAAATCATGCATCCTGCTCTGAGCAGGGAGACCGATCTGAGGGAGAAATTAGGACGAATCAGAGGGTCGAATGTCATTGGGGAATATATTGAGGTTGCGAAAGAGATGAAGGAGCGCATGGAGAGGGACGCTACGGAGGTGATGAAGGGGGAACAGATGGTTGACGATTTGATCACGATCGAGCCTACGACAGGGCTCAGAGTGCTGCCGCATTGGCTCTCCCAACCGTACTTCAGACCGCTTAAGTCTCCAACAGAGGCCTCGAAACGAGTATCTTCACCGGTACCTACCACTCATGAGGACGTGAAGCGGGCGAGGCTTTCTGGGCAATCTGCTATAGGCGATATAGACATCTCTTTGTGATCGCCATCGACTGCGTCCTTTACCATTCTTTCATAGAATATATCTCCTCCATCCATACAATACACCACATACGATACATCGCTGGATTTATTACGGCGTACACGATGATACAGTTATCTCAAACGTAACATGGAAAGGAGAAACGTCCACATCACCTATCTACCCGCCACATCCAAGGCTCGTTCTCCCCTTACAATCCTCCTCCAGTTAGTATATACTCGATCGCCGAATGCACATTTCCACCAGTCGCAAGAAGCGCTCTAACATTCTGCGATGCATTTGTGAACCCCATATCTTGTAGTTGCTGTTTAATCCAAGAGTAAAAAAGCCCGATTAGATCACCAGCCACACACAGCACACAATACGCACCTGCAACTGCACCTGGAAGCGTTCTTCGGGTGGCCGCGAATCCGCAGGTGCAGCAGGGGGCGCACCGAAGCCACCAAATCCGCCCAGACCACCGCCACCACCTCCAAAGGCGGTTTGCATTTGTGCGAGAGCCGCAGGGTCGAACATGCCAAATGGGTTGGCGCCTGCGCCTGCACCAGTCCCCGCGCTTGCTGGTGGGACAGGAGGGAAAAACGCTGCGAAAAGATTTGGGGCTGGTTGGCTGCCTGTGGGGGAGGTAGAGGGGTTGGAGGAAGTAGATGATGCAGGTGCTGTAGATGGAGTGCCTGGTGCTGGGAATGCGCTGCCACCTGCGCCGGGGAAGCCGAATGCTCCACCAAATGGACTGGCGCCTGCACCCGCGCCCGCGCCCGCACCCGTACCTTGGAATGCTGACGCCATCTGTAGCATCGAGCGGAGGGATTCGGGATTTGATCTAACACAAATCAGTATGCATCTTCAGGAGCAGTGGTCGACAAAACGACGTACATCATCTCCCTGAACCTCTCGCTCTGGAAAACTTCACGGACTTGAGGGGCAATAGCAGCGAGCTGAGGATTGCTCGCGATGATTTGGTCGAGAACAGCGGGATTACTCATGACGCTGCTCATCTGCTGGAGGAATTGGGGACTCTGCATCATTGATTGCATCATGTTAGGATCGTTCGGGTTCAGACCCATTTCTGCAAATGGGTTGAAACCAGCGAGGGCACCGTAACCAAGGTGAGAGTTGAGCTGTGTCAATGGGTCGTGGGGATTCTGGCCAGCTTGCATTGTGGGGAGGGGCGGGACTGGGACAGAGGAGGCTTGAGAACCGGATACGTTTGAGCGAGCGACGCCCTTGACCATATGGATGGTGTGAGATGTTTGAATTTTATACGTCGAAAGAACATCATCATCCTGTGCAACAAATTATCAGTGGTCATGAGAGGCATGTATAATGATATATACCTTCAATACTCGGCCTTGTGGATACAACACTTGAATGAATAAAACCTCGTCAAGTGCATTAACACGCACCAGAGTATATAAGCCTCTGCCGATCAGCCTCTACATCAGACTTTTCTGCGATAGCACGTTTGAGGTCAAGCACAGTCTTGTCAGTACTGATTGTGATCTGCAACTTGAGCTCGCTCGGTCCTAGTTCTGATTAATATGTGTTGCAATGATATATTGTGGACTAGTCGCACCCTTGACATTTATCTGAATTTCTTGTGGCGTTGAGTCCATGATGGAGGAGGATAAGCGTGCACTGGCAGTGGCACAGGTAACATCATCAAGGATGGTCTTATCTGCTTACAGCGCGGGAAGACTCCAGAACCCTCCCGTTTGTCGGCAACTCGTTCTCAATTCTGGTTTAACCTGGCCAAGCTTGATCTTCTGCTTCGAAGAAATCGCTCATTATCTCTCGTATGTATACATAAAATTTATACTTGCTGATTTCATTTCCAGGATATGGGTCTTTGTACTATGTAGTAATCTTGATTGCAAACTCTCTATCTGACTATTAGGCGTATTGTAAGCGTCGGCCGTGCTTCATAATAGATCGAACTGTGACGATGCCGGTGGGCGACGCAGGGCACGGCACGCAGGTTGCTGCCTTTCGTGGTACAGACGTGTAAATGGTTTACATGCATTGTCTCCATCGATGAAATCACCCCATCCCCGACACAGCATGGCCTCGCAGCTCAGTGAGCACTGTTTCACTGCTGTCTCCCACTCCGGCACTCCAGTTGGCCATCAGGAGGAGATCGCTAACGTACAGACATATGTATCTGAGCCTACAAACGCATCCGAGTCCAAGTGCGTCATCCTCTACTTTTCTGATGAGTCTTCGGTCCTTTCTTCCTCAACAACCAGCTCATTATGGACTATTATGCCTCTCATGGTATGCTTCCGCGCAGGAACTATAATAGTCGTATGATTTCTCAGTTTGACCTGTCCACAGGGTTCACAGTGCTCGGCCTCGACTACTTTTTTGGAGAACCTATGCATGAATGCATGAATAGGCCGGGTTTCGACAGGCTGGCGTGGATAGAAAAGGCATTTAGTAACGCTAATACCCATATCTGCCCATGGGCTGACGCTGTCGTGAAGAAATACGGTATGATAACATCTTTTCCATCTCACTAATTACCCATCAACCTCCCATAGGCCCAGGCTTGAAATACTGTGCTGTTGGTACGTCTATTCATTATTGTCTTGGCGTTATTCCATACCTACTTGTTTCTAGGCTTTTGCTTTGGCGGGCCGCATGTACTCAATCTTGCCAAGAGCGGTGGCTTAATTGTCTGTGGTGCTCATATTCTAGCCTTGTGCCGTATGTGTGCGTAATATCATATAGGCGCAATCGCTCACCCTGCCACTCCCTCCGAGGATCTGACGGAGATCGACGAATGCACCGGTACATACCTTCTCTTTTATCCTAAATCCATATATTGACAAATGTGATCGACTAGTCCCGATGCTGTTTTCCTGCGCTGAGACCGACCAGACGTTCCCCAGAGAGACACGTCGGAAGGTTGAAGATAGGCTTGTCGAGCAAAAGAAGACGTACCACTTCCAGATTTTCAGCGGTGTGAAACATGGATTTGCGGTCAGATGTGATCCGAACGTGGAGAACGAGCGTGAGTGGTTCTTCTCTCGAATTTTTCTACCCATTTCACGCTGTTTCTTGTTTTGACGCACAACTTTCTGCCTTCTCTTTTACTCTTGTCCATAGTCTGCTTATTAACATAATCCTCCAGGATGGGCAAAGGAAGAGTGTCAGCGTGGCATGGTCGCATGGTTCAAGCGTTTCACAGCCTAAATGGACAGCTCACCATAGGCCAGTCTTTGTCGCGGAGTCTGCAAACCTATCGAAGACCGGCCGTTTTTTGCGTGTTCTAGTTGTGCTGAGGTAGTATCAGTGACATACAAATCTACCAGGCTATGCCACTATGGCCCTCTCTGCTATAACAACGGAGACGTAGCTTCCTTGCACTGCCAAAAGACGTGTTCTTCAGTCAGGCTATTTTGACAGGCTTAGAAAGATATTCCGCGCAGGAAAATATTGTCACTCGTCTCGTCATCTTGACAGAAGCTTGACCGAAGGCTTACCAGATCTTTCGGCATCTGTGTAAGATTCAAATCATACCTGTACTCAACGTGACTCAAGTATGTCGGCCCATCAGAACAAGACCGTTCCACATCAATCTCAAGAATCAAGATTGATGTCAATGCGAGATCAACGGATCCCGGGACAACGGACGTAGGATGCTACGCGGTGCGGCATGACGTTACTTGTATAAGTAACTTGTTTTTCGACATCGCTTCTGATGACGATCCACAATGGTCTTTGGGGTTAACGGCTTACCGAATCCCGGATGCCCTCGTAGCGCGGGCCTGCGAGCTCAAAGCTTCACTCTCAAACTAATGAACTCTGGGAGTATGGTTTTTATCATTACATGTGAGCTTTAAGTTGTGGGTCTATCCAAGTGGAACGACGAGCTGGTATTCTTCAGATTTTCCGGAGTTGGGTTGACTACCTGCAAACCTTCGACGTAGGCAGGCGTAATTTTCGTTGTGACTCATCAGATATGCCTCATATCAGCCTTCGAACTTCTGAGCAGTGAAGAGCCTGGCGGGTGCGACCGAACGACGTGTAAAGTTGTAGTTGGTGATGGAGAAAACATTTGCAAGAGGAATTGTTAGAAGCAAACATACTAATCAAGAGGCGTGTGAATTCTTGAGATGGTTGCCTGGCTGCAACAAACATTTTATCTAGCGATGCATACGGGTATGTAGTTCAGGTATCGTTATCTGAGGAAAACTGCTTGTTCCCCATTGTCACAGGTCCCTATGTACATGTTTTGCCGAGTCTTGGCACCCGTACCATACACTGCGCCACCGGCTGCCATCCGGGCGAGTGGGTAAAGGTAGGTACCGTACTCCTGATCAAACACAGCAAATTCTTGGCAGAACCCTCAAGTGACAAACCAGTGTCTCTCTTTGTGAGTGTGATGTTGGGGTCATTCAGCGAGTGTACTGTATATGATGGTAAGTACATATACATGCACGTGTGTCAGTATTCGAAACCACCTAATTTCCAATTTTTCTGACAATATCAGGTTTTGCATATGCAGGCCAATCAAATCGATCATCCGCGGAGACAGTCAGATAATGATTACGATACGTTCCCGATGAGTCGGAGTCGACCGACACTACGTGGGCTCTCATCGCCGTATGTGAAAGGTCTGTTTTCAATCACCACGGGAGAAGTTTATAGAAGCCTTCATCCATCACATGACAGATTGGTGGCGATTTGCTACCCTGGTTGCATGTGGCTATAGTATATAGTACGGGAAAATGATTGCCACTACAGTCGGAATCGGCTCTGTCAACAGCTTTGTCTTTCTCCATGCAGGACCTTCCACTCCCACAACCTTCTATCGGAAATACGTTCGGAGCACTTTTCATTGGGGCTACCCTTGCAGCATTGTTAGTAAAATATTTTCTTGCCATGCAGTCGAGACTGAGCGTTGGTTATGGTCGTAACATATCTCATGGAACAGCCTCTGGGGTATAAGCAATATTCAAACTTTGCTCTACTTTCAGACGCACAGAGGTACAGGAATAACATTCTTTAAGCTGGTTGTGGGTCCTTGTTGTCTTGTTGTCTTGTTGTCTGTTCTTTTTTTGACGTTATATCAGGTCATTTTGTTTTGGTGGATATTTTTTCGAGTTGCAATGGTCGAACACGCCGTCTCAGATTATGAACCTTTAGGATATTTGATGCTCTGCACCTGGCATTCATCGTCCATTGCATCTATTACTACTTAGTGAGAAATCACGCGAACATGGGTGCGCTCACAGAAATTGTATGGAGTTTTAAAGTGAGCCTTTCCTTTCCCCTCTGTGCACCATCTGCTATGATACTAATAGACCCGCGCAGCTTCAGGTCATATTTTATGTAAGCTGTATTTCCCAGGCTCTGTGAATCGCCTCAGACATGCACCCCACAGGCTCTCATCACCAATAGTGTACATGCGTGAGTTCGATTTGCATAGAGTTGTATGCAACATTCATAATGCTCCTTTTCCCAGTCTGTATGTCCACCGTCTATGGATAGGTATTTGTCCTCCGATTTATTATTCTGCCATGACTGATGGGGTGAACCTAGTCAGCAAGGGCCGATCGAGAGCTCTCCCTATAACAGTGGTGAGTTTGTCATCAATGTTTATGTACTGTAGCATTTCATTCTGCCGAACCACTCGTAGTGCATAATCGTGGCCCTCGCTTTAGGTGAGGATCTCATCTGCAGACTCCCTTCGCGCAATATTGAACACAAATATCCTTTTAGGTGTTGACATCGGTGAGGGCTTTAGAGTACTAATACTGCTGCTGTTGGTTCATCATCTTCATTTTGACCCAATGACAGCCCTTGTTTGGGTATTGTGAGCGCACCATCTACTCCATCACTCATGAGGTGTTAATTATGAATAGATATCGGTGTCATCTGTTCTCGGACTTGACTAGAGCCGAATGGGCGGCATACACGGCTTTGGGCACGATTACTGTTGTCGATATCCTTATTGCATCATCGCTGTGGTATCTCCTCGCTACCTCCCGCACTGGGTTCTCCAGGTAACGAGCGACCTGTTGACTGTCTGGATCTGGCATAATGATGTCGAATGTTTAGCATGCATTCCTTCGCCAACAAGTTTATGAGTTACACTGTCAATACCGGTTGTATCACGAGGTATTTCGTCCATTCAGACTATACCATTCCTTGATTGATATTTGGTGCAGTATAGGTTCAATGGCAACTATGATTACAGTAAGGTCCAAATAATCGTGCTTTCACACCGTCTCTGAGAGTCGTTTGCAGTGCGCAGTGATGCCGAACAACTTTATCTTTCTCGGCATTGGATTTTTAGTAGCTAAATGTATGAGCACATGTTCTCTGAGGACTGCGCTGACTACTGGCACCGTTTCAAGTATACGTTAACTCGTTTCTCACTCTCCTGAATGCGCAATACTACTTGGAGGGCAATGCAGACAATATTGATTCCTCCAACAAGCGCCGTATGCGCCAATCACCCTACCGACGGGAGCCTCACATTAAGGTGCCACAAGACGAGGAACTCCAAGCCTCCCGGCAGAACATGTGTAAACATCTTGACGATGAAGTGATTTTCACTCGACCTGTACCGACTGACATGGTTTGTAGTTACTTTATTGTTGAATTTCATGAAAGAGGACTAAATGACACCCTTTAGCCACAGCGTCCGCCGATTGCAGTCACGGTTGAGATAAGTTCTTTCTCGTCGGCTTAATGGATTATCATGCATGTATAATATTTGTCTGTCTGTCTCTTATAGGCTGATGAGACTATAGATTATAACATCGACAGAATCTGGCCACATAATCCTACCTTTGTGCATTCTAATGTACTGCGTGGTTAACCCAAGTTAGGCCCTCAAGACATATTGAGATGCAGGGGTAAGCACATTATCCGTGAGGTATTTAGCGGCCGCTACTGTCCGAAAGTACGTTGAATAGGACGGATAACTGCATATCTGGAAGTGTACTAAATTAGATAACTACACTAATGTATGCGCTTTGGGGGTATCAGCCAAGGATGATGTATCATTTTGCATGTATATACTGCGCAAAGACTGCATAGGATATTGCTGCGAGTTTCTGCGTTCTATCTCGCTTGTCCTTCCAAGGACAGTTGAGATATAACTTTGATTGTGTTGACTGCTCGCAAGGCGAATGAACACCATGTAGAAGGCAATCGAGATGATCGGGACGTTCTAGTTGATCTAAGCTCAGTAATATCGATAACAGGTGTTAACAGCGGAATTACCAAGTCTGCCATAACATACAGTCCATTGTTCGAGAGGACGAAGCATATTATTGAGGAGCAGAGCGCTGCAGAGTACAAAATAGCAGCATCTGTAAGCACGCGCAATAAAGGCATTTTCCCCTTCGTAGCGCGGATTCCAGAGACCTTGCGTTCGCTCATCCAGATGCGATAAGCTAACAATCCTACACATATCAAGGTTATTACGAGACCTCAACATCGCGCTTAAGTGGGAGTGCGCTTACCTGAACTGAGCAAATTTGTTGCAAGTGACAAGGTCATGAACGTCGCGGCCAAATGTCCAGTCTGGTTAGTGAAGATACTGTTACTTGACACCAGTGAAAAGCGGTAGACCCCAAAAATACCGAACACTTCCAGACAATATCAGAGCACGCAACTTCTCGTGTATGATTGCAACGAACCAGCGATACCACACCACATAATGCAAGGTATAATGACAATCCACACAGATTGCCACACAATGTAACATCGATAAATCTTTTGACAGAAGGGGGATTTCTATAAGCCGCAGGTTTCAAGCTTGTAGATTAAAATTTGAACCCACCACCACCCCGTCGCCAAGTAGGGTTTGTAAGATGATTATCACATCCTTGATCACAAACGTTTCTTGGGTAACGTCTGCAAAGAACGAGACTGGGCCGCCTGGGAATGTGTCGCGCTGCTTCACTAGTCCATCTTCGATACGAATGATGCCTAAGACCAGGTGCTTGGGAAGTTTCAGTGGATGTCGCCAGATACAAACAGCGAGAAGCTAACCGCGGTACTCAGTAAGAACAGTAGAATGGCAACCACAACAACTGGCCGATTGACGTTGTGTATGTGACGTTTGTAGGTGATTATCCAAATAGTACCTATAAACATGAGGACTGAAAACCCTAGAGAACGCTAGCTCGGTGGACATGGGACGGGTAAACTCGTTGTAATACCCACCGTATAAAATGCCTTCTAGCACCGATGACATGATGGCAGCAGTATCCAGCGGGATGCCTGGTGAAGCCATGACGAAAATTATGGCCAGGGATGCACGACGCTGTAGGCACTGGTTAAGCTATCGTTATATATAAGAAATATTCGGCTAAACTTGAGACTAGTAGGTATCAGCCACTGATCAGCTAATTGCATCAACGTACCCTGCAGGGCCAAGCATTCTGAAGAATAGAAGTTACTCAAAACACCCTGTGACGCAACCTCGCACACTCAGCGCGCACCTGGATGAACCAAATCAAACCTTTTATTTGACAGTCGAACTCGGCGTCCTACCTTCATGGCGGGCAGCAATCCGAGCGCCCCTGGGCGCGCAACATGGGAACACAGCCCAGAAGGTCACTTTGGCGAGCTCCGAGATAGGCTCAGTTAGTAAAATTGTGGGTCCACACAGGTATGTGCTTATGTAAGTAATTCTACATATGACGGAGTTGCTTCTACCCCGGAAAATTAAAATGTCAGACATTGTGTAATGGATGTATAGGCTGGGATATATTCTGCTGTGCAAGGACTGCATAGGACGTTGCTGTGACATCCTGCGAGTCTTTTCATTCCATCTCAATTATCTATCCAAGACAGTTGAGATCTAGATATATACTGAGTACTCATCTTCGCTACAGCGTAGCGCTAGTATGCACAACAGGCAGTTTTTGCTAAGAGATTTATCAATATTTTATCAACTTGCGGGCCGTCAATTATTGGGGCCCGGAGAAATGACTTAGAACTTGCCGAACTCTTGACACTTGTGAGGTCTAGATCTAATTTAGTGCACCAAGTGGAGCGCCGTTTCACATCCAAAAGTCACTTAGCATTCAAAAACTCCCTAATACCTTTTCGTAGTGCGGTTTTATGTAAAATTTAGACGCAAGGCATCTTTTGGTCAGAGTCTCGGAGCCGACGGTCAGTTTACACTTTGTTGTCCATAGTTATCCCTAAAATTACGTAATAGTGCACGCGATGTTAACTATCCATCTATATAGCATGTTTACTTTACTGTAGACCTAGATCTTTTCATAACATTTTTGATCATATCAGCTTGTTGTCAAGAAGTTTGGTGACTGCAGCGAATTAACTCCTATATTACTTGCTTCCTCCTATTCTTCCTGTGGTCTCGTTCATGACGGCTTCAATTGGTTGCCAGTCCGACGACCTCATTTGGACTATAGTGTCAGCACATGAATCGAGCTCACTGTTGTGCTACCTTCTTTCCAGCTTCTTTCCTCGTTGTCATCTAGCAAGGATTCCGCTGACGCAGGCGGCACTTCCAGAGTGAGATTGAGTGGGGCTACTAGAAGTGAAGATGTTTGAGTAAGGTACCGGTGTCGTTCCCAACCAGTGTACGCGGTTACTACACGTCATTCCAGACTTAGAGTCACAGGACAACAACACACACACCAACTCTCATGGCCTAATGGGTGCTATGTTATAGCCGTCTTATTATCGTCGACGGCCTGACGAGTTGTCCAATTAAACGGGTACACACGGAGAGACTACATGTGGATGGTACCGATTTTCTCAGTAGCGCATGCGGACTGAGGATCTCAGAGAGCATGATCATTCGGGGAATCGGCTAATGTCACACGAGGCCGCCAAAATTATTATCGTATCGTATATAACAATGTATCAACTTCTTGTGAGTGCAAGCCTTTCCCGTACTGACGATGAGACTCATCTCTCTATTCGGGCTCCCCTTCGTGGCTGCTCTCGCTAGCGCAGTAGTGCCCTTCAAGGACTGCCAGCACAAGGTGAAAGAGAGCATTCATGGTCCGCCCCACGGATGGTCCAAGCATACTCCCGCGCCCAAGTATCATATGCTCGAGCTTAAGATCGCTTTGCCTCAGGCCAAGTTCCCGGAGCTCGAGCAGCACCTGTGGGAGGTGAGCAACCCCAGCCACCCACGTTATGGGGCGCACCTGTCAAAGGAAGAGACTGATGCTCTTACGGCTCCCCATCCCGAGACTTTGGACATTGTCAATGAATGGCTTGCTTCATACGGCCTGGCGGAAGAAAGTCTCATTCGTTCATCGGCACACGATTGGGTTACTATTCGCGTCCCAGTCGGCCTTGCCGAAGAGATGCTGGATACCGTGAGCAAACCAATATTGTCCCCGGAGATTACGGTTCATTGACTGCCGGATGTCTAGACTTATTATGTTTACAAGCACGCTGACACCGAAGAGAGCATCGTCCCGGACCACGAGCTACAGTCTCCCGGAGATCTTGCATAACCATATCGATCTTATACAGCCTACGACCATGTTCGCTCGCTTCAAGGCGTTCAAGAGCACGCTGCACTGGGGTAACCAGTTGCAGCCTCCAGTCTTGAGCACGTCTGGTGGAACGATCACAGGGCCTGCAGGCAATCAGGTCAATGCAAGTTGCAACAGCACGATTACGGTTTCATGCTTGAAGCAGTTATATAATGCGGTAGCTTACAACACGTCTGCTACGAACGGCAACAAGCTGGGTCTCACTGCTTATCTGGGCCAGTATGCCAATAACATGGACCTCCAACAATTCTTCCAGCTTGAAAACCCGTCTGCTTACGGTTCAAACTACACTTTCGTTTCCGTTAACGGTATGCGGCACCCAAAGCTCGTAGCTACGTTGCTGATTTGTTCCACAGGTGGATTAAACAATCAGACCTATGCGGCAGCAGGCATTGAAGCTAATCTTGACACTCAATTTGGCTTTGGACTCACATGGCCCACTCCTGGAACGTTCTACTCAACTGCTGGCGAGCCCCCTTTCGACCCTGATATGTTGACGCCGACCGATACAAATGAACCATACTCATACGTAAGCATGGGCCACTGGTCAAACTTTTAATGTGCTAATGTCTACAATCCCAGTGGCTCGATTATGTTCTTTCGCAGCCTATGCTTCCACAGACGATCTCTACCAGTTACGGTGACGATGAGCAAAGTGTCCCGTTCACTTATGCAACCCGTGTCTGCGCCGGCATGGCAGTTCTCGGTGCTCGTGGAGTTTCCGTTTTGTTCTCCTCTGGTGATTCTGGTGTTGGTGATGGCGATCCCGACCCTGCCACACAGATGTGCTACTCCAATGACGGGCTCAACGTCACGAAATTCCTGCCTGATTTTCCCGCCTCCTGTCCATAGTGAGTGATCATGGCAACCGAGGAGAGGAGTACAGCAACTAAAGATCGGATAAAGCGTGACGACTGTGGGCGCCACTGTCAATATCCCAGAGACTGCTGTATTCTTCTCTGGTGGTGGTTTTAGTGACTATGTGAGGAATCTGACGGCTATGATCGATACCTGCTAAAATGCTAACACGTTCCCACCAGTTCGTTCGTCCAGAATACCAAGAAGTTGCTGTCTCAGAGTACCTAGAAAAACTCGCACCTGGTACCTATGAGGGTCTCTACACCCCGTAAGTGTGATGAACTACTCCCATCGGTGCACATTAATCGAGTCGTTTATTTGCAGTTACGGGCGCGTAAGTGACCTCTTCAGTATGTAAGGATCTGACAGCTAACATTCATTCAGGCCTATCCCGATGTGTCAGCCCAGGGGGTGAACTTCTCTGTTGTTTACCAGGGCCAGCCGGTGCTCGTTGACGGCACATCCTGCTCTTCACCCACATTCGCCTCGTTCGTTTCCATGCTGAATGACGCACGCCTTAATGTCGGCAAAACCCCTCTCGGCTTCCTCAACCCTTTCTTGTACTCCACTGGGTACACCGGGCTGAATGATATCACCGTGGGCAACAACCCAGGATGTGGAACTCAGGGCTTCAACGTATGTCATATTTACATACCCTCAAGTCGTGTCACTAATCTGATGTCCATGCGCAGGCCACAACTGGATGGGATCCTGGTGAGTGCATGCATTTGGCGAATAGTTTCCTATTTTGGTGTTGACAATACCTGCAGTTTCAGGTCTTGGGACACCCAACTTCGAGAAGTTGGAGGCACTGGTCTTGAGCATGGCCTAAATATTGTAGATGAGTGAACAATCTGTGGCGTGTACATCATGAATACACATCAGGCATATACAATTGTAACGGGCAGAGGCCCTCCGAGTCGGCATAGATGAGACGCTGAAGTCAGGAAAGAGCACCCAGTGTTTTCCCCTACAATGGACCGCGGCTTGTAAGTAGAGCGACTGAGCATTGTTTCACACAGCGTACACGTCAGTAAGAAATCTTATCTAGGTCTTTATGACACAGGGACTGAGAGGAAATAGCCTGAAATAACGTCTTTGAGGGTCAAACCTCACAAAATCTCTGCCTGGAAATTGCATTTTTCACGTCCTTCAGGGCAGGGTTGTAGGACACTTGTCAAGTAGACCTAGTGAACTTTATTCCGACATGTCCCGACTCGAATACACGCCCTCTCAAATGCCTCATAAAACTCGATCCTGCTTCTCCCAACAAACGTGCCCATCATAACGAACCTAGACCGTAAACCGATCAAACCAACTCACGATCCCCCTAGCGCTCTCCTCCTTCGCCCAGCCTGCATCAACATTCGTTCAGTACCTTGCCAATTTCGATGTGTAAGAAATTAAACCAGGTCACTTACGTTGCGTGTCAATAGCGGGATCGCATCGTACAGCAAACCCATGTTTGACGCCTGAAAACACCTGGAAATGATACGCGCATTTGCGAGCGACCATGATGTCTTCTGCACGTCGACGCGAGGCGAGTGGGAATGTGTGGTCTTCCTCTACATATAAGAATAGAATTGGGAATCGGCAGGTTTAGTAGCGATCGCGAACATCTGTAGGAAGAAATATTTACCTGCGCAGGAGAGAAGGAGAGGTCCTGTATTGATGTAATAATTTGTATTTGGTTAAGGCAACCGGATGATATATCAAGCACAAGAAACGTACTGTCAAGTTTCTCAAAGTGGCTTTCATCGAGGAATGCGGGGTGAGCCAGTGCTCCTACAATCCTCGCGTGGGCATCCTTCTTGAAAACAGTTGAATCACTTACCAGCAACTACAGATCCATCAGAACACAAGTCCAGGACGAATGGGGCGCCGAAGCAGTACCCTGAGCACAGGAATTCAGCGTCTTTTGGCATGAATTTTGTATTGACGTACCGACAGCACAATACTTGGTATTCTCCCTCCCTGTACATATCATGTACATATTTTGGCAACTTGGAAGTGACAGGAAACAAACCACGTACCGTATTTCCCTTTCACGGCATCTAGCCAAGCAGGGAATGCATCGATAGCAGGTTTGCGGGCATTGTCAATCCATGGCTGGCGATCACGATCATTCTCGTGGTTCATCACGGAGTCGCCAAAGAAATAATCAGGCCCAAGGACGATATAGCCTTGTTCCATCCATCTCATTATCGGTTCACAATGTACAACGTTGGCAAAGGGACGCACCACAGGATGCGAAATAATCTTGAATCAACTTATTATTAATGAAAAGCGGGCTCCACACGTCTGCTAGGAAGAGTATCACTTTTTGTGTAGGAGCAGGAGGATCGGAGATGTATGTTGGGATTCCACCGAGGTCCTCGACGCGGCCGACGGGTGTGCCTGTGTGCTTTACACCGGTGAAGCAACAGCTACCAGGGGCAGAGGCGAGTGTGGGAGACATTGTCGATATTCTGCGTAGATGTGAACACCCTTCAAAACGTAGTCTTCGTGCGACCTTTATATTCTCAGAGTGAGATAGCAAGTCTAGGCATCGATAACGTTTGATGATCTTTGTGATCACCCGACCTCCAGAGAAGCATTCACGTGAACAACTCGGGATACCGGATGTCCGTATGTTCGACGTGGATTAGTAGTATTGGGCCAACAAACGACTTCCTGGGGGATAATTATAACTAGCCCCGACCTCAGAGAGTTCACAGAATGCAAACGAGGTCTGTCCCTGAAAACTCATCTGAATTCATCCAGAGCAAGACTACAATGTGAGTATGATTTACTGAAACAGTTTGCGATTTCACTTAATAACGACATATATCACTTGCCACTCGTAAAGCGTTTGAACCATCCCACCATTGCACGTTGGCACTCTTCCTTTGCCCACCCTATCAGAAGCAAGAATATGTGAATTTAAATCACCAAAAATGGTGACAAACACTGACTTTCAGTCTCGACTTCTGGATCTCCCCTTGTTCCAAAGCCGTGCGATACACCGCTGAATATTTGAAAATAGTATGTCGCCTTCTTCTCCACAAGGATGTCTTCAACTTGTCGTCGGAACGACGCTGGGAATGCAGAGTCCGTTTCTATTGGAAAGTATGAGTGAAGCACGCTTCAGGGGACCAGAAGACATGTCTATACCTGCGCAAGAGAACAACAAGGGCACTAATTACATAGTTTGGTCAATGTTGTTATTGAAGAGTATATCAAGGAACCTGCCTTTGCTGGCTCTTAGAAGCTCCTCGGTCAAGCTCGTAGGATGGGCCACGGCAGCTAGTACATGGTTTCGCATACAGACATCAAAGGTAGAGAGACATCACATACCACACGATAGCATATCAGTAGCCGCAACTTGAAAGACATAGGGCGCGCCAAAACAGAAACCTTGATCCAGTATGAAAGCAGCAGTCTTGTAGGACCCAGCCTACTTACCGACGGCACAGTAGTTCACATTCGTTCCTATTATCGCTGCATATAATTTCGGCATGACACGTATGCTGAAAAGAATCATACCAAACATTTCCTTGACACCATCCACCCACTTTGGAACGCTAGCCCTCGCTTGCTCGACAGACTTTGTTCTCCACGTCGGGCGATCAAAATCAGGTTTGTTGAGATGCAGATGCACAGGATCACCAAAGAAGTAATCTATCCCGACTACGGTGAAACCTGCTTTCTTAATCAATACGCACACAAAGAACTTATACACACAGAAACGTACCCTGAGAAGCGTAGTAGTCTTGAACCAATTGAGCGTTGATATAGAATGGCCCAAAGACATCTGAGAAGTATAGGATGACAGTTCCCACTCCGGACGCGGCGGGAGCTTGCGGAGTAGATAGGTATGTGGGTACGCCAGCAATAGTGATGCTTTTACCCCTAGGTGTACCGCTGTGTGCGACCGAAGTGAAACAGTGGTCTGTCAAGGGGCCTGCGAGTGTGGACGACATGGCTCTTGGGAAGGAGAGGAGTCGCAAAGTGGGCAAATCATTTTCGAGCTTGCGTCCCACGCGATTCTCGGTGACTCTCTACGCATCCAGTGCACGCGGCGTCCCATGCAAAGGCCGATACTGGCTTTATGAAAAATAAAACAAACTGGTATTGTACAGCGGATTATGAACGAATCGAATTATAGAAAGTAGAACCTAAGAGACACGTCTAGAGACGAAACAATGCAAGTGAGAGACGGCGCGCAAAGTAAACGTGAACTGTACCTCAGCGTTGTGGAAAGAACCGCTGAGCCTGTATTTTAGTATTCTTCATAGCATCACGAGTTCTACAATATTAGCATTCAACGCATTGCTCAAAGTGATTGCGATCTTATTAGCCGACGAGGTCTCCAACTTGATCAACAAGCGCAATGACTATACAATGACTTGAGAAATTCTACTAAGTTGGTCTTTGGCGTTATTCTACAGGAGTGCCTACATTACTGTATGTAATACTTGGCTGATATGCTATATGATGGCAGTGTAAACTTTATGCGATCAGGCGTTGAGTATGTTATGTGTGTCGTTGCAAGTATCAATCACTTTAAGTCCTTCTAGCAAAGTTAGTCCAAGATGTATCACCCTCCGTCACCCTTAAACGAAAAACGAGAGATGCAGGCACCTACATCTCAACATCCCGATCTGGATCCAGATCCTGCATTTTGACGTCTTCACCGTCGGCAGGCCCCTTTTCATCATCAGAATTTGTCGCAGAAGGCCACCTCGCCCTCCCCACTATCCCTTCTACCGCACCCCGATACATAGCATTATACGCCTCTTGCTTTGCCACTCGGTGTGGCTTATTTGCACGCTTGAATATCTCTGCTCTCGACCATCAGCACTGAACAACATAAAAGAAGAGAAGTAAGAAACATACCGAGGAATCTTTCGCCGACCCAGAGGCGAAGCGGGGCATTGCCTATCGACCCATTACCACCGTCCGTGTCATTCTCAGTCTCCTTTTCTTTCCCTTTACCTTTCCCACCATTCACGTCCTTCTGCTTTGCGCCCATCCCAGCGCCAAGCGTCTCGCACACGGCCAATGTCTCCATAGCATGCGCGGGTGCCGTATGCAAATACTGCGCGCCCACTTGCGCGAGGAGCAACGCGCGGAGATGGTTCTCGCCTGCTAACGTCGATAAAGACAGCGCAGATTTCAGGTGCGATCTGTGACAGAAATAAATTCGTAAGTACGAGGTGGTTATGCAATTTTTGGCACGAAACAAAAAACGTACTTGGCACCAACAATCTCCCCCCTCGCACCCGCCACGGCTGCCTGCACCACCTTCCCAACCGCTTCAAGCGTCCCTCCCATCCCGTGGCACCGCTGGATCGCCGACCTAGCCAGTGCATGCGTCTCAGCATCCAACCAGTCGCTTTTGTCGCTACTAGCGTCTTCAATCACAGCAGTACTAGTGCTCGAGTTCTCGCCGAGAACCTGAGCTTGAGCAAGTAGTCCTATGCGCAACAAGGCTTCCCCGGCGCAAGCAGCAGCGCCTACATACCCAGCCCTTGCATTGCGTTCGTCATCCACGGATTTGGCAACGCGATAGCATACGCTTGCACGTTCGGTATCTCCAAGTGCATGTGCGAGGTGTGCGGCGTGGAGGGTGATGCGGGCGCTATATGAGTGGAAGAGATCGTGAGTGTAGGTTAGGGTGAGTAGTGCGTTTAGGTGTGAGTCTGCGGCGTCGAATTCAGAACGTTGGATCGATATCTGTATTTGAGGATGAGATGAGGTATACGAAGCAGTGACATGTGATTGAACGTACCGCGATGAGCTCGCATAAAAGATCAGCTGTAAGTCTTACTATGCGCTGTATGATTTCGTCTCTGTCTGCTAGGGAAGCCCAGAGCGGCACTGAAGAGAAACGAGCGTCAGGATCAACACAATATCATGGTGATTAACGGCACGACAAAAAGATACGAAACAAAACTTACGTTCAATATCCTCTCTTGCAGTATTGAGAATACTGATTGCTGCTTCCGCCCAGAGCCGTCTCTTTGGGTTTCTGCCCACTGGGTCCCGTTTCGCAGTGGCGCTGACGAGAAATGTAAGCGGGAGAAGTATGAGTGGGTGGGTGGTATGGACTGCTAGGGGAGGGTGCGGAGGGAGAGGGATCTATACGAGTTGCGTAGTTAGGACCCCAAGGGAAGAGAAATGCGAAAGAGAAAGAGAAACGCGAAAGCATACCTGGACAATACCATCTTTGAATCCCTCGAGTGCTCCGCTATCGACGATTTCGTGGAGCGCGACGAGCCTTTGCTCGGCTGCACGAATGTTTCCCGAGAAAGTAAAAAATATGGTACCGGAGAGAAGTGTATGAATAACAAGGGAAGCATGAGCAGGATCTGATTGCGTGCTTTCTTCTTGTTTGGGTTCTACAATGTTTGGGCGGTTGGTGATGTGCACTTGGGAATGTTCGCGAGAGAGAACGTTGACGTCGTGAGCAGTTATAGAGTTCCAACGGGGAAGTGCGTCATCATCTGGTTTGGCGTTTACAATCGCATTAGGGTTACCCCTGTCATTCTTAACTTTGCCGTCCTTGTCGAACATCAAGCCAAGCACGGCCTCCGCGGTATCAAGGGCAGCCCCTACTTGGGTCCATGCATTTGCACGAAGGAGGACACACAACCTAATGACGTGAGCGAGGGAAATGATCCGGGGATGATGGTTTTTGCGTGCGAGAGTTATTAAAGTGTCTATGGCAGCGAGTATTGCTTGGAGGGCGGGGGCACCTAGTGGTGCAGGGGTGGTATTAGCAGCGGCATTAGATGAAGGGGGCGGTGTAGTAATCTTGGCAATTAATGTTAGGTGTGCATTATATACGGTGGCTGGAGGATCGGAGGGTACAAATGACGCAATGAGGCGTCTGAGGATAGCACGTGCAAATTTTGGGGATGTGGAAGAGGAAGGGAAGGTAAATGCAAAATGAGCATGGAGGAGTGTGAGGTGGTGGCGAAGCGGCCGAAGTGAAGGGTGCTGAATTGCGATGATATGGTCAATTGTGTATGTCAAAAATAAGAAGAGACCAACTTTTTGTGCGATGAGAAGGCCTTTGCTAAGTGCTTTCTCGACCTTGTATATAACAGTACTTGTCAGGATGCACAAGTAGCAAAAAGAACTTGACGCACCTCGGCATGAATACCTACAGCCCAGTCACATCCTTCCTCCTGCGAGCAAAAGCCGCTCTCCATGACTCTCATGCCGACTTCGGCCAAACCTGTCCAAGCACGAGATTCTACATCAGGGGCAAGAGCAGGCATTGCCAGGCACTGTCTTAATGAGCGGAGGGAGAGAAATAGTGAAAAGCCAAAGTCTGGATGAGTCGGAGGAAGCGCCAGAAGCCCTGGAAGTGCAAGGAGTAGGATTGCTGGAGGGAGCGGACGGAGTGCCGGCGTCGGAGAGTCTGGGGGTGGTGGGGTGAGTGACGAAGATTTCGGCATCGACGAAGCTGAGACGGAGAGTGTGCGCTGACATTTTAGCGGACGTGTATTCATTGTAGGAGGAGGAGCGTGACGCGTCAGTCACGCGTTTTAATGAAATGTGACATATCGCGCATGTAGATGAATTGTTTGTGGCGTAGTAGTTCGGGTCTGGCATATACTCCACAACGCATTCAAGCTCAAGTCTGGGAATACATACGGGTTTTATCGGACAGTTGCTCAAGAAAACTGCTGATTAGATATATCCGAGAAAAACGTGCTAAGGACTAGCTAGGTTATACGTAGGTAACGTTTATGCCGTTCTACTCCTGGAAACGGTAATTGAGGTACTAGACTGTAGGCCATGATGGACCATCCAAGTTTTAGCGGGTAAGTCGTGCTTTTAATCTTCACTCCTCTTTATAATAAAAAACTTTCATCGAAACATCTTGTCCTTTCATATATACCGTCCTAATTTGCCTTCACCACTAATCGCTTCCCTAGCCACAACCGTCGACCCTCCTCTCTCGCCTCTCACGCCCACTCGGCCTATTCACTCGCCCCTTCTACCAGGCCAATCCTTACAGACATGCAGCTTCCCCTTGACCCTCCCGCTCCTCTCTTCGCTGCTGACGATTCTTCTTCTGCTCCCCCATCTCCCCGCGCAGAGAGCACAAAGGACCTCTCCCTTTCTGTCAACTATCTACCCAACAAGTTCTCTTCTGGCTTGCTCACCCCCACTCCACGCAGACGCAAACTAGGAAAGGAAAATGCTGACCATCCCGTCATACACAAGAGAGGTGGAGGTAGAGAGGCCTTCAAGAGCAGTGAGGCCCGTATGCCTGCAGAAGGCGACGAAGACTACGATGGCATCACCGGTCGTTGGTTCGGTGGCAAAGAAGGTGGTCACACCCGTCCCCGCATGCACTGGAACAGGTTCAAATGGGCACTCTTCATCGCCAATCTTGCAGTCAGTACCTTTTTCCCTTTTTCATACTTTCCATTTCCTCATCCATCTCATGCAGTTATCTACTTACGCCCTCGCGGGCCTCATCTTTTGTCTTCTCACATGGTTTGACGTCTTCGAACACGCAGATATCGTTCGCGTAGGCAACCGAGAAGAGCTCATTCTCTCTACAGCCGCTGCCGCCCTCGCCTCAGTTACTTCCGTAATCGGTTGGGCCGGCATCCTCCTCAACAACCGCTCTTTCCTAGCAGTCTACACTTTTGCTCTCTGGCTCTGCTTTGCCCTCCTCGTCACCCCCGGCTACACTACCTATAAACAGCGTACATTCAACCTCGAAGGCAAACTAAATGCCCAGTGGTCTCGTGACCTCGGCGCAGAGGGCCGTCTCAGGATCCAAAACAGGCTCCATTGCTGTGGATATTACTCCCCCTTCGTTGAAGCTACTGTCTCCCAAAGCTGTTACGCCCGCTCCGTCCTCCCGGGGTGCAAAGAGGCATACATCAACTTTGAGAAACGCGTCTTGGACATCTGGTACACCATCGCTTTCTCCCTTGTACCGCTCCAGCTCGTTATCATGCTCGCGGGTCTCTTATGCTCAAACCACGTAACCTACCGCTTCGGTAAAGGCATGATGCCCAAAGCCTATAGGCTCAGCATGGCAAGTATGGCCGTCATCATGGATAATTATGCCAAGTGGGTTATTTCGTATCTAACCCCGTATATATGTGTTAACGTTCTCACCGCAGTCAACTGGCGGAACAATACGGTACCGAAGTCGCGTCCGATATCTTAGCGCGATCTCGGCACCTTGATTCTATGACATACACCTCTGGTGTTGCGAACGGGACAGGCACAACACATGCACCTTCTCATGGTAGGTACGATTCACTGGCGATGAGGTCGCCTTACAGCGAGCGAATTTGAGTGAGCGAGCGACGACGGATGGACTAATTTTCTTTCAAAATTCCTTTCATTGACACACGTGCTCTGATATACCGTTTCAAGCTCTTGCTTATCTGTTTATTCTGATAGCTTTAATCATGCAGCTGCCCGGTGCTGCCGATTGCACGTACTTTACTTACTAGTCTCGCTCATTTCTGCTATACTTCGTACGTGATCGTTCTGGTGCGCTCACGTACATGCAGCTCCAATGCCTGCTTCCGTTCTTTACATACGATTAACAAATATACCGTTGTGGACTGAAGCGGTTTCGGGTGCACCGGACGAATCGATCAGCCGCTCACTTTAGCAAGTGGCAGTTTGGATTCGCAACGTCCCTGATACATGAGTTGGCAAAGCAAAGTAGTTAAGGCCACGGTCCTTCATGCGGAAGGATAGAGCGATACAGTTTGAAGGAATTCGGTGAATTACACTTAGGTAGATGAGACTGCATCTATGTGATATTCCAGCTGACATCCTTGCTATGAGCCCCTTCTCTGCAAAAAATGTCATCTTCAAGTCGGCGCTTGAGTTGTTTGGGGCTTATGTCGTATCTGTGGGTTGGGTGCATCATCCAACATGGAGAGCATTATAGTGAAGGTCTCGAATGCATCATCGTGGTGCTGTGCTCCACGAAGTGCTGCATGCTTCAGTTCATACCCCAGATAACACGAAGGGTTGAGCTTAATGACCTGTGAATATCATTCTAAGGGAAAATTTGTAACCTGGTATTGGTTAGAGCCAGGTTATGGCTAGCCAAAAGAGCAAAATCTGGGCATTTCTGAACATGTCAAAAATGCGCAGAACAGGGGAGGTTGGATCTGGGCATTTTTCAACATGTCAAAAATGCGCAGAACAGGAGAGGTTCCAACTAGGCATTTCTCATTTTGACATGTTCAGAACTGCCCAGATTGGACCCCCCCTGTTCTGCGCATTTTTGACATGTTCAGAAATGCCCAGATCCGACTTCCCCTGTTCTGCACATTTTTGACATGTTGAGAAATGCCCAGATTGGACCCCCCCTGTTCTGCGCATTTTTGACATGTTGAGAAATGCCCAGATCCGACCCCCCCTGTTCTGCGCATTTTTGACATGTTGAGAAATGCCCAGATCCGACCCCCCCTAGAGAATGTTAGACTTAGTGACATTTTTCTGCCATTTACTGTTCTCCCATTACCCTTTTAATTTTCACTAGTCCAACACCTGTTGTGCCTTCAGCACAGGAAGCAATAGGAGTGCTTTGCGCTCCTTTTTGGTTTCATCCTAATATTCATAGTTACTGTGCCTTTGGTACAGTAAGGCAAAGGAGCACTTTGTGCTCCTTTGGGAGATACATGCAGCACCTTGACTGAATCATCAGCATAATGGATCTTGAAATAAATCAATAATGATGATAATAATACATTTTTGAGCAGCACTTTCACACATTTCAAGTACAATCTGTTGGCTACTCAACAACTGATCTTGGATGCTATCTTGAGTCACATTTGATGCCATATGACATCTCTGCACAACAATCCTCTTGAACACCTTGGCTAATTGTTCATAGTATAACACAAGTGCTCTCATATCATCCAGGTACCTAAGTATTGTGTTGATACACTACTGAGCTAGTTTTTTGCTAGCATGTATAATCTACCACACATCAACAAAGTAGACAATATAAATCAATTTAATTTTACTATTTGACCATCTATCCTCTTCTTTCCCCTGTCTTCCTGGCTTTGGCTGTGTCCTCATAATCATGGACAAAATAAAAGTAGAGAATATAAATCAATTCTCCTGCCTCCCGCCTCCCGCCTCCCGCCTCCTGTCTCCCATCTCCTCCCATCTCCCATCTTTCATTGTCTTTTCTCCATTTTCGTTTTTTTCATTTCACAAATTTCTGTTTTTCATGCCCCAATCTCTCTTTTCTTGCAGATGAGCATTAGTGGGTCTCAAAGTTAAATTTATGAACTGTTAGAAACATCCAACCAAAAGAAACTTCTAAAGGTATTCAAGCTCTGCCAGAATATGATCTTAGGTATCAGTTCTATTACAAGTGATCATGATAATAAACATCATGCCTTGCACATCAGCCCGACAACAGATCTTGCAAGCACTGCATGCTAAGCAGTTCAATCTCCAATATGCTCGCTACTTTGAACTCATCAAACCCACCATGGAAGAACTCAAAGACTCAGATGATAGTGATGATTCTGATTCTGATTCTGATCAGATGTCCATATCATCAGATTCCTCACTTAGCAAGTTGATTTTCTCCTTTGCAACATCCATGGATGCAACAGAGATACTGACAAGCTCATGTCCCTTTATTGAATTCAGTAACATGGTGTGACAATCATATTCCCACTAGGCTTGCAATGGCCATCTTTTGATATAGGTGATGGAAAGCTACAAAACCATCGACCACTTTTCCTGCACTCAACCTGCTCTGGATGCATATTCACACGCTCTGCGGACCCACGCATTCACTCCCATGCTGTGTGCATACCTGCAGTCGATTTCCCACACCTTCGGACTACCTTACAGGTGTCCTGCGTCAGTCCATTGTCCATCCTACCTCATTGGTATGTATTTTGCCTTGCCTCGTGTGTTGTAACAAGTGTTGCAGCCTTATTACATGTCTTTACATATTCCTACTGCCTGTCTGTCCTGTCCCTTCCATTTCCAAGAGGGTTTAGCTAGTATAAAGTGCCTATAGTGACTACTTCGTATTTACTTCCCTTCTACAGTATTTCCTTCCCTTAGGTTTTACTTAGGAGCAGTCACCATTAGTGCACACTTTTAGCTCCTATTGGGTTACCTTATACCTGAACACCTTGTCTTGACTTTCCTTACCTGTGCAATCAATACCCTTGCCCTCACTTGTTACCCACACCATTCCTTAAGACTTTCCTACCCCTTACCCTAGCATCTCGCACTTCCACATCAACCGCTCATCAACCGCTCATCAACCACACTTCCGCATTCCTGCACTCTACATACCTGCGCACTTGTTCCCTCACTCTGCGCACTTTCAGGCCTTTAGTATCATCAGCCGTTCTCAGTAGCAATTCCCTTTATGGTCAAATGTTCTTGCTTGCAAGTGTAGCAGCTAGGCAGAGCATCGACCTACAACAATATTTTTGATTAGGCACTTTAACAAGTGTCTAGCCATTGTTGTGTTTGCACAATGGTTCAAGCCTTAGCTGATGAAGTGGAAAAGTCTCGGGTCCTCTTCACACATCCAAAATCCAGCCATGCCCTGCAGCTACATCTCCTTGAGGAGTGGGTGCTAGATAAACCTGAGAAGTTCCATTGTAAACTTCATGTCAATCCCCCTGTCTTCATGGAGATTGTCAATAAAATCATCAATCATCCTATATTCTATAACAACTCACAAAACTCTCAGTTACCAGTCCCTGTACAGCTTGCTATATTCTTGAATAGCGCTGGCCACTATGGAAATGCTGCAACAACAGAAGATATTGCAGATTGGGCTGGTGTCTCAGTTGGGACGGTATACAATTGTCACCATCATGTCATGGTTGCTCTCCTTCAGCACCATCATGATGTGATCCATTTTGATCCACTTGATCACAATGATCAAAACAAGTGAGAGCAAGCAAAGGACTGGGTTGAAGAACAAACCTCTCCAGAGTGGAGGGGTGGATTTCTTAGTATCAGCAGCACACCATTCAATCTGTTTCAGAAGCCTGGGTGGCATAGCAAGGGATTTTATGACTGTAAATTAAATTATTCGCTGTCAGCCCAGGTGCATCATGAGTTAGAACAGAGAAAACCAAACTAACATTTTCATTAGGGTTAGGGTTAGAGTTAGGGTTAGAGTTAGGGTTAGAGGGTTAGAGTTAGGGTTAGAGTTAGAGTTAGGGTTAGAGTTAGGGTTAGAGTTAGGGTTAGAGTTAGGGTAGAGTAGGGTTAGAGTTA